CATCGGCTTCTTCGCCCTCTTCCTGCCCTGCATCGGTGCGTTCCCTTCATTGCTGCCCGCTTTCCTGCATCCATGGGGTTTTTAGGCGCCCTAAAGTAGACCATCGGCTTCTTCGCCCTCTTCCTGCCCTGCATCGGTGCGTTCCCTTCATTGCTGCCCGCTTTCCTGCATCCATGGGGTTTTTAGGCGCCCTGAAGTAGACCATCGGCTTTTTCGCCCTCTTCCTGCCCTGCATTGGTGCGTCACCTCCCCTGTATCCGTTCATTGCTCCTTTGTTTGCATCCCGTCCATGCTTGTGTTCAATCCCTTCCTGTTGGCCTTGTGTTGCTGATGGGTTGTCCCCCAACGTTTCTCCCCTCGATGCTGAGATTCGAGACGTCATTTACTCTTTTAACAAATGGAACGTCCCCCCAACCCTTCTCCTCTCGGTACCGCACACTCCCTGCCAGTCCAGACCCCACTCCCCATACCCCACTCCCACTCCCCACTCCCGGCATCTTCCTTCCGGTTCCCCAGTTCCCACTTCCTGCTCCTTTCCCTCCCTCTGTCCGATGGTGGCAGTATAGGGCACTAAAGCATTCATGATCACTCGCTCCCCTTTCTCAACCCCTCCCCTTATCCCCCCCTCCCTCGCTCTCCCTTTTCCCGTCTCCCTCCCATGCAGCATTGGCGCATTTTTATTTCAAGACGCTGGTGGCGGCATGGGGTGCCAAGGGAGTGTTGAATGTGGTGCGCTTCTTTGTGGCGGGCTACAAGATCCACTTCGACTTCCTCTGCCCAAAAACGAAGTTCCCCCCCTCAAACCACTTCACCGCTCCCAACTCCTCCGCTTCCCCCGCTGCTGCTCCTAGAACCGCTCTGAACCACTCAGCACCTGCTGCTTTCTCTTCCTGGGTGAATTCGCCCCATGTTGCATCATCCTCCTCGTCCTCGTCCTCTTCGTCTGTTAGTGGATTGAAATGGGTGGCGCCAGGGTATGTTGCTCCTCCGCATGTACCTGCCGGCCAGTCAGTGCACAGAAGCCGAGGGGGAGGGTGTGAGTGTGACTGTAGTGGTGTCCGTGATTGTGTGCGAGGGTGCAAAAGTGGGCTTCGGAGTGTGGCAGAGGAAGATGAGACTGCAGCAACAGCGTGTGAGGCGGAGGACGTTTTGTTGCGGCCGTGTTCTGGTAGAGGGCCGTTGCCACCGTTCCCGGTTCTTAAAACGAAACGGGAGGAGCTAGACGGTGCGACGCACGTACAGTTGTAACGAGCTTTGGTGATGGTAGAGTTTGGGCTTGGGGACTGTGGAATCTATTTGCTGGTGGTTTCAGGTAGGCTTATTTCAGAGTCAGTACAATCCGCTGACCCCGTGGAAGGGCTTCACATCCACAACAGATGGGACAGCAGGAGAAAGGGCTGAGGGTCTTGATGACGACGTGCTCAAGTTTCCCGTAGTTGCCTCATCCTTCCTACCTTTGGTTGGGTTACAAAGTCCAACCAAGCTTACTACCTTTGGTTTTGTCACTAAGTCCAACCAACCTTCCTACCTTTGAAACCTGTGGACCCTGGGTTTTAAGAGAAGATCGGTTCTGAGGAGGCATGAGGTGTTCACTTGACACTCACAGATGGGGTAGCAGTTGGAAGGGGCGAAGGTCATAATGACGTGCTTCACGTCCGTGAGGGAGGAAAAGTCTGCACGCAGACAGGCGGAATCAGGCACGCGGAAAACAAGGTACGATGAAGAATAAGTTGAGGAACAGACGGGCTGAAATAATTGCTGTCTGGTAGGGGAAGGAAGGAAGAGGGGGTGATGGGGAGAGGGGAGGAGGTAAAATCAAGGGAGTATTTTCCAGGGTGCTGTGCCGGGGATTGCGACAGGCGGCAATGCTGGCTCTCACTGGAGCCCATATTCTAAGCATTCTTGAAAGTGATCCTTTTCTCCCTTTTTATTATTTTCTTTTCTTTGCGTGTCTGCGTGATTTTCCTTTTCGGCTTTCTTTCTGTTACTCACTAGACGGAAAAGGGTACGTTTCCACGAGATACTCCTTCTTGGGTGTGACCGACTTAGCCCAGCCCGGCAAGTCCGCCTGCACCGGAAAATTTGCAAACAGAAATAGCGATCGGAACAGCCAAAAGGGTAAACCGCGTGGACGGGTGAACTACTACACGTAGATAGGCATAAGCAGGACGATTGGACGTAGGCACATTGTGACGAGGGCTCGAGGATGGCAATGCAGCACGTTCGTTCGTACGTACGTACGACGAACACGAACGAGCGAACGATCGATCGAAAACGAAGACGAACGAAAGAGCGAGCGAACGAACGAACCTGCACGCGGATCTGGTTACGGTTGGGACCCACAACGATGCGCACGTCGCCTTCGAAGAAGTTGCTGTGGACAGTCGTGCTCATGGTGCTCTGAGCCCAGCACCTGAAACATAAAATAAGGGAATGTAATTAAATCTTTACTAATTGATCAGTCGGGAAGAGCTGATGCTGGTGGCTGAAACGAACAACTGCGGTCGGATCTGATCCGTCATGGCGCATCGCGGTTCTTGCGAACATAGGAGAAAGCGCGGCGTTGAAAGGTTCTCTCAGCGTCTGAAAGCCTACCCAGAAGGCATTAGTACAAAGGCGGCGATGAAGCTGGCGATGAGAGTAATCCGGCTCGACGCCAAGACGAGGTTCACCTTAGACGCCATGGTTAGGAGCGGTGCTAGTAGTCACAGTCACCTTAGCCTACTAGGAAAAGAGAGGAAAACAGATTGTTGCGTCCATGAGCTCCTGCGGACCCACTTTAATACACAGCCACAATTATCGATGTGTGCGATCCGTAGTTCCAGCTGCTGAACTGGCTGAATCGACACCGCATCGCGGTATCGTGTCGCTTGCTGGTGTCGTGCATCGTCTGGATTCGGGAACCAACTATAATTGTGTTCCTGATGAGCATGGACAACCGAGCGTTTATTGGTGTGTTTCTCATGCTGAACGCCTAATCACCCCGATAATCTCAACCGTGAAGGTTTTAATCAAATCACGAAATGGACACCGGTTGCGTCTGCACGCGAACTTCTGTATCGTATGGCTAGTCTCATTGCAGTCGCACTCCACAAGCAAGTGAATCAAGGGGACGGAATGTAGTACATCCCAAATTGCATTGGCTTGCGTTCGAGCAAAGTTCAAGTACGAATTGTTTTTTTTGCAGTGCGGGTGTTCCTCCGAACATAGGAACAAGATCGCACTGTAGCGCCCACCAACCAGCGGAAGTGCTGAGCGGTGGTGGTGCCGCGATGTGCGGGAGATGTTCTGCGTTTGCATGTTGCTGAAAATCCCGTCTAGGGGGGTGATGGGTGTGGGTGGGAGGTTGGGAAGGAGGGTAGAAATCGATGGATTTAATCTACCACGTGATACTGTTCTAAACCGCCTTACGACGTGTTGCGACCCACAAGGATTGGGTTGGGTTGGCCCGACCTGGTCGGCTAGACCCAACCCGACCAGAACTTCGGAAACGCGACTCGGGAAATTGAGAACTTTCCCGAGGCTTTCTGTGCATCCTCGACGTAATGGGAACGCAAGTGCCGCGCGAGGGGGAGTTGGACGGAGCAATTCGTGGCGATTTCCACCACGTCGCCCACTTTGGGTTACTCAAACTGCATTCGCAAGCCATCGCAATGACCGCCCATGCCCAGGCAATGAACCCCCCCCGCTCCCGAGTGTTGCAAAGGACCAGCGCTGTCCAGATTGTTACGAATAGTAATACTTGAATATTACTGTGCACTCCTCACCGCAGCAAAGAGAAGCACGCAGTATCGCGAATGAACGCGAAGCGTCAGACAGTTGGAATCGACTCGAAGCGTCAGACAGTTGGGACGCATCTGGACCGTCGGAGCAGACAGCATCAGGCAGCTGCAGGCAGGATGGTTTCAGCGCGAACAGTTTCGTAACTGTTCGCGTCGCACGGTTGGGAATGTATTTGAATAAGGGAATGTACCCCTTAGAGTACATGGCTAGCTAGGTCGTTTCATCTCCCCTGTACTCATATTTATATTTGCTGTATTTGCATGTTTTAAATTATCTCAAGGCATTTTACATTCACTCTGCTATTGAGGTCAAGGGCCCACCAACATCACTTCCCTGCGTGCGAACCTTCCTGAGTAGATCCTAGGCCACGATCAATATTTGATCGCAGCATGGTATGAGAGCGACTCGGGAATCCTTCGCACTGCCACTCCCGAAAATTACGACATTCGGAAAGTGGCGTCCGGTACACGCTCGCGTGTGAGAATGGCCGGAGGATCTGGTGGTCAGACGAATCTGACGGCTGAAGCGCAGCCCAACCCGGCTGCGACAAGCGAGGAAACGACGACGATCCCTTCCGCCGTCCTCGCACAACTACTTCAGCGACTCACGAGCCTGGAGCAAGGACTTCAAACATTGCGGAATGGCGACGCGGGAACCTCTTCCCAACCCACTCAACCGGCGTCAAACGGCCAGAACTCCGCCCCGCAAGGCTTCTCCCTAGATACGAATGGCTCAACCCCCAAGACTTCCTGTCCCAGCGATGAAGCAATTCTCTCCGCACAATCAAGGTTCTTGAGCATATCAAAAATAAAGACAAGTGTGTGCTTTGACGGCAGAGACTTTTACACCTGGAGCTTCGAGCTGGAGCTGCTGCTGCAAAACGCGCAGATTTATCATTATTTCGACGGGAGCTACTCGGGACCTGCTGAGGACACCGACGACGCTAGGACTCGCTATTATAACGAGTCCCTGATGGCGTACGGGATTCTTCTGCGTAACATGTCGCCGGCGGAGCAGCTGAACATTCGTTCATACAAGACATCGGCTGCCCCAACCCTCGACGCTTGGCGCCACCTGAACGGCGTGTATCAGCCCAAGGACTCCGTCTCCTCGAGCCGACTACTCCAGCAACTGCTGGAAACTAAGATGACCTCAGGGGAGAAGGTCAACAGCTACATCAACCGCTGTCGGAGCCTTCGCGATCAAATCGTGAAGTTGGGAAGCTCGATTTCCGAGGAAATCTTCGTGAACATTGTGCTTCAAGGGCTTGGCCCAGAGTGGCGGCCCTGCAAGGCGCTCCTCCGACAGCAGGGGGTCATCTCGGAGGCCACCCTTTGCGCCGCCCTTCTCGTCGAACAACGGGATATGGATCAGCAGCGACCAGCGCCACGACGAGAACGCGAACGGCTCGCCTTCTACGCCGACAACAATGAAGAGCGACGACCGCGGCGCCTCTACTGCAAAATCTGCAGAAACTTCGGGCATTTGGCGGATCGATGTAAGTTCCGATCTCGCCCTCGCCAGACCAATTCGAGCAACTGGCCCGGCCGACAAGACGCACGAGGCGACGTGCGTCCAGCCCAAGGGTATCAACCCCCACCCGCGCGCAATCTGAACTCAACCATTCAGCATCAGCAGCAGCAGCCATCAACTGCCCCTACGCGCAACGTCATGAGCAACATGGCCATGACAGGCGAGTCACGTCGTCGCCGTGTTCGCTCACCCTCACCTGAGCCAGCACCGCACCCCATCGGCGCGTTCACCAACAACAACCCGTTCAGCCCGCGCCGCGACTTCAACGACGACGACGACCAGGACTGGAACCTCCCAGTCCCGCTGCTTGAAAGTCCCCCGCACATACCAGACATGCGGGTGGCGCCACTTGATTGGCTCTCACGCGAGCAATTTCTGAAGATCGACACCCCGCACATCGTCACACCGCGATTGGCGCTGCTCGCACGTGACGACAACAAGCGCTACAACACCTGGTACCTGGACAGCTGCTGCGGCCAGCATATGGTGGGCTCCGAGCGTTACATATCCAACGCCGTCCCCACCCCTACAGTCACTTACGTCACTGTGGCGAACAACACGCGCCTGCGCGCAAGCGCACAAGGCATTGTCGTGCTTAAAGCACGTGGAAGCCGCACGCACATCACGCTTAACGATGTGCTGATCGTCCAGAATCTGCGCTTCAATCTCCTGTCCGCCGCACAGCTCATGGACTGCGGCGTCGACCTCAGCACGGATCCCGCGACGCGAGACATCCTACTGCACTACGAATCGCGCAAATTTCCCCGCAGGCAGATCGGACGAGCGCACTCCGAAAATGGAGTGTATGTCCTAGATTTCGACATTCCCGACTGCAGCGGCGACTCGCACGAATTGATTGATCTCGTGCCACTACACTTCGAGCACATCCACCGCAGGGATTGGAAGCACCCTGACGGCAGACCGTGGGTTCCACATCATCCCCACCCACGCGAAACGGCATTACACAACCCCGATCCAGATGGCGTCTGCAGGGATTGTCACACGCCGACGACTTCAACGAGCGCGATTGCCGGCCGCGGACTCGCCGCCATCGCTGAAGCAGAGCGCCACGCGCCCCCAGAGGAAGGGATGTCGCAGCTCGAGCTTGAAGTTACTACCCACGGCATTTTCGGCACGCCAGAGCATCCCCTCATCGGTCCCCCTTCACAGCACCTTTGATGCCCATGGCGAGCCGCGACCCTACACCTACGAGAAGTTTCTGGCCATCTACTCTCATCGACGCGACTCGTCGAAGAAACTCACCGTGGAGCAAGAGGAAGAATTGGCGCGCCGCGAAGCTGAGGAGCTTCGCCAGCAAAGCCTCGCAGAAGCACGTGGGACCTTCGCTTGCGCCACCTGGGGAGCTGAGGCTGAAGAAAGTGCCTCCAATGAAGGGGGGTGGGGGAGCGCTGGAGGATGGGGAACAAGTGACACTAGCGGCTGGGGAGACAACGGCGGAACCTGGGCCAACGCGAGCGGCGGATGGGGCGCCGCAACTAGCGCCGACAATAGCAGCTGGGGTACTTTCCGCGAAGAACGAAAGGGGGGAGAGGATGAAGCTGAGGAAACTGAGGCAACACCTGCAGTCGTTCCTCTTGGTCATCCCCCGCGTCACATTCCACTCGCACCACCTCCTCCTGACAACCCCCCGCGTCGCGATCCATGGGACACCATCATCTGGGGCAACGAGCCGTCAACCCCGCGTCGCACCGTCTACGGACCTGCCCCTGAGCCATGCGAACCCACCTTCGTCCCTGGAACCATCCCCGGCACCAACATTCTGCTCTCTGAGATTCACGACAGAGAGTTCTTGGCGCTGATGCTGACTACCGCGCCAGAAGAAGAAGAAGCAGAGGGAGTAGCAGCAGAACCTGCTCCTGTACCTGACGAAGACCCTGAGGAAGCGCGCGCGCGCTGCATGCGCACCTCCGGCTTTCGCGCTGACGATACTCTCTGGCACCAGCGCCTCGGACACCCTTCACGCGCGACGCTGAAAAACTGCATCGACGCAGGCGTCTTCGCTCTTGGCGCACTCCTGCGCCCTGATGGCTCCGAAGTGAGAGGCGCGACACATCCGCGCAACTGCACCGTCTGCCCCGAAGCTGCGCTGAGCCACCAACCGTTCCCGCTGCTCGAACCTGGAACGAACCGCTACCCCAAGCTGCACAAGGTGTACAGCGATTTCCTGAACGTGGGGCATTGCGGAGTCGAGGACGAAATGTACACGCTCACCTTCATCGACGCTGGAACGCGCTACGTGTGGGTCGTGAACGTGGAGTCACGCGACAGAGCCTACGAGGTGTTTCGCCTCTGGCTCGCGCACGCGGAGCGACAGTCTGGGAAGAAGCTGAAAATCTGGCAATCTGACGGCGCGGCAGAATTCAGGAGCAACCAGATGCAAACCTACCTCACGCAAAAGGGGATCGAGCACCACATTTCTCTCCCCTACGCGCACCAGCAGCAGGGCGTAGCTGAGCGGACGAACCGCACGCTAATGACAAAGGTGCGCGCACTGATGAAGCAGTCGAAAATGTCGCCGATCTGCTGGACCTACGCGATGCACCACGCCGTGCGGGTGCACAACCTACTTTCCACCACCGCCATCACCGGCAATCTGTCCCCGCACGTCAAATGGATCGGGACCAAAGGGGATACCTCCATGCTGCGCGTATGGGGGTGCATGGTTCAATACCGCCCGCCGACTTCAACCATCGGCAAATTCACCAGCCGCGCGCGCTGGGGGATCCATCTCGGCATCAGTCACGAGTACAAGGCGTGGATCGTGCTGGACCTCCTCAGTCAGAAAATCGCTCACGCTCGCGACGTCATCTTCTACGAGCGCCTCTTCCTTGACCAGTTCCGCCGCGACGAAGAAACGTGTCAGAATGTTATTCTCTAGCCTGTAGTGGGGTGCTCTATAGCGAGTACAACCCATCTAGGGTTTGCTATATGTATCCTCATTGCTGCTAGTGAACCCCCTCTTTTGCCTAAACTTCTCTTGCCTAGCTAGGGCTTACCTAGCTATGGCTCCTAAGACTGCTCGTTCTTTCAACAAAACGAACGCGAACCGCGTTTACGCGAACAATGGGCACAGCTACGCAACGCCTGAAGACGAAGCCGCTGCAGCAATCTTGGAGCAGGACACGAGGGGCGAATTCGTGTGGGAAAAACGACGCAGCAGCGACGACGACGACGACGATTCCTCGGGAGGAGGAATGGGCGCAGCAGGCGGAAGCGGCAGAAGCACAGCACCACCAGCGCCTCCTGAACCAGAAAGCGATGATGACGACGTACAGGAAGTCATCCCGCAACGTCGCCACGACAGCACTGTCTCAGGACTGCAGCTGCTCGGGCTTCACACCGCAACTTCGAAAGCGCCACGTGTCATCGAGCCCCGAAATCCGCGCGAAGCTCTTTCTGGACCACACAGCAAGGAATGGCGCGAAGCAATGGACGCAGAGATCGAGGCGCTGGAGTCACGAGACACCTGGGTGCTAGTCGACCGCGCGGCGATCAAAGACGCAAGAATCCTCTCGGGGAAGTGGGTCTTCCGCGTGAAAACCGCAGCGGACGGAACGATCGAGCGCTTCAAGGCGCGTTGGGTGGTTCGCGGCTACGATCAGAGGCATGGCATCGACTTCGACCAGACGTTCGCCCCAGTTAGCCACCATACTTCCGTTCGAATCCTGCTCGCCATTGCAGCTGCAAGGCACCTACCACTCCGCCAGATCGACGTAAAGTACGCGTTCCTGTACGCGTTAGTGGACGCCGTGATCTACGTGGAGCAGCCGCACACCTACGGCGAAGGGGACTCGCGCGTGTGCCAACTGCGCAAGTCACTCTACGGGATCAAACAGGCTCCGAGGCTGTGGCAGCAGTATCTGCACAACATCCTACTTGAAATCGGATTCAAGCAGATGCCGCACGATCCAGGGATGTATCGCAGGGAATTCCGCGGGGAATACATTCTTCTCACGGTATACGTCGACGACCTGCTTTACACAGGCTCAAACAACGAGCTTCTTGAGCAGTTCGAGAAGGCCTTGGCGGGGCGCGTCGACATCACGTGCAACTACGAGGTGAAGCAGTTTCTAGGCCTCAACATCTCCTACGCGCCTGAGGCCATTCATCTCTCAGCGACTAAGTACGCAGAGGAGTTAGGGAAGCAGTTCAACATTTCACCTGCACCTCTCTCAACTCCCTACCGAACTCCCGGACCGAACCACAAACCCGACAACAAACCCCTATCCCCTGCTGGGATTCAGACTTACCAGCAGCAGTTGGGATGCCTCCTCTTCGCCTCTGTCACCTGCAGGCCAGACCTCTCGTACATCGCCAGTCAGCTGGCGCAGTACTCACGAAAACCAACGGCTGAGAATCTTCTGGATTGGCAGCGCGCCCTTCAGTTCTTCGTTTCAACGCCCAAGATTGGGCTGTGCTACTCAACTACACCAACTCCATCCTTCAACCTCATCGGCTATGTGGACGCCGATCACGCAGCAGACCCCGATAATCGACGGTCCAGGACTGGTTTCCTGTTCCAACTCGAGCCAACGGGACCAATCTCCTGGAACTCGCAGAAGCAGGAGCTGGTTGCCCTATCATCAGCCGAAGCAGAATTCATCGCAGCAACCGCAGCAGTTCGCGAAGGCCTCTACTTGCAGGAACTCCTGCAAGAGGCGAAAATTCCAACTTCGCCCACATTTCGCCTTCACTGCGACAACCAGAGCGCGATTCGCATCGCGAACAAACCTGGTTTCGTCAACCGCACCAAGCACATTGCGCTGCGGTACTTCTTCGTGAAGGATGAGGTGGACAAGGGCAAGGTCAACTTGACCTACTGCCCGACCGGTGACATGGCAGCAGACTTCCTCACGAAGCGACTGCCAGGTCAGCAGTATCAGCACTGCTCCGAACTCAGCGGCGTGGTCAAGCAGGTCAAGTCGAGCTACGGGCAGGAGTGAAGGGGGGTGTTACGAATAGTAATACTTGAATATTACTGTGCACTCCTCACCGCAACAAAGAGAAGCACGCAGTATCGCGAATGAACGCAAAGCGTCAGACAGTTGGAATCGACTCGAAGCGTCAGACAGTTGGGACGCATCTGGACCGTCGGAGCAGACAGCATCAGGCAGCTGCAGGCAGGATGGTTTCAGCGCGAACAGTTTCGTAACTGTTCGCGTCGCACGGTTGGGAATGTATTTGAATAAGGGAATGTACCCCTTAGAGTACATAGCTAGCTAGGTCGTTTCATCTCCCCTGTACTCATATTTATATTTGCTGTATTTGCATGTTTTAAATTATCTCAAGGCATTTTACATTCACTCTGCTATTGAGGTCAAGGGCCCACCAACATCACTTCCCTGCGTGCGAACCTTCCTGAGTAGATCCTAGGCCACGATCAATATTTGATCGCAGCACAGATAACCACACCCCACCCCATAGAAGCATTGGTAGGGAGGGACTGACACTCGCCATCAAGGCGAGATTAAGGCGACATTTGCGCGAGAACAACAGAGTTCGCAGGCTGCGGTAACCTGCTCCAGCTCGGTTGGGTTGGGTCTGGTTGGCCTGGTTCGGCCGACCTGGTCGACCCAGGTCGGGCAGACCCAACCGGGTCTGGTTGGCTCGACCTGGTCGGCTAGACCCGCGATGCAGCCTTCCTAGAAGTGATGGGTCGGGGGAAGGTCGACCCAATCCTTGTGGGTCGCAACACGTCGTTATTCTGTCCTAGGTTATCGAGCTGGAATGTTTATGCTGGAAGGTTCATGAATAACGGATGTGCCAAAACAAATTCTGCTTGGGCCCCATGGAACTGCATGTCCCAACGTTGGCCCCACGTTTTATACATGCACTTGAATGTTGTCAGCAATACTTATGCCATGTATGTAGTATCGAGTTAACTAATGTCAACGTTACTGAAATCCCAGCAAAAATCAAGTCACACCTCCATCTCGCACTTTTTGCCCTCACTTCTCCAGCTACACCCTAACTTCCAATTCCTACACCCTCTCTCGCCCGCCTCCTTCCTCTGCAGACAACACCACCAACGTGGCCGTTGAACAAGCCGTTCCCGCATACCTCGACTCAGGCACGGACATCTGCCTCTCCTGCTACGTCTACCTCACCTTCTCCTTCCTCGATGTCGACACGGCCAGCCAGATCGGCAGCGAGTGCACTGAAACGGATAATGGGAAGCTGCGCGGTTACATCTGCTCCACGGACGAGGGGGATGACGTCACGGTGGCGCAGGCGTTTGGGAGTCCGCCGGTGGTGAATGGCGGCGGGACGTCGATGGGGTTTCTCTACACGGAGATGTTTGTGCGCCAGCCCGCTGGCTCCACCATGCGCCTCCCCTCCATCCGCGTCGATCCCCTGTGAGTACCGATGGTGCTTTCGTATTCTGCAGTCTGCATTTTTCTCGTTTCTGTTGGCTTAAGTAGAACCCTCTGGTCCTTTGGCAGTGTTGCGCGCTTGGTATTGGTTGGGATTGCATGGATCAGCGTTTCTCTCTGCGTTTCCTTGCGTGTGTGTGCACGTGTGTACATGTGATGCATCTGTACATGTGTGTATGGTTGCATTCGTGCCATGGATGCATCCCACCAGGGCCATGAAGGGAATCGGGTACATCATGGTGCCTTCCAAGGGACCCACTCCTCTCCCTGGGACTTTTGACTCCATGCCCTTCATTGCAGGCAACGGCAGCAAGGTGAGGGACCAGAGAAGCCAGGAATTGCTAAAGCAGCACTGAATCTTCTGTGCCTCTTTTGCACTTCACTTCACATATTATCACTTCTCTCCACAACCACTCAATTCCACACAAAACCATATGTGACAACATCTTTTTTTTGGCCCCTTATATATTACCATATTGCCTCTTTTTTCTCATCAAGCTTTCTCAACTCCACTCAAAATCTTGCGACCCCCCCTTGTCCTTCCCTCCTCATCCACACCCACCAGGCTGTAGGCATTGGTCTAGTGTTCCCAATCACCCTGATCACTCAGGCATCTCTCGCAACTACCCCGTTTAGCAGCAACACACAGCAAACAGCCACGCCCACAGCTTTCCCTGCGCTCTCCATGAGTGCTCCTGCCAACCAGTCGCTCACTCTCAATGCCTCCATCGTGCCGCCTGCTGCTACCCCTGCTGCTGCCACCCCATACAACATCACGTTCTCCATCGGCAAGAATGCGATTTCGGTATGTGTTTTGTGTTCTTGACCTTGAAGAAGCTCACAGAAAGCCAGGTGGATATTGATGGTTTGTTGCTAAGCGCGTATTTTATGTGCGTTTTTTGCTTTCCTTTTGCAGAGACCAAAGGCATCCTGGATGATGGTGACGTTTGCACTGCTCGTCCTGCTGCCTGTCCTGTAGTCCCGTGATCCAACCACACGTTCATGCAGGATGACATTATTCTGAGTATGGTACTAAATTGTATACGCAGAGCTCTTCTAGATCCATGCACCAAGTCTTCAAAAGGTTGATGAAAGTTACATGTTAGTTGTGTCCCCCAGGAAGCATGCATAAAGGACAGGCAGGCGTGTGCTAGATCTGGTGCACTGTTGGTGGAGGTGATGTTTGCACTGTCCAGTTTCTATCTTGTAGCGTATCGGCTGAGCATATGCTCATGCAGGGCAAACCTCAGGAGAGCTTATCCTAACTGCGGATTATCAGTCCCCTAGGTCTATAAAGCGGTGTGTAAATTCTCAGTACTTAGAGATACCGCATGACTTAGTAAAGGGGAACGTAAGGATCTGGGCGGCAACCTCAGCCTGTTGGGGTGAGCCCTGTACATTGGGGAAGGGGGAAACCGCGGCTTTGCTCTGGAACACACGTTACAGTTCATGAAGGTGTGTTCTGGCATGGCACCTACTCCTTGATGCGCTTCCTTGTATCACGGTGCATCCGGACGGGATTTCGGCTGAGTGAGTGGACAGAACATCTTCCGCACGGCGCGGCACCACCGATGTTCCAGATTGCTGGATCATGTGCGCTACAGTGCGATGCGCTTAGTGTCTGACGACGTCCGGCACCCGAACCACACCAACCAAAAAACCCAACCGTTAGGTTCGGTGTGAACCCGAGAGCTCACCCGCTGGCACCAGCCAGTGACACCCTGTCCTGTCCCCGCGTCACGGCCGTCAGCTCAGGAGGCGTTGGATCAATAGATCGCATCGCACACGTCGAAAATCGTGGCTGACGAGTACGAGTCACTATGAAAAGTGGGTCCGCTGCAGATAATTGCAACCATCTGCTTCCTTTCTCCCACTGATCTTAGCTACTAGTCACAGTCACATTTCTCACTGTGACTAGCACCACGATGGCTTCAGCTATGGCTTCGATGGCGATCGCGTCAGCGTCGGGCCGTATTACTCTCCTCGCCAGTTTCATCGCCGCCTCTGCGCTGATCCCTTCTGGGTAGGCCTTCCGAGATCACTTAGGGACCTTTTCGAATCTTCATTTTACTTGCAAGCGATTCGACGTGCCATGACGATCGTAACCGCTGTTATCATTCAACGATCTGATAGTATCAGTCTCTTCCCACCCGATCAACACATTACTGATTTGCATACACGTGTCAGGTGTTGGGCTCAGAGCACCATGAGCACGACTTTCCACAGCAACTTCCTCGAAGGCGACATCCGTGTCGTCGTGGGACCCAACCGTAACCAGATCCGCGTGCAGGTTCGTTCGTTCGTTCCTTCGTTCGTCGGTCGCTCTTTCGTTGTTCGTTCGTGTTCGTGCTCGTTCGCTCGAGCCGTGTCCGCAGTGATGCACCTACGTCCTGACATCCAAACGTCCTGCTTTTTCTCTACCTACATGTATAGCTCAGGAGTGCACGCGTTTTCCCCGTTTGTCGTCGTGATCGCCGCTACTGATGCAATTTTCCCCTGCAGGCCTATATGCCGGACTGGGCTAAGGCGGTCACCCCCAAGAAAGAGTACACTGTGGAAACTTACCCTTTCCCGTCCAGTGAGTGACAGTAACAGTAAAAGTAAAAACCAAGAAACGAAGATGGTGTTTTCATAGGTGGCAGCGTGTGGGCTCCATGAGTGGCATTGCCGCCTTTTAGAATGTAATTCCCTCTCCATACCACCCTCCTTCCCTCTCCTCATCACCCCCTCTTCCAACCTTCCCCTACCACGCGTTTTTTCCGTTTCATTCTGTTTCTTCCTTGTGTTCCGCTTGCCTGCTTTCGCCTTTTGCCTGTCTGCATGCAGACTTCTCCTCTCTCACGGACGTGAAGCACGCCATTTTGACCTTCGCCCCCTCCAACTGCTACCCTATCTGTGAGTGTGAAGTGAAGACCCCATCTGTCCCCAAACTACGTGGGCCATGTATGCTATTGACTGTTGTCAGCAATTTTTATGCCATTGTGTCAGTGACTGAACTCTCATCGAGAATCAAACCATAACCGTCTCTCTCCGTTATCGCAGCTGCCTCACACAGTTATCCCAAAGTTCAAATTTCCCAGTCTCACCCCCATCCTCGCACTGTGCAGACAACGGCACCAAAGTGACAGAGGAGCAGGCTATTCCCGCATACCTCGCGTCAGGCCCCGACTTCTGCCTCTCCTGCTACGTCTACCTCACCTTCTCCCTCCTTGATGTCGACACGGCCAGCCAGATCGGCAGTGAATGCACTGAGACGGACAATGGAAAACTTCGCGGGTACATCTGCTCCACGGACGAGGGGGATGACGTCACGGTGGCGCAGGCGTTTGGGAGTCCGCCGGTGGTGAATGGCGGCGGGACGTCGGTGGGGTTTCTCTACACGGAGATGTTTGTGCGCCAGCCTGCTGGCTCCACCATGCGCCTCCCCTCCATCCGCGTCGACCCCCTGTGAGTACCGATAGTAGCCCTCTTGTCGTCTGCTCTGCGTCTGTGTGCGGATCGATCCCCTGTGCGTATCTAAAAGGGTCTCCAATTTTATGCGAGTTCGTCTTATTTGGTGATGTCAACAGTGCTCTCTGGTTGCTGCTTTTCTGTAACGTCGCGCTCCCCTCATACTTCCTCTTGTGCATGTGTGGATGGTTAAATGGCTGCATGACTGCTATCCTACCAGGGCCATGAAGGGCATTGGGTACATCATGGTGCCATCCAAGGGACCCACTCCTCTCCCTGGAACCTTTGATGCCATGCCTTTCATCGCAGGCAACGACAGCAAGGTGAGGGACGCTCAATGTAACTTGCATCTCGTGCAAAATCAGCATTGAGAATCTTGAAGGCTCAATGCGAGAAACTCTGCAGCAAAAGGCTGCAATGGCAAAAGCAGCACTAACATTTACGCGCACTTCTCTCCGCCTGCTCCATTACCTGTCATTTTCGCTCATCCAATCCCCTCAATTCCATTCAATAACCCGCACGCCCTCATTACCTGTGCACACCCTCCCTTCTTCCCCCCATGCCCTCCAGTCTGTCGGCGTCGGTCTAGTGTTCCCAATCACCCTGATGACTCAGGCGTCGCTCGCAACTACCCCGTTCAGCAGCAACACAGTGCAGACGGTCACACCCACCGCCTTCCCTGCGCTCTCCATGAGTGCTCCTGCTAACCAGTCCCTCACTGTCAATGCCAGCATCATCCCCCCTCCTGCCGCTGGTGCTGCTGCTGGTGCTGCTCCCTCCTCGTACAACATCTCTCTCTCCATCAGCAAGGACGCACTCCCGGTACGTGGCTCTTGTGGGGACTAACCTGTTTTTCTTATTACCGTATTTTCAAAGCCAGTTATGTTTTATGGTGTCATTTTTCCTCATCGCGTGGATTGCTCCTGAGCAGTTCTGTTATTTCTGCTCTTGTGTGTGCAGAAATCCACTGTCCGGGCAGCTGCTGGCTGGGGTGTAACCCTGATGTCAGTGATCTTCGCTCTCCTCCCCCTCCTGCCAGTCCTGTAGTTCCATGGCCGACCAGTTCCCATGTAGGTTGATGCACAGCACATGCAACATCGTGGTTACGCGGGATGAGCAGTGTATGCGATTTTTTAAGAGCCAGCTGTCGTTCCATGATTGGAGCATTTGGTCAGGCAGGGCTTCATGTGCATGCTCTGTTACCACACTTGCAAAGTGATGAAGAAGGTTCCTAGGCAACACAGTCTGGCACCGTCTCCGAAGACCAAAGAAAATCTGAAAGGAAATTCAAGAAGCACCTAGTATTAACTTGCACCTCCACATTGAATTCTCTTGCTTATGAACTGATTTTCTTCCGGATCCATCTGAGCAGAGACCAGCAAACGGACGAGAACCCCAGCAGCAGCACCGCCAACCCAAGCGCCTGCTGCAGGGGCAGTGTGACAAGCAGGTTCACGAGCACCCCTGCAAGCATCACACCAGCCAGGTTCGCAGTCAGCGCCTCCCAAAACGGCATCCCGAGAATGTACGCACCGATCGCCCCCGACCATGCTCCGGTGCCGGGCAGGGGGACGGCGACGAAGAGAGCGAGGCCGAGCCACTGGAACTCGGCGATGGGGGCGGCCTTGGCCCGGGAGTGCTCGAGGAAGGAGTTGAGGAGGGCTTTCAGGGAAGGGTTGATGCGGGCGAGAGTGGTGGTGGCTGGCCCGAGGAGAGTGAGGAGGAACGGCACTGGCACCATGTTGCTGTGGCGGGGGGCCAGGTAGGGTACAGGGGGAGAGGGAGGGGCTAGGATGGTGCTGACAGAACGGATCATGTTCTTCAACCAAATCTGCCCCATTTTTACTAGTGCTGAGAGATGAATTGTGTATGTATTGATGCATTTCTTCCTTATAATTTTGTTTTTGTAGCTCACCCGAGGACGGCAAGAGAGGAAGCTACTAATGGCTCCATGCCCATCCAGTAGGCGACAGGTATGGCGCCTCTTAACTCCACCACCGGCAGCGACGCGATGAAGGTCACGATCGCCGCGTCCGGCCAATGCGACTCGCGCAGCGCCGCCGCGACGCGCAACCCAAGACCCGACTTGGCTAAGGATGTCGCCGCGCCAGCCGCGGCTCCACTTGCGGCGGTTGCTGCAGCGGAGGGGTCGGAGGCTAGTGCGGGGAATGGGGTAATGAGGGAGAGGAAGAGCGGAAAAAGCGCCGTGGCGGCGACGAGGAGGATCGCGGGAAGGGCGGAAGGCAGCGTCGGAAGCGGAAGGCGGGAGTCTAAGGGGGAGTTCTGATGTCTTTGCGAGAAACGGGGGGGCGCAGCATCAACACTGTTGGAGGTGGGGATCTGAAGCGGGACGCTCTCTAAATGAGAGATTTCATTGTCAGCGCTCGCGCCGTTTCTGTCTGGAAAGGCGGCCGCAGCAGCGGAGGAGGATACTACGGGCGTGACTAGTCTTCTCGCGAAAAACGAGGCATGGCTTTGTGGCTGACGTGGCGACTGGAGCCGTTTAGATGGAACGAGCGCGCGGCGGGGAGAGAGTGCGCATTTGGCAGAAAGCGGAGGGGTTGAGCGGTATCGCTGCGCAGACGACAAATTGGATAATGCGCATTGGGAGGAAAGGGAAGATGCAGCAAGCGATCTTGCCCCTGCCGCAATTGCCGCCATGCTTGCAGAGGCGACGCCCGCGTCTAGTTACCAGCACGGCGACGTGTGAGAGCTATGGTCCAGAAGTGATGGTTTTGGGAGTGAGGGAGGTGGAGGCAGGAAGACGCACTATTGATCACCTCATAACCCTACCCAAACTCTGATATTTCCACAAAGCCACATTCAAACGCTTATAACCCTACGGAACCGCACTAGAGTGAACAATAGTAAGGTCGAAGCCTGGGGACGTAGGGATTCCACTTCTGCAGTGAGAGGCAAGTGCAAACAGGCGAACGTCGCTACTGGCGAAACAGAATTCCACGACCATGGTTACCCGTTTCAGGTCACTGGTTCCGTCAAAACTCTTACGTTCTGGGAGTGTAACATACGTGCTTGTGTGACAGCGAATACTGTGTACAACGGAGACTGCGTTTCCTGATTCAGAGCTTTGGGGAATGCCTTCTCCCTACCAGTGCAGTCCAATGATCAAATCATAGCAGTCAGTCACTCAGGACTAGATGCTTTTCGCTCGTTGCATGCTGGCCGACCCACGCACATAGATTGCATGCCGTCACATCAACCGAAGACATACATCGTTCCTGCTCTCTTTCCCCAGTGCTTTGTCCTACTTACTGTTACGGCCCAACCAACCATCATCCTTCGAGGTCGCTCTTTCCATTGATACTCGCGGCTGGCCCATAGCATCCCATCCCATTCACGCTGCGCCAGTGTGACTACACTCGTCTTTTCCGAACATCAGACTCGAAGGCTCTGAAAGCAGCTGTAGAGAAACATTTACAATCAGCGCATTAGTCGGTCGAGCGGCGATGGTGCTACTCCTTATCTCCATCCGATGCGAGCTAGAGAATCTGACCAACCTTCGGCCTGCGTCAGACGATTTCACATACTACATGAAACTCAGGTGAGTTTTCCTCAGTCACGGGACTTTTAGCACTTGCTAGAAACAAAATCTCGCCCATGGCGGTCAAGTGAAAGCCTTCAAAGTCCTGGTTAGCTTCAATCTGGGCGCATTACATGCTCTTTGAATTCGTTCGTAACTTTGCTCACCGTATGAAGGCTAGGTTATTTGGGTACTTTTACAAGGCTTGGATGTGTCACGGAGGTACAACAGACACTGGAAAGCAATGATTCGTGATTTCCGGAACCACCAACAGTCTCCCATTGACAGCATAACGACAGAGAAAAGCTGCTGACACCAACCTCATGCTGTTGTAATAAGAGGCGTGTACCTTCCCAGGGGTGGTATTTCAAGGCAAGTTAAACCTTGAATTCCTGTTATTTGACATTTTTTTTGTTGTTGTTGATTTTCAGATGTTCCTGTGGGGAAGTAAGTGAGAAAGAGTCGTCGGTGACAAAAGGGGAGGAGTACGAGATGAAAGGCAGCCGAGGCACTGCAAATCTCGTTCAGAAGGTAGCAGACAATATTTCCTGTTTGTTCGTTCCTCGTGTCATGCACTGAGGAGTATAATCAGACTCAGTCAGTCGACTAGGAAACCTGCTTTTAATATTCCCGAATTGTTTTAGCAATACACTTCATGTTGTGCAGTTTTCCTCTTTTCCAACTCTCCTTGCCCCTCAACCTGTTCACCCATCCCGTCCTCGCCTCCCCAATATGCGCACCTACAGTGTAATTTCTGCAGCCGTGTGGGCTCTATTTCATTGGTAGAAGGGCATGGTAAACCCTTTACGGCAGAAGATTGTGAGAACAGGAAGTTTGTCCCTTTAGTATGCCTGGACTGCAGAGGAATGGAGCCGGTGGAGTTTATTCCCAAGGACGGCTGGCAGGCGGAGGGGGCAGAGTCTGGTACCAAGTTTGAAGACATTGATTTGAGCGATAAGGAGTTTTCGGATTACGACGAGAAGGCAGGAGAGTCGGTGAGCATTCTCAACATTGAGTCTCAAATAAAGGTGACGAAGAAGTAGTTTCAAGAGCAAGCTGGTCTCAAATAGTTCACCAATCCTGGCTTGTTAGGCATCTGCCTGATAAGTAGGTGATATTTGGTGTGACCATAGATGCTGCAATAAGAGAAAGTGTGATTAGTAACATGTACTTCTTTTACCAACCTCGGGCTTGAACATTTTTTAACAGAGGACTACTTTGTTACGTTCTGCCGCTCTTGGGATAGGTTTGAAATCTGTGCACTTCTCACGCGGATAGACTGTTGTGGACGCGCAAATGGCCGCTCCGCCCATGCCATCACTCTCTCAGAGGGCAACAGTTTTTCCCCGTTTCACCGTGAGGATATACTAAAACAACGGGAAGGCTAATTTTTCAGCTTATTTGCTTGTTCTAGTCGGAATTTATAGCACAAATGCTGAAAAGAAACGTAAGTTCATGCCTTTTTAGCTGCCCGTTATCCACCTTGAATGCGATTCCGCATTTCGGCTTTCGTGCTGCTGCAGCAATTCCTCCTACACGAAAGCAGGTCCCTCCCATCCCATCAGCCTAGTCGAGACCAGACAAGAGCCGCCATGGTACACCCCAAGCATTCACTCGCTGGTCCAGTGATCTTGACCGACAGATGCCTTCATCGCCTTCGTCTAGCTTCACTTTCCCATTTCCCTTTTTGCAGATGCTTCCCGCTTTATCCCTTTATTTCCTCCATTGCTGGAGAGCAGATTCTTCTTTTTCGCACATGGAGATCTGCCCTGGTGGCGGGTGTTCGTGAAGGCAACGGAGGGTCTCACCCATATTCATGAACCTCCGTCCTCCCTGTAACCCTATGAGAGAGCTCTCCGGAATCAGCAGTACTTAATCTCGTTGCCGAGCACTTCGCGATCATTTGGCGCTGCTCCGAAGGCCTGCATTTTACCTGCATTGCAATCTTTCTTCTCGCGGCGCGTCCATCAGCCATCCGGCGAGCCGCCGCCGGACGGCCGCTGCTGTCCACTGCTGTCGCGGCTAACTAATCTCCGCTGGAGTTGCCGTACCTGCGTTCCTAACAAGACTGACTTCGCATCCCGAAGCTCGTTAACATGCCACCTCGTTACTTCCGCCTCCTCCACCTCCTCCTGCTCCCCCTCCTCTTCGCCGCACAATGCGGCGTCCCTCTGCCGGCGCAGTCCGCCGCAACTGCCGGCGCGATGGATCCCCTGCGGGAGGGCTTTGATTGGCTGCTGCATGAGCTCGGCGGAGCGGACGCGGACGAGTTTGCCGCGGGCGGAGGGGACGGCGCAGGCGCGGGGAGCGCTGCGCCGATGGACGGAAGCATCGAGGCTTCGCTGGAGGAGTCCGGGTTCGCGGAGCTGCTGACGTGGCTGCGCGAGAATGGCGCGGAAGGAGACGCGCTGACCGGAAAAAACCTCAAGGTGAAAAATGTCGCGATCATTCAATGAACCTTAAAATTAAAGGTGATGATGTTAGAGGGCCCTACGACAGCAAGGGCCCTCGATGACCTTTGACTTGGCAGGTCGGCGCCTAACGACTGAGTCTACTCGGCACCGACGCACGAGTTCGGTGGCGGTCATTAGTGACTACGGGTGACTGTGAGCTACTGCAGCGAACTCGGCGGAATCGGTGCTAGGAATGACGAGTCTTGGGGGTCGTAGGTGCCTTGCTTGTGAGGCACGCTGCTCACTTGCTGTGTTGGCAGGAGTAGCGTGCACGGTGAGACATTCCGGTGCCGAGTTGGGTTGGAAATGTGCGGGGCGCGTTCACCCACCTGCACAGCACTTTCGTGTGGGTTGGGTTACTCGCAGCGCCACGCAACAATTGTGCAACTCTTGCTTGCCTATATATGTTTGTGTTTGCTTGTGTGTTTGATAATTGATATTGCAATTCTACTTGGCCCAAATGCTACTTCAATTCTCACAAAGTCCTTAGAGGCAAACGCTACCAAAACTCTACCAAGTTGCTGGCGCAACATCATTCCCATAGCAGAGACTCTCTCGCTATCGCTACGCTCTCTAATATATTCCTACATGGTGCGGTGAGCGTGGAACGAACACGCATAGATTTCCGTCGACGTTCGTTAGTATACTCGCCTTGGCGTGCGGCGTTAGTGAAGGGCGCTCATTAATTTAAGTTGAACCTCTCTTAATTTCCCTCCAGTTACGTTCTCGGACCCAAGGATAGGGCGCTTGGTAATTTATTACCATTCGTCTGAGGACCCTTGTGAGGTGACCCCGAGACGAGGGATTCAAGGAAGGGACAATTTATTTTAATTTGTGGTACCTTGTAGAGACATCGTAGAGGATGAGTACGGAGGAGACGAACGTGGAGGCCGGTAGTCTTCGCGCACTAGAGGAGGATCTCGAGGCCCGTCATTCTCGTGGTGAGCTTAGTGATCTAGAATACGAGCTCATGATGGAGGGATTACGCTCTCGTCAGCCTCGCGACCATCCCTCGCCACGTGTAGAGAATGTTGAGCAAGCTGCGGGAGGTACTAGTGCGTGGGATATGCTTGGCGATGGCGGAAATAGCGATGACGAGGAGCTTGATGGGTTGATGTCGCGTGGGGTCCTGCGAGGACCAACTCGGTTTAGTACGGCTAGCGTCGGCGGTGTACAGGAGCGTGTTCATCGTGCAGCAGCGTCACGAGAGCATGCGAATGTAGGACGGCGGAGCGTTGCTGGAGGAGGAAATGCGGAAGAGTACGATAGTGAGGCTATGCCGGGCGTTACCCCGATTGGATCGATGTCGAGGGACGAGGGAATAGCCCCCAACTATGGCTTCTTCAAATTCACTCCAGACAAGATCGTCGTCCCTAGGCCATTAGAAGGACGTCACGACCTGTCGACGTGGACAGAATCGATCGAGCCGCAGCTTGAGATCGCTCAGTTAAAGCGATTCATAGATGGCACCACTCCCATTCCACCAGCGCGTGCACTTGCACATCTCTCTCAGTTCCGCGCGATGCAGTTGCTAACGTTCACCACCATTTCCCGATGCTGCTCCCCAACCGTACAGATCGCCCTTAAGGCGTGCCGCTTCAAGGTAGATGCCGGCTTTCAGGCATGGCAGTTTATCATGCGCACGTATATGGCGAAGGACGACCTGTACATAGGTCAGCTAGAGCAGGCGCTCACTAACCTCGAGATGGGAGAGCATGAGTCCGCTACGTCCTATTGCAACCGTGCGCAGCAGATCCTAGTGAACCTGAGGATGGCCGGCGTAGATTACTCGCAGGCGTCGTACATTACTCACGTTGTGAAGGGGTTGCCGCAGCAGTACAACCTCTTACGCAGGATGCTGAAGTTGCCGCAGGTGCGCAAGGAGTTGGACGAGGACACCCTCGCTAGCTACATCATCGAGGAGGAATGTACGCTGGCGGCGGAGGGACGAAAGGACCAATTCCTTCCCCAGGCTAACCAGGTCTTTACCAAGAAGGGTAAGCCCCAATTCCAGCAGACTTCATTCCCTTCCCCTCCCACTACGGCACAGCAGCAGCAGCCTAAGAATGGGGGTGGGCTTGGTGGGGGAGGGGAGAAGTGGAAAGGGGGTAAGGATGGCCAGCCGAAGGGGGGGAAAGGGGGCTTCAAGGGGAAGTGCTATGTGTGTGGACAAATAGGGCATGTTGCTAAGTACTGTCAGCAGCGGGCGGATAAGGAGGCAGACACCGGTGGAGAGGGTTCTGGAGGTAGCAGCGGAAAGGGGGGTGATGGCTCTAAGGGGAGCGGGCAGTCATCATGTGCGATGGTGAAGCCCGTTGTGGAGCAGACTCCTCTCGTTGTGCTAGAGCCTGAGGCCGGGGAGGGCTTACAGGCTGTTGCAGCTGCTGTGAAGGCGAACCCGAGCGTCGTGCTGCTTGATAGCGGATGCTCCCACCATCTCATGGGAGATCGTTCTGCCTTTGTGGAGATGAGCAGCGGCGGCAGTATTAAACAGGTTATCGGCTTCAACGGCGCTCTTCAGGAGGTGCAGGGGCGGGGCACAGTCGCTCTTCTTGGAGAGGGGGGCAGGCGTGTCTTGGTGCCGGACGTGCTGTACGTACCAGGAGTGCAGGCGAGTCTTCTCTCTGCTGGGCAGCTGCGTGATAGTGGTGTGCAGCTGCTGGATGCCGGGGATGTGACTTTGCTGCGGGCACCAGATGGATCGCTCCTTGGTCGTGCAGAGTTCAAGGGGCGTGTTCTCTGCACGAACTTCCAGCCGTGTTCGACGCAGCAGCAGGAAGGCGAAACGGTGGCACTTCGTACCTTGGCGACCGGCGTACGGTCTAAGGGGGACCTGTGGCATGCGCGTATGGCACACGTTGGTATTGATGCCATCGAGCGCACAGCGGCTCACGGGTCAGTGAAGGGCTTGGATTTGGAGAAGGGGGGCAAGTCAGGCATACCTTGTGTCTCCTGTGTTGGGGGAAAGATCACTCGTCATACCTTTCCTTCTGTGGGAGAGGAGGAGGATGAGTTGCTCGGGGTGGTGCATGCTGACCTGTGTGGCCCTTTCCGTGAAGCAGCTAAGGACGGCAGCCGCTACTTCTTGGTGCTGAAGGATCGCAAGACGCGATATGTCTGGGCCTACCCTTTGGCCCAGAAGAGTGATGCGCTGGCGGCGTTCCAGAAGTGGCTCCCGATGGCAGAGCGACAGTGCAAGACCACGGTGCAGGCGCTGCGCACTGATCGGGGTGGCGAGTTCCTGGGGCACGACTTCACGCTCTTCCTCGACGGTAAAGGCATCATCCATGACCTCACATGCCCGTACACGCCGGAGCAGAACGGGATGGCCGAGAGGGAGATGCGCAGCATTGTGGAGGCGGTGCGGACGATGTTGCTGCACATGGGTGTGCAGCATCACTGGTGGCACCTGGCGTTGGCTCAGGCCGTCTGGGTGCGCAACCGCGTGGAGCACGCCTCACTACCCTCTGGTGTGACGCCGTACGAGCTCGCCTTCCGACGCAAACCTGATGTCAGTATGGTGCGTGTTTGGGGCTGCATGCTGCAGTACATGGTACCACAGTCGCAGCGTGGGGGGAAGCTGGCGCCCAAGGCTCGCTGGGGGTTGCACTTGGGGGTGTCAGCAGCGAGCAAGGGCTGGACCGTGCTGGACTTGGAGTCCAACCGCCTCATCACCACTGTGGAAGCTGTGTTCTATGAGACCATGTCTTTGGCAGGATGGAAGGCTTGGCATCAGCAGGAGCATGGGGGGCGTGGTGATCCATGGTGATCACCGTCCATGGTGATCACCGACGGGCAGCGCCTTGTGACCGAGCAGCTGCAGGATGAGAGTAGTATGGATGGAGTGCAGCAGAGTGGGGGGATGGAGATAGGGGAGCAGCAGATAGAGGTGCAGCAGAGTGGGGAGCTGCAGATAGGGGAGGAGCAGATTGAGGACCAGCAGATGGTGGACCGGCAGCCAGGGGAGCAGCAGACAGGGGAGCCGCAGACGGGGGAGCAGGAGATGTGGGGAATTAGAGATGGTGGTCGTGTGTTGGTTTCTGGGACGACCACTGCGTCGCTCCACTCGCATCACTCGTGGTGTCCCGCCTGTTCGATACGCTTGGGCTGTAGTGGTTGAGCCAGCGGGCTTGGATGACGAGGAGGAGGACGAGGAGTGGACTGACCTGGACCCGGACGTGGCAGCTGACCCTGAGAGGCAGTGGGACATAGCGAAAATGACAGTGAAGGAGGCCTTGGGCTGCTGGAAGGGAGACAAGGTGAAGGAGGCGATGGATGAGGAGATGCGGAGCTTGATTGAGCAGGGGACGTGGGAGTTGGTTCCGCGTCCGCCAGGGGTGAATGTGATGAAGAACCGCTGGATTTTGAACACCAAGTTCCGACCTGATGGGATAGTGGAGCGTGAGAAGGCGAGGCTGGTGGTGAAGGGGTTCACGCAGGTGGCAGGGGTGGACTATGAGGAGACGTACGCCCCTGTGGGAAGCTATGTGACGGCGCGTGTGCTTCTGGCGATTGCAGCTGCACTTGATTTGGACCTTATGCAGCTCGATGTGAAGAACGCGTTCCTCCATGGCGTGCTGGACCAAGACCTTTACATGGAGCAGCCGAGCTACTACGAGGATGGGACTCCTCGTGTCTGTAAGTTGGTGAAGAGTCTGTATGGGCTCAAGCAGAGCCCGATGCTATGGTATGAGGCCTTGGATGGGGTGCTGCTTGGGGCTGGATGGAAGAAGAGCAAGGTGGATGAGGCTCTGTACTTCAAGACTGATGCTGAGGGGGAGATGTGCTGGCTGCTGGTGTATGTGGATGACCTGCTTGCTGCCAGCCGCAGTCAGAGCATGCTAGCGGAGCTGCGTGACCTGCTGCAGAGTGCCTTTCAGCTGCGGGAGATTAGCCCTGTGGAGAAATATCTGGGGTTGCAGCTGATTCGGGACAGGCCCACGAGGAGGCTGTGGCTGCACCAGGGGGCCTATGTGGACAAGGTCCATAGGCGCTTCTTTGACGGGGAGCAGCCGCTGCGAGTGCCTCGCACCCCTCTTTCCTCTGACCCTTTCAGTGTGCAGACCTTCGAGGATGTGGGATGGCAATCTCGCCAGGAGGAGGAGTACAGGCAGAAGGTGGGATCCTTGCAGTTCGCGGCCTGTACCACCCGTCCCGACATCTCGTTCGCCTGCAGCAAGCTGGGGTCGGGCCAGACTGTGCGGAGTGATCAGCACTGGAAGGAGTTGGACCGGTGCTTGACGTACTTGGTGGGGAGCAGGGATGTGGCGCTGGAGTTTGGTGGTGGGCCGGAGTCCTTGGAGCTGGTGGGCTACGCCGATGCTGATGATGCAGGGGACAAGCAGAACAGGACCAGCACAGGTGGCTATGTCTTCGTGCTCGGGGGTGCTGCTGTCTCATGGGCGAGCCAGCGGATTCGTTGCGCCACCCTTTCCTCCACTGAGTCTGAGTACGTTGCTGCTGTGGAGGCTGGGAAGGAGGCGCGCAGGCTGCGCTTCCTGCTGGCAGAGTTTCAACTGCTGAGGAGTGAGGAGCCCACGACTCTCTTTGTGGACAACTCCTCCGCCATTTCAGTGGCAGGTGGCATGGGGCTCAAGGGGAGCCTCAAGCACATGGAGCGTCGTCACATGTGGCTGCAGCACATGGTCAAGCGCAGGAAGCTGCAGCTGCAGTACATCCCTACGAGCGAGCAGCCTGCTGACTACCTCACAAAGGCATTGTATTTCCCCGCCTTCAGTCGTTGCTTCGAGGCTGTGGGGCAGGTGCGGCTCTCGAGCGAGGGGAGTGAGACCTAGACACTCCATGATGTGGATGGTGCCATGGCCTATCCATGGCTGGTGCGGTGCGTGTTTACACTTTGAGCGTGTTTCGTTTGTGTGTATCCCTTTGTTTTGGTGTGTATGTGTGTATGCATGCCCTGTGATTATAAAGGGCCTTGCTGTAGTATGGCAGGGGAGTGTTAGAGGGCCCTACGACAGCAAGGGCCCTCGATGACCTTTGACTTGGCAGGTCGGCGCCTAACGACTGAGTCTACTCGGCACCGACGCACGAGTTCGGTGGCGGTCATTAGTGACTACGGGTGACTGTGAGCTACTGCAGCGAACTCGGCGGAATCGGTGCTAGGAATGACGAGTCTTGGGGGTCGTAGGTGCCTTGCTTGTGAGGCACGCTGCTCACTTGCTGTGTTGGCAGGAGTAGCATGCACGGTGAGACATTCCGGTGCCGAGTTGGGTTGGAAATGTGCGGGGCGCGTTCACCCACCTGCACAGCACTTTCGTGTGGGTTGGGTTACTCGCAGCGCCACGCAACAATTGTGCAACTCTTGCTTGCCTATATATGTTTGTGTTTGCTTGTGTGTTTGATAATTGATATTGCAATTCTACTTGGCCCAAATGCTACTTCAATTCTCACAAAGTCCTTAGAGGCAAACGCTACCAAAACTCTACCAAGTTGCTGGCGCAACATCATTCCCATAGCAGAGACTCTCTCGCTATCGCTACGCTCTCTAATATATTCCTACAGATGAATCCGCAACCATCAATGCTACATTGTCAAACATGAATATGCGACCATCGATAATATATCGAACTCAAAAAAGTCTCACACATCGAAACTAACATTGCATTTTTTTTTTTTTTTTTTGGGCTATTGTGTTGAACCTTGAGGTGGAATGCCGATAGAACATTCCTTCCTGAGCGGATACTTTTTCGGCATGCGTTGGCATGGGTTATGCAGTGTTTCGTGTAGATAAATTCCGTCTACATACTTTTGATTGAGAATGAGAGCGTCATTAAGAATGCAGGGTGTGTACTAGAGCATATGCTAGCACGGATTGTGCCAGCCATGTCCAAGATTTCTGCGTACGAGTCTACAATGCTGAAATTTCTTGTGACGCATTCACGATTTACATCTCAAATTTCCCGTTTCTTCGTTCTAGATTTTTTTCCACGCACGGCTTTGCTGCTGGGACCATTTTTTTTTGTAGTAACACAGACGCTAGTGTCAGATTAAATGCTCTTAAAATGGTGTGAACGAACGTCTGTACGCCGTGTATCAAGCATCTACCTTTTTCGACTGTTCCATCAAGCCTGCTACCTTGTTCCTATTCTGCTCGCACGACCCAACCTTGCAGCTGAAGGTGTATAAAGTGGAGATTCCAGACGACTCTGGCTCGAACACTACGACTGAAGACTCTGGGATTAAGGAGGTGGGGGATGGTGCGACGGAAGAGAAGGAGGTGAAGGAGAAGGAGAAAAAGAAAGAGGAGAAAAAGAAAGTTGTGAAGAAAAAAGTGGTGAAGAAGAAAGCGTATGATGACTATTACGATGATGAAGATGAGGAAGAGGAAGAAGAGGAGGAAGAGGAGGTGGACGATGATGAGGAAGAGGATGAGAAGAGCGGAGGCGCAGCAGGCGGTGAAAAGGAGAAGCCGAAGAAGTTCCGGTGAGTGGAAGGCCTTGGATGTTCGGTTTCTGAGTTCAGGGCCTTACAATGCAGGAGTCAGGGTTCAGGGTTCTGGGTTCATGGTTAGGGTCAGGTTTCGGGTTTAGGATGGAGGAAACCGGATTGTTGTATTGTAGTCGTTGCGTGGAGAGGAGATAGTACCCCAGTCTGTGCTGTCTTTCAATCGCCGCGTGCGGCTGCGAGGGCTACAGTCTTGGATGGAGCCCCCGATGCAGTCTCGGGTGCAAACTTTAGCACACGTTATTCATTTCAGCACATGCTATTTTTTTCAGCATAGGTTATTGTTTTCAGCACATGTTATTCTTTTCAGCACATGTCATTCTTTTCAGCACATGTTATTCTTTTCAGCACATGTCATTCTTTTCAGCACATGTTATTCTTTTCAGCACATGTCATTCTTTTCAGCACATGTCATTCTTTTCAGCACATGTCATTCTTTTCAGCACATGTTATTCTTTTCAGCACATGTCATTCTTTTCAGCACATGTTATTCTTTTCAGCACATGTCATTCTTTTCAGCACATGCTATTCCTTTCAGCACATGTTTCTCGCTTTGGCCTAGAAGGACCAGCAGCCAGCCTCACATGCTCAATTGCTGCTTGTGGGATGCCTCGCAACTCAACAACCCAACTCCCTCCATTCCTCTCCTCACCTCGCTTTCCCCTTACCCTTCCCCTTCTCCTCCTCTCCCCCCTCCCCTCTCTCCCCCTCCTCTCCCCCCAGGTTCTTCCCCCAGCTGCTAGCAGCAGCGCCCATAGGCGCGGGGCAGCTGCTGCTGCGCCTGCCCCTGCCCCTGCTGCTCAACGCCTCGCGCTGCTCCGCGCCCTTCCCCCGCCACCCCCTCCCCCCACGCCTCCCCCTTTCCCCCGAAGGCGACCTCGCCGCCTGCCTGCTGCTGCTACAGCAGCAGGGGGAGGGGGGCGAGCCGGGGAAGGGAGTGGCGGAAGGAGAGGGGGAAGCTGCGGGGGAAGGTGAGGGAGTGGGTGAGAGCTGGGGAGCGCAAGTGACTCCTGCTGTGCTGCCGGCGCTGCTGGCGTCCCGCACGGCCCACCTGCTGCCCATGCTCAGAAACGACCTCCCCCACCTGCCCCTCCTCCACCAGGTCCGCCCTCCCCCTCCCCCTCCTTCTCGCTCTCCACCTTGCCTTCCCCTTCCCCCTCCTTCTCGCTCTCCACCTTGCCTTCCCCTTCCCCCTAAGCTCCCCTCACCTCCCCCACTTCCCAAGTTCTTGCTCCCTGTTATCCCACTCCCGTCGCTGCCCCCAATCCACCCACCCCTCTCTTCTCCCTACCCCTCTCGCCCCCTCTGCTTCGCCCTCCCCACTTCGCCCTGCCCATCTCACCCTCTCTGCATCGCCCTGCCCGCTTCTTTCTGCCCCTCGTGACCTCTCTGCATCTCCCTGCCGTTCATCCTGCCAGGCCTTGGCTCAGAGGCAGCAGTACGAGCACGAGTATGCCAACTGGACCGCCACAATTAGCACCACCACTGGCAGCAGCAACAGCAGTGCTGTGTCGCTGCCGTCGCTGCAGCAGTTTCTGGCGACGGTGGCGGCCGTGAGGGCGCTGGCTCTGCCCATGCGCCTGCCGCCCCTGCCGGAGGGGGATGCGGAGGGGGAGGAGCAGGGGGGCAGGGGGAAGAAGGGCGGGAAGAAGGGCGGAAGGAGGGGAGGGAAGAGGCAGAAGAAGCAGAAGCAGCGGCGGTTTGAGCTGACGGTGGTGCCTCTCGTAAATGCTGTAGCGCGGGCCAATGAGAGGAGCCAAGGGAACGTGCGATGGGAGGTGAGATGAGAGGCACCACGAGAAAGTACAGTGGCAGGTGAGAGGCTGTCTGAACACTGGCAAGCTGCAATGGCAGGCTGGTTGGGTGGGTGGTGTGGTGTGGTGTAGTGTGGTGTGGTGTGGACCCTACGTAGTTGAGATGTTACCATAGCAGCCCCCTTCGAAATCCCACCTATTGGCTTCATACGTCTGATGCCCTGTCTCTCCTATCCCCCCCATCCCCATTCCCCGACCCCTCTTCTCTCCCCGCACCCCCAGCCAGCTCACCCACGCGGGGTTCCACCTGAGGGCGTCTGCATTCCCTTCTCCCTTACAATCCCTTTATCCCCACCCCACCCTCCCCCCCTCTCTCCCCGCAATCCGCAGCTCACCCACGCGGGGTTCCACCTGAGGGCGTCAGAAGCCATTCCCACCGGGGCTGCCCTCGTGCTGCCTCTCAACGGCGGCCTGCCCGACCCGCTGCAAGCAGCAGCAGCGCATGCAGGGGCGCAGGGGACAGCAGCAGACAGGGAGAGCGAGGAGGAGGATGGGGAGGGGGGAGTGCACTTGACATCATTGGAGGAGGTGGAGGAGGCAGACAGCCACGTGTCGCCGGTCACGCTGCTCTCGAACGACGATGCCTTCCTCTCCCTCGGGATCATCTCCCTCTGCTCCGCCTTTGATCGCGTCCAGGTCGGTACTGAGTGGTGCAGGGAGGTTTGGAGCGGTGCAGGCCCGTTTGGAGTTGTGTAATCTGTTGTGAGCGGTGCAGGTCGCTCGTGAGAGGTGCATGTGGGTCGGGAGGGATGCGGTTTTGTTGTTATTGTGGGTTTCGTGTGATGCACTCACAGACACGGGTTCACAAGAATCGTTCCCCCATTTGCTTGCCAGGTGGAGATCGAAATAACCAATTCTTGTCATTCCCACAGTCCCCATTCCCCCCCCCCCCCCCCCCCCCACAACCCCCATTTCCCCTATCAAATTTCTCGTTGCCCCCATGTTCCCCCATCACTCTCACCATACCCCATTTCGGCCCACTTCCCCCCGTTCCCCACATTTCCCCCACTTTTCCTCATTTCCCCCTACTAGCACCCACCTGTGCCAGCTCGTCCCGTCGTACGATGCACACACTCAGCACGTATTGCTCAGCACATCCTCATCCGCCTTTTCCTCTGTCACTTTCTCTTCTTCAGCCCCCCCTTCCTCTTTTTCGAATGTTGGTCCCCTCATATGATGACCGTGCAGGCATTTTGTTGATTACTCATTCCCCCCTGAACCCCTTCCCTCCACTCTTTTCCCCCCCCCCGTCTCTTCCCCCTCTCTCCCTTTTCTCTACCCTTTCCCCCGCTCCTTCGCCCGCATCAGCTCTACCCGTCATACGATGCGCTCACGCAGAGCGTCCTCAGTGCAGCGCACGTGAACCCCGACTTCAAGCTGTCAGCCTTCATGAAGCTGGCTGATCGCGTGCGCACAGCGCTGCTCAAGGAGGTGATGTGGTGGGGGAGGGGAGGAAATGGCACTCACACTCACACCCCACCCATGCCCCTATCTCCCCTCTCTCTCCCCTCCCTCTCCCCCCCTTCTCTTTCCACCCTTCTCCCCTCCCCTTCCCCCCCGCATCAGCTCTACCCGTCATACGACGCGCTCACGCAGAGCGTCCTCAGTGCAGCGCACGTGAACCCCGACTTCAAGCCATCAGCCTTCATGAAGCTGGCTGATCGCGTGCGCGCTGCACTGCTCAAGGAGGTGCTGTGTTGGGGGGAGGGAGGAAATGGCAATCACACCCACACCCCACCCATGCCCCTATCTCCCCTCTCTCTCCCCTCCCTCTCCCCCCCTTCTCTTTCCACCCTTCTCCCCTCCCCTTCCCCCCCGCATCAGCTCTACCCGTCATACGACGCGCTCACGCAGAGCGTCCTCAGTGCAGCGCACGTGAACCCCGACTTCAAGCCATCAGCCTTCATGAAGCTGGCTGATCGCGTGCGCGCTGCACTGCTCAAGGAGGTGCTGTGTTGGGGGGAGGGAGGAAATGGCAATCACACCCACACCCCACCCATGCCCTATCTCCCCTCTCTCTCCCCTCCCTCTCCCCCCCTTCTCTTTCCACCCTTGTCCCCTCCCCTTCCCCCCCGCATCAGCTCTACCCGTCATACGATGCGCTCACCCAGAGCGTCCTCAGTGCTGCGCACGTGAACCCCGACTTCAAGCCGTCAGCCTTCATGAAGCTGGCTGACCGCGTGCGCACAGAGCTGCTCAAGGAGGTGCGCGGGGTGAAGCAGCAGGTGCTCTCCACCCTGGTGCAGGAAAAGCTGCTCGCTGCCGCTGTGCGGGCCGAGAGCGGCCGCGGCGTGGGAGGGAGAGGCGGCAAGGGGGAGAGAGGAGGAGGGGTGAAGGGAGGAGGAAAGGGAGGAGGGAAGGGAGTGGTTGGGAAAACGGAGGAGGCGGGGAAGGAGGAGGAGGGGTGTGGAGGGGGCGTGGTGGATCAGCTGCTGTTCTGGGAGAGGCGACGGGCCATGCGGCAACGGTACCGGCAGCGGCAGAGGAAGCGAGCCGCTGCCCTGCTGGCTGAACTAGAGGCTGAGAGGGCAGAACGAGGCGAGGTAGAGGGAACGGGCAAGGGCAAGAAGGGCAAGAAGGGGAGGAAGGGGAGGAAGGGGAGAGGAGATGAGGAGGAAGAGGAGGAGTGGGGGGAGGACGAGGAGGATGCGGTGGAGGGTCTGTATGTGTACTCGGGTGGCAGGATGGACCCTGAGCTGGTGGCGTACTTCAGTGCCGTTGTGCTGCTGGCTGCCACAGGGCAAAGTGAGTTGCGTGTGTGAAGGATTGTTTAAGGTTCGCAAAAGTGAACATGGATCCTCCCGTTCGGGTGGCAGGATGGACCCTGAGCTCGTGGCGCACTTCAGTGCCGTTGTGCTGCTTGCAGCTACAGGCCAAAGTAAGTGAGTCGGGCTTTGCGGCACCCCTCAGGCTGCCTCAAAGCCCAAAGGGGGATGCGGTGGAGGGGCTGTATGGGTATTTGGATGGCAGGATGGACCCTGAGCTGGTGGCGCACTTCAGTGCCGTTGTGCTGCTGGCTGCCACAGGCCAAAGTGAGTCGTGTGTGCGCTTACTTGCACAGGGCTGCTTGTCAGGTAGTTCCCCTGTATCTGTTCGCTCGTGGCGCACTTCAGTGCTGTTGTGCTGCTGGCTGCCACAGGGCAAAGTGAGTCGCGTCTGCTGCACAGAGTTGCTCGTTGGGTAGCTCCTCTATATCTAACAGCTGGTGTCGTGATTCAGCGCTGTTGTGCTGCTGGCATGGCAGCCACAGGGAAAAGTGAGTGACTTGCGTGTGCGGAGCATTTGTGAGACTTCCTTATGATGAAAGTCGTTCATGCTTTTCAGCAGCCCTGAGGTCGCATGTGTGTTTAGTTACACAGAATGGCTTGCTTGTGTATTGGGTTGGGCTTACCTACCCAGCTCCCACTCCCTCCTCCCCTCGCCCCTCCAGTGCCTGACATCATCTCCTTAGCGCGAGTGAGCATGGCATACGCATAGAGCCTGGACGGCTTCTCAGGCATTGAAAAAACCCTCTCTTCTCCCATCCCCTTCCCTCGTGTATTGAGGGTGTTTTTGGGACGTCTCAAACATACGCATGGAGCCTGGATGGCTTCTCAGACATAAAAAAAAAACCCTCTCCCCTCCCATCCCCTTCCCTCCCTTCCCTCCCTTGTCTCCCACCCCACTCCCTTTTTATCAGTGCCGGACGTCATCTCCTTGGCGCGTGTGAGCGTGTCATACGCATGGAACCTGGACGGCATCACAACATGCACGTACATGCCGCTGCTCTCCGACCCCTCCCACCCGCTCTACATGCGCATCCCCCTCGACCCCACCAACCCCTCCGCCTCGCCGCCGTCACCCGGTAACCACCCGGTGGTAACCGCACTCTCGCTTGCCCTGGACGTCACTGCCAGCAGCCTGCAGCGGCCGATATCAGATCTCATGACTGCAATGATTGCTCTCGACGAGGTCGGGCGGCGACTGATAGAGACGGAGCCCATCTGCCACATGGCGCAGCACTCTGAGATTCTATCCGAGACCCTGGATAAGGTGAGTGACGCTCGGTGTGCCACATGAGTGACGCTCGGTGTGCCACATGAGTGACGCTCGGTGTGCCACATGAGTGACGCTCGGTGTGCCAGATGAGTGACGCTCGGTGTGCCACATGAGTGACGCTCGGTGTGCCACATGAGTGACGCTCGGTGTGCCACATGAGTGAGGGAGCTCAGCTCTTGTGTTAGGTTGCATACCCATGAGTTTTGTCGGCACCGACTTGAAGGCTGATAGGGACAGAGCCCATCGGCCACATGGCACAGCACTCGGAGATTCTCTCCGAGACCCTGGATAAGGTGAGAGAGAGAGAGAGGATTAGCCTCTCCCCTTCTACCCTCTGCCCTCTGCTTTCTGCCCTCTGCCATGACTACTTAAGGCCACGGCGGCCTCTCGATCTCTCATTCTTTCAGTTAGTGCTGAAAATTTTGGCGCTTCGCGCCGGCGGCCTTCGGCCGCCGGCGCTCGCGTGCGCGGCCTTCGGCCGCGCGTTAGGGATGGCAAGGGGAAACAACAAGCAGTAGTAGCTTAGGCAACCGATACAAACAAAGCAAGCATAGACACTTAGCAAGTAGAGGATGGAACGGGTCTACACGCGCAAGGGGGGAGCGCCTACATGCGGTCCGCCTCTACCGCAGCGAGCATTCCGCTCGTGTTCAACCACAACTGGCGGACCACAGACACGGTGGCGCCTACAACGTCAACAGAAGTACCAGGGCCTGCTACAAGCGTCCTCAGAGCCAGGGCCGAGTCAGACAGCTGGCTGGCCGAGGTTGCTCCCGGCGAGGGCGCTACCTGCAGTGGCGTTACGAGCGCGAATAGCGCTGACGCCGCCGCATGACAATCTGCTTGCGGTTTCTGAGAGAACCTGCTCGGAGGGCTCACCGGCATGGAGTCAAATGACTCCTGGAGAATCCGCTCAAGGCTCTGCAGGGACGCCGCCAGCGACCATAGGCGGGCCAGGGTCGCCGTGGGAACTTCCTTCATCGGCGGAAGTAACGCAGACGCGCGGGCACGGTGAGACGACACGGCGAGATCACGCGGAGCAGGAAGAGGACGCGGCGGAGCAAACTGAGCCCACGGCGGCCCGCCACCAGCACCTACGAAGCCCATCCCCGCAGGCAGCGGCCGCTCTGAACGCGCCGGGGATCCAAAGGGATTGTGGGGCAGGAGCGCGGAGAGAGGGACGACGGGAGCAGCGCGAGGAGCTGATGGTGACGCCGACCCCGCACGCGAGCGACGAAGCTCCTTCTCCACGTCATCAAGCCTATCCAGAAGACGGCGCTCCATTGCGGACGGCGCTGGACCCGCTTTTCCGTCGCGACTGTCACCTCCCCGTCGCCCACGACGCGCACGCCCACTTGCGCTCGAGCGCACAGGCGACTGCGGGCGAGATGGGCCCTGCTGACGCTGGCGGCCAGGAAAACGGTCCCCGCGACGAGGGGAGTAGAGCCGTTGGCGCTTTGCAGGAGGGGGCGAACGCGGAGCTGGGGGCCGACGCCCAGACGTCTGGCGGGCAGGCGACCGCTGGCGAGATGAACGATGAGGGGGCGAACGATGACGATGCGAACGGCGGTCACGGGATCGGCTTCGCGACGCCACGCGACGAGGCGAACGAGGAGACAGCGGCGAACGGGCCGCACCGTGACGATCATCGCGGCGGCTCTCCTGCTTATCGTCGCGAGCTGCCGATGAGCGACGGCGAGGCGAACGCTCCTGGTGCGCCACAGCCTCTGCGCCGGAGCGCAAGACGGACCCCGCGCGCAGGGGCTCCGGCGGTGACAAGGACCTGCCCGCGCGCCGAGCCAGCTCGCGCTGCTGGTCCTCGAAGCGGCGGCGGATCTGATCAGCGGACGCCGGTGGGGCAACAGGTACGCTCGCGGCAGGGCGTGCAGGAGGAAGCGGATGGGGAGCGGGATCGCTCTCCGCGGTGCAGTCGCGGCCCAAAGCGCCGAGGAAATCCATCGGCGAGCGCTCAGGGCGCTCCACTGCCACAAGAGGAGCCGACGACGCCGATCTCCCAGGCGCAACAGGCGGCACCTGTGGCAGCCACTCCGAGGAGCAGACGGGGAAGCACGCGGGGGAGAGGCGGGGGTCGAGGAGCGCGCGGAGGACAGCGGAGTGCAGGCCAAGCGGCGAGGGGGAATCCGCGCCAACTACCGAGCCCAATCTGGTTGGGGGAGCCGGCGGAACGAGTCACGCGCCAGTCGTTTGCTAGACGCGGGGGGAGAGGGGGAACGACAGCGCAAGCAGTGAGAATCGGTGATACAAACGCAGAAGGGAGCGGCGACGAATATGTACCGTCAGATCTGAGGCAACCCGACAACCCCGACTCACCTCTCGCGGAAGCGGGGGAGGACCAGGCGCAGCAGCAGGAGAGAGGTTCTAGACGCCGACAGAACCGCAGACCCCAACCCCCTCCGGACCAAGCCCTGTCAGCGTCCCAGCTGGCATCGAGGGAGGATCTCTTCGAGATCGCGATGAGCTGGGACTCTTCAACCCTAACGTCAACCACCCACCTGCCTATCGTCCGCCGCCTGCCGCCGCAGATACTAAGCGACTACTCCACCTGTATGCTGGCTGCCCTCTTACGGATCTCCAAACTGCCAAACTGCGCGGGAGCGTGGCGGGTCCTCATGTTCCTGCCACGTCTCACCTTACAACTTAGCAGGAGGTCCAGCTCTAAGTGGAAGGTGCTGCGAGAGCAGATGCACCTATTCAGATGTGGCCACTGGAACCAGCTCTACAGTGACTACGTGGGGTCCCTGCACCAAGCTGAGCCACCTCAGCACCAAAACGACCCCCTGGGAATCTGCTCACGTGTGGAGGGGTTGGTGAAACGGGGTAACCTGCGAAAAGTGTTGGCAGCCCTTTCACCCTTGCCAGCGGCCCCTGCGACGATCGCAACATTGCAGCAGTTGGAATTGAAACATCCCCAACCCCAAGTTGAGCTGCCCGACTGGGTCCACACCTACACAACACCCACGCAATTTTCGTGCACCGCGGAAAGTTTCTCAGACGTCCTTGGGGATTGCCCCAGCGGAGTTGGGGCTGGTCCATCCGGGTCAACATTTGAACACTACCGCGACCCAGCCCTAAGCAACATCGAAGTGCTGGGGCACCTACACTCCGCCGTAACACATCTTCTCTCCACGAATCTTTCCACCGAGGTTGCAGCACTACTCTCGCCATCCCGCCTCATCGCCTTCGCGAAACCAGGGGGGGGGGGGTACGCCCTATCGCAATAGGGGAATCCCTACTCCGGTTGGCAGCAAAGGTGGCACTCTCGGAACTGCAAGGAGAAACAAGGCGATTTTTCTTACCCCAACAATTCGGTGTGGCAGTCCCAGGCGGAGCTGAGTTCGTTATACATGCAGTCAGAGACCTCACCACTTCACAACCTTCCAGCCTAGTCCTCCAACTCGACATTGAAAACGCTTTCAACTCCGTAGAGAGGAAAGCGTTCTTCAACGCACTCACCAACACCCCGCTAGCACCGCTCATACCTTTCACCCGCTCCTTCTACGCAACGCCTTCTCAGCTGCTGACCGATCCCCGCTTGAGCACGACGGCACTTACCAGCGGAAGGGGGGTGAGGCAGGGGGACCCCCTCGGACCTAGGTTGGCATAAACGCGTTTGGCGTATATACGCGTTCCGTATATACGCTAGCGTGTGAACGCTGAACGCTAGAGTGGTCAGATCCAGGATACGCATTTCTGGGCAGGGAAAAAAGTTTCCCGGGCAGGGTAAAAAACCCCTCCCGGGATTGGGTCCAGTGGGGTTTCATGCGGGATGTGTTTCTGTTTTTTTTTTTTTCCCATACTAAAATTAGCCATGCCATACAAATCCAGTTACGAGTCATACTACTCTCTCCCTACTATACCCACCCTCCTCCCCCCCCACTTCGTTACCCACTACTCATAGTCGTCCTCCAAGATGGCGTCCTCATCCTCACCCTCCTCCTCCTCCTCCTCCTCCTCATCCAGCACATTGTAACCTTCGGGGATGGGGGGCTCCGGCTCATTCCCACACACAACATTCGGCATCACATCCTTGCGCGTGTGCCAGTTGCGCACAACGTTCCAGTTGTGCGCAACAAACACCAAATCCGCACACTTGGCGGATCCTAAGCGGTTCCTGCGGGCAGTGTGGACGGACTCCCACGATGACCAGCCACGCTCACAGGGTGAAGCCGAGACGGGCTGCGAGAGAATCCGGATGGCGAGGGACGCAAGGCGAGGGGCATCTGTTCCGTTCCACTGCCACCACTTCACCATGCTGTATTTTCCCGCCTTCACCATCTCCCTTTGTGCCACAGCCTCTGCCATCCCGAAACTACCCTTCATGTCCAGGAAATCCCGAGTTGATAAATAGCATGACGAGTGGCGGGGGATTGGGTCGGAAGGGTTGGACTGAATGAATGTTGTGGGTTTGAATGCGGTAACGTGTTGGGATAGAAATGTTCAAACGTGCACACGCGACTCGATGTACGTGACCATCAATATGTCAACGTGCAACATGTGAAAGTGAAATCGCGACACCAGGACATGAATCCAATTTCCCGCAACCCTAGACCTCGGACGTGGAATCTGACGTCGCAGAATCACTCGCCGTGCCATTCCGCATCTTTTGGTGTGTTTGAAATTTTTTGGGTCGGGCGGGCTGCCCCAAAAAAAAATTGGGTTGCGTATAGCGTATTCGCTAGCGTTTCGCGTATTGCGTATACACGCTAGCGTTCAAACGCTGAACGCTAAGGCCCCTTAGCGTATATTCCAACTTAGCCTCGGACCCCTGCTGTTCGCGGCATCAATCCAGCAGCACCTCAGACGCACAGCAGCAGAGCACCCAGAAGTCACGATCCTAGCATACGCAGATGACATCACCATGATCGGACCGGCGACAGCAACGCTCGGCGTGCTTAAGTTGCTGACGCCGCTGCTCGCCCAGGATGGCCTCATCTGCAACCTCAGAAAATCGTCGGCGTGGTCCACGACGCCGCTTGAGGGTGACGAGCTCCCCGAGGGCCTCCCACTCACCCACGAGGGGGTACGGGTGTTGGGAAGTCCCGTGGGGTCACAGCGCTTCTGCGCTGACCTGGTCCGCAGTACTCTGACAGACGCGGCGGCACCCCTGGGCTCCCTAGCATCCATCCATCCACAGCATGCCCTCCTGCTCCTGTCCCGCTGCATCAGCCGCAGAATCGGCTACTTGCTGCGCACCACCCCAGCGGATGTCCTTCCCCTCTCGGAATGGCACGCGTGGTGCGCCGAACTGCTCAACACCGCCCTGACTGCCGCCAGCATCCAACCACCCCGCCGCGAAGCCGAGTTCAATTTTCTCATTCGCCAAGCAACCCTCCCAGTGGCCCTAGGTGGACTGGGCCTCACGGATCCCACAACAGAAGCAGCACCAGCCACCTGGCCTCAACGACAGAGGCACTACGCCTGCTCCGCTCACTCGACCTGCCAGCAACCGCGGCGCTAGGGAGCAACAGCAACGCCCTGCAGCCGTCTGCGGCACACTCGGTCACCATCCAAGACATGGAGGGACGACTGCCGCCGCTGGCGCTGCAATACCTCCGTGAGGAGCAAGAAACCCCGTCCCAAGACCAGCTGCAGCGGGCCCTCTCTCAGGAAGTGCACGCGGCAAAGGCCGACACCCTGACAGAGGAATCACGCTCAATCAGGTCAGCCCCCGAGATGGGCCACACGCTCCGCCTCGTCAGCCTGAGAAGCGAGGGAGCGGGAGCATGGCTGCAAGCCCTACCCCTGACCCCAGACCTCTGCTTCTCACCAGGGCAATTCCGAACAGCCCTGGCCTTCCGCATGGGCATCCGACAGAACGTACCTACTGTGTGCGAGTGTGGAGAGCTCGTGGCCGACTGCAGCCTACCCAAACACCTACTCCGCTGCAGCACAGGCCCGGACAGAACGCGCACACACAATCAGCTGGCCTTTGCCGTGGCAAAAATGGCGAGGGAGGCGCAGCTGGTGGTATACCTGGAGAATGCAATGTACTCACCACCGGATGACCCGAAGAAGGCCGATGTGATCGTGCGTGACCCAGACAGTGGAGAGACCTGGATCACAGACACGACTATCACCGACCCTGTGCTGCAGAACCGGGACCCCACAGCCCGCAAACCCCCAGGCTGGGCTGCAAGGGAGGCTCAGAAGCGGAAGGAAAGGGATTACTACCGGCACACAGAACACGTGGTGTTCTGCGCCCTGGCCGTCGAGACCTATGGGGCAAACGCGCCCCCCACGACGGCGTTCCTGAAGCTGCTGGCCACAGCAGCAGCTAGGAACCGGTTCAGGGCCAACCCCCTGGCGAAATCGGCCAAGAAGATGGCCTGCCACTTCAGCCAGCGCTGGTCAGTGGCCCTCCAGCGCTCCCAGGCGAATGCCCTGCACACCAAGGCCAGGGCGGGGATTGAGGCAGCGCACCCCCAGATGGCAGCGGACCCATGGCCGCTGCACCTAGGGGACATCCTCCACACGCTGGAGGGTTAGAGGGGCACTAAGGGGGGGGGGGGGGGGGGAGGGTCAGAGGGATGGGTTGATGGGTCGGAAGGTATAAGGGAACCACGAGTCAAATTGCATGTCTGTACCCCCTGCTGAATTAATACAAAGGACCATTTGAGAGAGAGCTCATTGTATATCCCCCGATAAGGTGGGAGAGCTTGTGGAAATACCCGTGCTCTGTTGTACGGCTGTGCGAGGTGTGTCACTGACTCGAGGGATGATGAACGGAGCCCATCTGCCACATGGCGCAGCACTCGGAGAATCTATCCGAGACCCTGGATAAGGTGAGGGCGGGTGAGAACTGAGCTCTTGTGTTGGGTTGCATGTCCATGAGGTTTGTCGGTTCCAACTTGAGGGCTGATAGAGACGGAGCCCATCTGTTTTGAGACGTCTCAAAACACTTCTTCAAACACGCTACCAACTTGAGGGCTGATAGAGATGGAGCCCATCTGCCACATGGCACAGCGTCTAGAGATCCTCTCCAAGAGGTTGGATGGGTTGACTATTTTCGGATCTCAACCTAGAAGCTTCTCGCACGAGGCCCTGGAAAAGGTGAGGGAGCTCGTGTATTGTTGGGGGAGCATGAATGTGTTTTGCTGCATGCCCAGGAGATGTGCTCTGCTCCCCTCTCTCTTCCTTTACCCGTTACCCTTACCATGGCACTTCCCTATTTCCTTTCCCCTCTTACCCCCGCCCCGCCCTTCCAGCTCTGCCCACCTGCCTTCTTCCCGAGGCAGCAGCGGTGAAGCCCGTGGTAGCAAATCCTCTGACATAGTTCCAGTGAGCAGCAGTGAAGCCCGTGGTAGCGTTCCCTTTCTCACCTCCCTTCACTGGCACTCCCCACCCTCCCACTCTCTCCACCTCCTTCCGGATAGCGTCCCCCTTTCAACACGGCCCTTCCCAGGTCTGCAAACCGTCTTCACGGCGGCAGCAGCAGTGAAGCCCGTGGTGGTGCTCCCCTTCTCACCTCCCTCACTCCCCTCCACTCCCCCTCGCGCCCCCTGTTCCCTTCAACTTCCCCTCTTTCCTCCATCCCAGGTGTGCAGTGATCACCGGCTTTCTTCGCGGAGGCAGCAGTAGTCAAGCGAGCCCGTGCTGGCGTTCTCGCTCTCACCGACAGTTCCCTCCCTTCCTCCCCCCTTCTCACTCCCTCCCCCCCCCCCCCTTCCCCTCTTCGTCTCCCCAGGTGTGCACGCCGGCTTTCTTTGCGGAGGCAGCAGCAGTGAAGCCCGTGGTGGCGTTTCGAGCCAGCAAGCGAGACATCCTCGCCTTCCTCTCCTCCCGCCTGAAATCCTCCTGATCCGTCCAATACCCCCACGAAGCCCAGGCCGCTGCCACTGCCGCCACCGCCGCTGCCGCCCTAGGCAGCGGCACGGGAGGGGCAGGAGGAGCAGGGGAGGGAGGGGAGGTGGGGGCGGGGAGGGGAGGGGAGAGGGGGGAGTGGAGTGAGCTGGCGAGAGAGGCGATGGAGGATCTGGATGATGAGGAGCGGCTGGAGGAGTTTGTGCAGTAGATTCGTGAGAACGGCATTCCTGACTTTGCTGCTCCAGGATCCATCTTCCAGGTGAGAGAAGCTTATCATTGAAACCTTGTTCTTGTTCGTTAGGAGACGACCACTGTTGCATTGAGTGAGTGGAGGACCATGCAAGGACCATGCAAAGACCATTCAAGGACCATTCGAGTGGCGAAGATCATTTCTTGGATTCGGAAAATCTGGCATATCCCGACTGTGCCATGCCAGGAACTATCTTCAACCAGTTGATATACCAACTTTGGCAACACCTTCTCCCATTTTCCCCTCCCTTTCATCGCCCCATTGCCCCTTCCCATTGCAGCTGGTGTATCATTATTCCAAGCCATCTGTGACGAGTCTATTCTTGAGTCGACTACAAAATAGATCCCTCCCATCGCCCCACTGCCCCCTCCCATCGCCCCATTGCCCCCTCCCATCGCCCCATTGCCCCCTCCCATCGCCCCATTTCCCCCTCCCATCGCCCCATTTCCCCTTCCCCCTGTGCAGCTGGTGTATCGCAACTCCAAGCCATCTGGTGCAAAGGCTGTTGCTGACACCTGGTTGAAGCCCAGGTGCGTTCAGGTGGAAACCCAGGTGGTTGGAGGCAGAAGGTTAAGGTACTCAGGTGCGCTGGGACCCTATGCACATGTCAGCACCCCTCCAAGTGCCCTCTGCCAGTATGGTAGCATGGTAAACACCATGACTTGGGGACATGGTAACATCCCAACATGCAAGCAATTGCCACACACACACGGGTCTATTTTCATCTGTCACACTCCTCCTCTCTGCTTACCCACACCCCGCAACAACCCCACCTTCTCACCTTCCCAAACCAGCCACCCTGCTTCCCCACCCATCCCCCCCGCTCCGCCCCAGCCCCACCATGGCTGACCCCTCTCCCTAGCCCCTAGTGTATACCCCTCCACGCCCATTCCCCCCCCTCTAGGCGGCAACTGACAGTCTACTCGGGGCAGGCGCGGGTTTCTAGACGTCTCAAAACTCCATTCCCCCCCCTCTAGGGGCAACTGACAGTCTACTCGGGGCAGGCGCGGCGGCGGACGGGGGAGCTCATGCTGACCATCCCATCCCATCCCATCCCATCCCTCTCCCTACCACCTCTCTTTCATGCGCCACACCTCCCCATCCCACCACCTCCCTCCTACCAGGCGGCAACTGACAGTGTATGCGGGGCAGGCGCGCAAGCAGGCAGGGGTGCACATGATGACCATCCCACGAGCCCTCTTCCTGGCCACAGACAAGATGCTCCAAGACGGAGTGCCCTACCAGGGGCCTGTCTGGTCCACCGGCATGGCCGCTGCATGGCTGTGTCGTGAGATGGTGAAGGGCAGGGAGTCGTTCTGGTGGCCGTACCTGCAGTTCCTGCCTCCCTCTGTCGGCCTGCCGTTCTTCTTCAAGCCGGAAACGCTGATGGAGCTCGACTCGCCTGCTTTTGTACAGAAGGTGGGTGGGTGGACGAGTGTGCGTGTGTGGATGTGGGTGTGCGCTGGGTTGGGGGAGGAGGGGAGGGTAGTGGCTGGTTGTGGGTATGTGTGTGTGTGTGTGCGCGCGCGCGCTCGTGCGTGTGTAATCGTGTGTGCGTGCGTGCGTGCGTGCGCGTGTGTGTGTGTGTGTGTGCGTACGTGCGTGTGTGTGTGTGTGTGTGCGCCCACGTGGTGCGAGTGTGTGCGTGTGTGTGTGTGTGTGCGCGCGTGTGTGTGTGTGCGGGTGTGTGTGTATGCGCGCGTGTGCATGTAGGTGTGTGATCGTGTGTGTGTGTGTGTGTGTGCGTGCGTGCGTGTGTGATCGTGTGTGTGTGTGTGTGTGTCCGTGTGTGTGTGTGTGTGTGTGTGCGCACGCGGGTGTGTGTGTGTGTGTCCGTGTGTGTGTGTGCGCGCGCGCGCGCGCGGGTGTGTGTATGTGCGTGTGTGCATGTACGTGTGTGATCGTGTGTGTATGTGTGCATCCCTCCCTCCCGGCACCTCTTCCCGTCTCCTTACCTCCCTCCCCACAAAACACCCCATCTGGACTACGATCGCCAAGAATATTCCTGAGCCACCTCCATCCCTATCCATCCCCCTCCACCGTTCTGGGTCAGATATCAACCCCTCTCCACCCCTCCTCTTACCATCCTCCATCCCTCTCCAACCCCCTCCACCCTTCTGGGTCAGATATCCACCCATCTGAACAACTACCGGTCGGAGTACAACCGCATTGCACCGCACTTACGTGCCAACACCACTTTCTTTGAGTACCTGTGGGCCGTCTCCATCATCAACTCGCGCGCCTTCGGGGACCAGACGCGCGGTAACACGGTTACCGTCACGGTGGAGGGCAAGTAGCAGGAGGTGCCTCTGGCGAGCGGGCCCTTAGCGCTCGTGCCGATAGCGGAGCTGCTGGACCATGAAGACATGTTCCAGGCTCAGTATGATGTGAGTAAATCATGTGGGGCATGGCGCAGTGGTGGATGGTAACAGCATAACCGTCACGGTGGAGGGCAAGGAGCAGGAGGTGCCTCTGGCGAGCGGGCCCTTAAGCGCTCGTGCCGATAGCAGAGCTGCTGGATAATGAAGACATGTTCCAGGCTCAGTACGATGTGAGTGGACTTGGATGTTGAGATGTGGGGGGTTGAGAGGAGGAGGTGTCTTGTGCGACATGATCCGAGGAGCTGCTGCTGGGCTATGTCTTCGTGCCCTCTTCATGCCCGCACTCCACGCCCTTCTCCCCTTCTACTCCCAACTCTCCTCCCCTTCTCCTCCACTTCTCCTCCCCCTCTCCTCCCCTTCGCCTCCCCTTCTCCTCCCCCTCTCCTCCCCTTCTCCCCCCCTTCTCCTCTCCTCCTCCACCCAGATTGGAGCATCACAGATTGACTTCATAGCTTTGATGCCCTTTGCCAGGGGCGACGAGCTGTTCACATCTTCTCCACCCCCTCTCCTCCCCGTCTACTCCTCTTCTCCTCCCCTTTCTCCTCCCGTTTCCTGCCCCTCTCGTCTCTCCCCCCTCTCCTCCCCCATATCTCCCCCCCTCCTCCTCCGTCCAGATTCAAGCATCACAGTTTGAGTTCATAGCTTTGATGCCATTCACCAAGGGCGCCGAGCTGTTCACGTCATACGGCCCCAAGGTGAACGAGGAGCTGCTGCTGGGCTACGGCTTCGTGCTGGACGGCAACAAGCAGGAGAACGCGCTGCTCTTCCGCACGCTGCTCGATGCAGTGAACCTGGTCGCCCTCGTCCTGCACCGCGACGCCGCCCGCCCCGGAGAGTGGGTGGCCGGCCCGGGCGGCTTGGGTGGGGCGGCTGGGAAGGGCGGCAAGACAGGGGAGGCTAGGGATGTGAGTGAGTGCCACGAGGGGAGTGAGGGAGAGGGAGAGGAAGAGGAGGAGGGGAAGAAACGGACGTGTGCAGTGAAGTACGGGGATGAGGCTGTGGAAGGTGGTGGTGCGGCTGTGAGTGCAGAGGCGGGAAGCAAAGGGGATAGGGAGCTGAAGCAGGGCTTGGCACGCATCTGGGGAGAAGGGCTGGGTGACTGGCTGGTCAACGAGGGTGCTGATGGTGATGCGGATGGTGATGCAGATGGTGATGATGATGATGATGATGATGATGATGATGGTTATGGTTATGGTGATGACTACGAGGAGGACGACGATGAGGAGGATGATGATGATGATGAAGAAGCTGCCGGGAGCAGGTGGGGCAAAAGCAAAGCGCAGGGGCGAGGGAAGAAGCGGAAGAACAGCAAAAGAAACAAGCACAAGAACAAGAAAAAGAGCAAGGGGAAGAGCAAGAGCGGCAGCAGGCATGGAAAGCAGAAGCAGAAGAAGAGCAAGAAGCAGTAGCAGTCAGACTCCCCAACAGCCAAGCTTCTGCGAGTGCGGCAGGCGCTCTGGCGGGTGGCAGCCAAGGCAGTAGAAGCAATCGCCAGGGAGCGTGCAGAGGCAGAGAAGCAGTTCGTGCACGTGGGGGCCATGCCTCAGTACTTGGCTCGGCAGGAGATCAGGAGGGAGAGCGAGGCAGATGAGGTGAATGGCGGAGTGGAGGTGCTGGCAGGGAAATACAAGGACCCGAGTTTTGGCGTGTCTGTGTGGAGAGGAGGGATTGTGGAGCCGAATCTCATGGCGGTGTTTGCTGCTGTGTGGTACTACCTCAAGCACCATTCAGGTGAGACTCGCATGGGAGTGCTGAGTGAATGAGGGGATGTGGGGAGGAGGAGGGATGAGGGAGACTAGCAGTGGGGTGTGTGTGTGTGTGTGTGTGTGTGGTTAGGATTAGCAGCAGGCGATAAGGAGGGAGAGCGAGGCAGACGAGGTGAATAGGTGCTGGCAGGGAATTACTTTTGAGACGTCTCAAAAGCAGCAGGCCATAAGGAGGGAGAGCGAGGCAGACGAGGTGAATAGGTGCTGGCAGGGAAGTACTTTTGAGACGTCTCAAAAGCACCAGGCGATAAGGAGGGAGAGCGAGGCAGACGAGGTGAATAGGTGCTGGCAGGGAAGTACTTTTGAGACGTCTCAAAAGCAGCAGGCGATAAGGAGGGAGAGCGAGGCAGACGAGGTGAATAGGTGCTGGCAGGGAAGTACTTTTGAGACGTCTCAAAAGCAGCAGGCCATAAGGAGGGAGAGCGAGGCAGACGAGGTGAATGGCGGAGTGGAGGTGCTGGCAGGGAAGCACAAGGATCCCAGCTTTGGCATGTCCGTGTGGCACGGGGCGGTCGTGGAGCCGAACCTCATGGCGGTGTTTGCTGCTGTGTGGTACTACCTCAAGCACCAGTCAGGTAAGAGTGCATCAAGAGGAGCGTCACCACACACGTTGATGGACAGCCACAGCCACAGTCTCGTTCCTTCCCCCGTACCGACATGGCCAAGTGAATGCTGTACAGGGAGGAGGAGAGGGGGGGGAGAGCAGAGAGTGGGGGGAGAGTGGGGGGAGAGCCAACAGCGAGTGTCCTTTCCTTCACACCCTGCACTGCAGCATTACTCTCTTCTCCAATACCTTCCCCCCTGACTCATCTAACCTCCCCCAGCCGGAGACCCCATTGGACATGACCAAATCACTGCTGTATGGGGCTGGGCCGTGGCCAACAGGGGGTGTCGTGTCGGGAGGTGACTTTTGAGTCAGAGCCCCCATTGGACATGACTAAATCACTACTGTACGGGGCTGAGCCGTGGCCACGGCTGACATGGCCAAGTCAGTGCTCTATCTGGGCTGCGTCTGGGCACAAGACCCTGTCATCTCCCCTCCCATATCCGCCGTTCAATTCGCCTTCCCTCTCTCCACTCCCTCTTCCAGAGCCCCCGGCTGACATCGCCGAGTCAGTGCTGCTGTACCTGGGGTGGGCCGTGAGCAACAGTGCTGTCGGGACCCGCATGTTGACGGATAGCCCAGTCACGTTTCCAGCCCTTCCCCAATACGTTCTCTTCCCTCCCTCCACCAGAGCCCCCGGCCGACATGGCCAAGTCAGTGCTGTATCGGGGGTGGGGAGTGAGCAACAGCGGCTGTAAGGACCCACATGTTGATAGCCACATCATGCATTCACCCCTTACTCTTTCTCTGCTCTCTCCCCTCCCTCCGTCAGAGCCCCCATCGGACATGGCCAAGTCAGTGCTGTATCTGGGCTGGGGAGTGAGCAACAACGGCTGTAAGGACGTGGCCTCTCCCTTCTCCAACGTGCTGCCCGCCCTGCAAGCAGCGGCCGACACCGTTCGTCTGCTAGCGCAGGCGCGGCTGCAGCAGATACCGACCAGCATAGAAGAGGACGAAGCGATCCTGAGGGAGCTGGAGCGGTGCAAGAGCGGCGGGAAGGTGGGGGCGGGTGGTGGGGAGGGGGTGAAGGGTGGGAAACTGGGGAAGGAAGGAAAGAAGAAGCCAGCACAGAGCAAGCAGCAGCAGAAGGCGAAGCTGACGAGCCTGGAGGAGGATCAGCGATGACTACAGCGATGATGACAACAACGAGGGTGACAACAGCAAGGAGGAAACGGACCTAGAGCTCGGGAGAAGGAGCGATGAAGAGGAGGCGATAGATTGTGATGCGTGGGCGAGAGAGCAGGCCAGTGGGGAGAGCGAGGAGGAAGGCGGCGGGTCGGAGAGCGGGAATGGCAGCGGCGGTAGTAGTGGGGGTGCGAAGAGGATGACTGTGATGGGGGTGCGTTGTGGGTGTGAGGAGCTTAGGGCGGAGGCGGATGAGCGGATGGTGGCGGTGCGGTTCCGGAAGGCCAAGAAGGCGGTGCTGAAAGAGGTGGTGGACCGGCTCAGAAAGGCGTGCCCTGCCTCCCCCACTGCTTTCCTCCGAAATGACTTTCGAGCCGACTCGTTTTGAGTCGACTCGGAAGGCTACGGTAAGAAGGCAGTGATGAAAGAGGTGGTGGACTGGCTAAAAAAGTCCTGCCCTGCCTCCGCCACTGCTTTTCTCTGAAAATCCAAGTCCATGGCCTCTTGTGATTCCACACCTGATTTCCTTGTGGTTATCCCTTCCTGGATTCCTTGTAGTACACCGCACCCTGTCATGGGGGTTCGCTGGTAGCCGTCCACCTGTGGTCTTTGTTTTGCGCGGAGACTGTGCCAGCCAGCTGGCAGGCATGGGGAGGAGGAGCATCAGAGGGCACTGTGCGGCGAGCTGGCAGAGCCACTGTTTGTTGTCACTGCCTTGTTTCACCTGTCTCTGATGCAGCTCACCGCGCTTGGTCGTCTGGCCGCATTGCTACCACTAGATAGTGATAACCCAATTTAGCACTGCTTTCTACATTGAACTTTCAATAAGTGTTTGCAACAATCACCACACCAATACTTGTGTTTTGACAGCTGGAGCTGCCCGTATCCCGCTTTGGATACCACCAGAAACACCTGGAAACATAAAATTATTATCATTAGCAGGAGACATACCAGTAACTCAATATCATGTTCCTTGTACTTCGACGCATCATCCCCACCAACCGATTTGCACACCACGCCTTCATCTTCCCGCTTTATGAGACTACCCACAATGCTTGAGCTGAGGAAGGCTGCTTTTTCACATCCCGAAATTAGGGTTTAGCCAATGGCATCGGCTCGCGTGAGCTGCTCCACCAACTCCCTCACAATCAGCCGCTTCGGCGGGAACGATAGCCTCTGCTGCAGCTCAGGCATCCGCCACTGGCGCTGCGAATGCGGCAGCCCGACGCGCCGACGCGTCGCACTCGCAGGCCCACGCACCGCACTGGCAGCGGAAGTTGTCACTGAAGGGTGCGGTTGGCGCCTGAGTTAGTAATGCTGCCGTAGTCGATGCTCAACTCTTCGCCTGGCGCGATGTCCCGCAAAGCCACCACCGTCACCAAGTCTTCTTCCATTCCGCAGTTTGGGTCGCTCGAGTGGTTAATGAGTTCGGGCGTCTCGGGCCCACGCGTCGGATCTGGTTTCTGCCCGTTTAACGACTCGGAGTCGTTTATTTGTAGCGAGAGCTGTCGCGTGCGCTCGTCGCCGGCAACCTTGCCGGCGAAAACGAGAACCTGTTCCCCGCGTCCAATGCTCGCCAAAGCAAACAGCCCCTTGGAGCCGTCCGCGTCGCCCTTGTAGCGCGGAACCACGCGCGGATCGTACCACCCCGACTCGGCCATCTTCCGCTCGATATAGGCCGAGCAGTGGCCGGCGTTTCGCTGCTGCCAGTCGCGCGAGCGCCACTCGGAAAATTTGAGCGTGCCGCGGCAGCACGTGGCGCCGCAGCGGCAGAGCAAACCGGCGTGCATGCTGCCCTCCGTTTCCGTGGATGCATAGTCGTACGTGATTTGCTCGCCGGGTTGAATGTCTCGCAGGGCGACCATGCAACGTGGGTTAATGTACCACGAGTTGGGGTCGCACGAGTGGTTGTAATAGAGGCTTGTGTCCTCGTCGGGGTCGGTTGTTGTGTCGTACACGTCGTCCTCGACCATGTACGAATATCGAATCATGATCTCGCGCTTCTCCGTATCGGGTACCGCCAATAAGTCATGAGCGTGGTAGTACACTCGCCGCTCTTCTTCCTCAATGTCCCAATCGCAAACGATCTCGCCTTTTGCGAAGAGCCCCCGGCATTGGAAACCGTAGAGCTCGTGCTCTTGCACGACCATGTGCGGGTGGAGACCCATGATGCAGGATCAGGAACTAGTGGGGTGGTACTAGACGTGCAGTCTGATAATTGGGAATGCTCTGAAGTTGAATATACTTACTGAGAAATGTAATGTACGTGTACTGTATTATATCGCTGCTAGATCATCTCGAGGATCAATATGATGTTGAGGTGAAGGAATCTCGAGGATCTCAACAAGTGCCAAAGGCAGGCATCTGGAGGGCCTATGTTATCAGGGCAATAACCCTGCTGCTGCTGCTGCTGCTGCTGTTGTCGTTGCTGCTGCTGCAGCTGCTGCCACTTGTTGTGCTGCTGATGCTTGGATTTACCTTTGGCAGGTGCGGGCTCTTCCCCTGGCAGCGTGGTGTACTCGAGTGTGCGCTCCACACTCGTGAACTGGCATGGACGGGGTGGGGTGTTAGAGGGCGGGGAGGAAACAATGCAGGTTCTAGAGGCCCCTCAAGATGCGGACTCTTCACCTGACAGCGTGGTGTACTCGAGTGTGTGCTCAACACTCGTGAACTGCCATGGACGGGGTGGGGTGTCAGAGGTGCAGGGATGAAACAATGCAGGTTATTGAGTTAGGCAAGTGCAAGATGGACGTGCCCCCTGCGGTTCTCGCAACCATATCAAGCATGAGAATGGGATGTGGAGATCGAGCATGCATCATCATCAAGCTGCTTCACGTCACATAAGAGGTAAGAGAGCACAAGGGTGTTTGCCTCTCTAGTATCTATCCCATGGGTGCCTGAGAATGGGATGTGAAGTGACACATAAGACGTAAGAGAGCACAACGGTGTTTGCTTCTCTATCAGCACACGGTGCCAAGGTGCAAAAAGGTGTATTTTGAGGCGCCTCAAAAGTGCAATGAGGTGTACTTTGAGGCGCCTCAAAATACACCACACGGTGCCAAGGTGCAAAAATACGGCCGTATTTTTGAAACTGCTCTACGATTTCTAACAGGAGCCTATTACACGTTACCGTATTTTACGGTTGATTAAAAAATAAACGACCGTATTTTTGCACCTTGCACGGTGCAGAAGGAGTGAGTGCACTGTCCTGGTTCCCACCCCACCACGGTGCTCCTTCGTTCATGGTGCATTTGCCTCACTTCCCTCACACCCATGAGCATCACCACAATCGCTCGCACCCTGGTCCCTTGCCTCTACCATGTTCTCCAGCTCTGATTCTTTACATGTTCCCTCATACTTTGGCTCATCACACACGGTCCCTTGCCGAAGCTCGCACCCTGGTCCCTTGCCATTACACACGGTGGTTTACATGTTGGGAAGTTACTGGCTTTCAGAGAGGAATCAAAAGCTTCCTCGCCTCACCGTGTCCCTTCGCCTCGTCTCATCCTGTCCCTTCGCATCACCCTCTCCCTCCCTTCGCTTCACCCTCTCCCTCCCTTCGCTTCACCCTCTCCCTCCCTTCGCTTCACCCTCTCCCTCCCTTCGCTTCACCCTCTCCCTCCCTTCGCTTCACCCTCTCCCTCCCTTCGCTTCACCCTCTTCCCTCGCCTCAAAGTATACTGAGAAGTTTTCTGTTTATGATGTTCTCTCCCTGTCACCGTGTTCGTTCTCTCCCCTCTCCTGCTCCCTCACCGTGTTCTCCAGCTCAACGCCGTACTGCAGCGCCCACCGCAGGGAATCCAGCACCCTTCCCTTGCCTCACTTCCTTCACACCCATAAACATCACAACCATTGCACCCCTGCCGCCCTCCCTCCTCCCCTCTTCCCCCCCCCCGCCCCCCCCCAAACATCCCTCCCCCCCCTCACCCTCTCCTCCCCCCTCACCGTGCTCTCCAGCTCCACGCCATACTGCAACGCCCAGCACAGGGAGTCCAGCACCCTTCCCTTGCCTCACTTCCCTCCCACCCATAAACATTACAGCCAACGCAACACACCCTTGTCTCTCCCCCCTGCCTCACCCTCCCCATCCTCTTCAGTACCGTGTTTTCAAGCTCCACGCCGTATTGCAGCGCCCAGCGCAGAGAGTCCGAAGCCTTCCCTTCCCTCACCCCTGGCTGTCCCCCAATCCCCACCCTTCCCCCCCCCTCTCACCGTGTTCTCGAGCTCCACGCCGTATTGCAGCGCCCACCGCAGGGAGTCCGGCAGCTGCAGCAGATAAGACAAAGCCAGCGCGGCCATGGCGGGCGGCAGCGAGTGGCGCAGGGCCACGGCGGCGAGGGCGGCGGAGAGCAGGGCGGCGGCAACGAGGAGGTCCAATCGGAAGCCCAGCCACTCCCACGTGGCAATCCAGAATAGGTGCGGGCTGGCGTTGGCGGTGACGTGGCGCAGGAAGAGGCGGTGGAAGCGGCGCTGCTGGGAGAAGGCCCGGATGGTTGGGAGGCCCTGGTGTGGGGGGAGGTGGAAGGGGAAAGGGAGTAGAGACTTGAGAGGTGAGCTTGGGAAGTGCATGTAACAATGGATGTGTGGGCCGGGGTCTGTCTCCCTGTGTGTGTGTGTGTGCGCGCGCGCGCGCACGCGCGTGTGCGTGCGTGCATTTATGCGGGATGAAGGGAGCAACAACTTGTTCTTCTCACCTCCATGGTTGCGAGGAAGCGAGCGAGCAGCACGGAGCGAGTGGTGCACTCCATACGTCGGACCTCCATTGCCGTGCACACGTACAGATGCCGCAGGTGCAGCAGCAGCAGCAGCAGCGGCAGCATGGGGATGAGTGTCCACGGCACAGCTATGCACGCCGATACCACCGCAGCAACGCACAGGCCGAAGGGCTGCAGGCAAGTGGAGGACGGGAAGGATAGTACGGGTTTAGCGGGAGTGGGATGATGGAGAATGGAGATGGGAGAGTGGGTGACAGGGAGTATGGTGGGAGGGAGTAACTTTGTGTATTCACATGGTATCCAGCTGACATGAAACCCCTAACTCGTTTTGAACCCTCCTCAATCTTCCCTCCCTCCATCACGCTCCCCCACCCCTCTCTCGACCCTTCAACTCACATTGAGGAAGTCCAGAAGCAGCTGGGGCAGCACATCATCGGTAACCCCGAGGTCCTCACTGAACCGGTTTAGCACGCGGCCCATGGGGTTGCGGTGGAAGAAGGCGAGCGGCGAGGCGAGCACGGACGAAAGCATGAGTGAGTGCATGCGGGAGGAGGCGCGCAGCGCGGCGAAGTGGATGAGCAGCGAGGAGAGGAGGGAGAGGGCCACACAGGAGAGGGCGATGGCTGCCAGCGTGACCAGTGGGTGCGGTGTGGTTTCCGGCGCCTCTGTCCACAGGCCCAGGAACCTTGGGGGGGAGGGGAGCGGAGGGGATTAGAGGAGAGAGATGTGGGTTGCCGTGGAAGAAGGCCAGCGGCGAGGCGAGCACGGAGGCAAGCATGAGTGAGTGCATGCGGGAGGAGGCAAGTGGAGGAGCAGCGAGGCGAGGAGGGAGAGGACCACGCAGGAGAGGGAGATGGCCGTGAGGGTGGCAAGCGGGTGCGGTGTGGTCTCAGGCTCCTCCGTCCACAGGCCCAGGAACCTTGGGGGGGAAGGGAGGGGCGGGGAGGGAAGGGGAGGGGCGGGGAGGGGAGGGGAGGGGAGGGGAGGGGAGGGGAGGGGAGGGGAGGGGAGGGGAGGGGAGGGGAGGGGAGGGGAGGGGAGGAGGGGCAAGAGTCATCAAGCATGGAGTAGGAGGGATGGGCAGATGTCCGATGGAAGAGGCGTGCAGCGCGGCACACAGGAGGCGTGGATGAGCAGTGAGACGAGAAGGCGAGAGGGCCATACAGGAGGGGGCGATGGCCGTGAGGGTGAGAAGTGGGGGAGGGGATGGCGAGAGGAGGTGATGGGGGGGCCTGCGTGAGAGAGAAAGGGAGCGTGAGGGAGGACTTTCCTCACCAGCTGACGAGGGCGTTGGAGACGTGTGCGGCGAGGAAGAGGGCGGCAAAGAGCAGCAGAGGTAGCACGCGGATCTTTCTGGCGTAGCCCCAAAACACCGACAGGGGGATGGCACCGCGCTGCCACCCTTCCACGTCCAGCAGGCCTGCAGGCACACACAGCGATTGGGGTTAGCGTCGGATGGGACAGGGGGGAGCATGGAAACACACATGATCGCGTGGGACGGGCAGTTGGATGATTGGGGAAAAATTAATGGGGGTATTAAGGGGCCTTGATGTGGGCATGAAGGGACAGCTTTAACAAGTACCTCACAGGATTCTGAGCGGAAAGCCACGCACACGTTTGCATGCCTACCTTGCTCATCACCTTCTGTGGACCCACTCTCCTCCTGCTCTCCGTCCCCCCTCCGGAAGAGGGAGTAACTCTTTGCTGCTAATGGTCCTTCTCTTGACTTGCACAACGAGCCCTCAGCAGCCTGGTCCTCAAGTGAGGCACGCTCCCCCTCCCTGCATGCGTCTACCACTCCCTTCCCCACCTCCGCTGTCTCCACCTCAGCCTCTGTCCCTAAGAGCACCTCATTCTCGCTTCCTCTCAACGACGTGTTTCTATGAATGCCGTCCTTAGTCAACTGGATCTTCTCCACCTCAGCCCCTGTCCCAATGAGGGCCGCAGCCTCTGCCTGCTCCACCTCTGCCTGCTCCACCACTGCCTGCTCCACCACTGCCTGCTCCACCTCTGCCTGCTCCACCACTGCCTGCTCCACCACTGCCTGCTCCACCACTGCCTGCTCCACCACTGCCTGCTCCACCTCTGCCTGCTCCACCACTGCCTGCTCCACCACTGCCTGCTCCACCTCTGCCTGCTCCACCACTGCCTGCTCCACCTCTGCCTGCTCCACCTCTGCCTGCTCCACCACTGCCTGCTCCACCACTGCCTGCTCCACCACTGCCTGCTCCACCACTGCCTGCTCCACCTCTGCCTGCTCCACCACTGCCTGCTCCACCACTGCCTGCTCCACCTCTGCCTGCTCCACCACTGCCTGCTCCACCACTGCCTGCTCCACCTCTGCCTGCTCCACCACTGCCTGCTCCACCTCTGCCTGCTCCACCACTGCCTGCTCCACCTCTGCCTGCTCCACCACTGCCTGCTCCACCACTGCCTGCTCCACCTCTGCCTGCTCCACCTCTGCCTGCTCCACCTCTGCCTGCTCCACCTCTGCATCATCCTCGCTTCCTCTCACCAACGAGTCCCCATGAATGCCCACCCTGCAGCCCCTCGTGCCAACTGTTGGCGCATCTGTGTCTCTCTCACTGCCTGTGCCACGATCTACACAGCTGCCACTGCTGCTGCCCGCTGTGTCGCCAGTTTTGCACCTCTGTGAATGAACAACGGTGCCGTCCACACCCGTGTTAGTGGTGACAGTTGCATTGCCGGCAGCACAGTCACCGCCAGTGACAGTGGCACACATGGCACTGTCAGAGCCAGTGTCACTTTTGCTGCTGCAGACCACCGTGGCGCCGCTTTTGCAGCTCTGTAAATCAGCAAAGGTGCCATCCACACCTGTGACAGTGGTGAGAGGGGCACAGATAGCACTGCAGCTGCTACTGCTGCGGGCCGGTTTGGTGCCTCTTTGGCAAACGTGTGAATCAGCAAAGGTGCCGTCCACACCCGTGTCAGTGGTGACAGGGGCACCAACGACCCTACCAGAAACAGTGACTGTGGCACACATGGCACTGTCAGAGCCAGTGTCTGAAACACCCTTCCCGCCAGAGAGAGGTTGCCCCAGTGCCGGAGGGGGATGGTCACAGTGTTGTTGCGCAGAGGGCAAGGTGCAGATGTCACTCCATGTGCTTTGAGGTGCCTCAAAAGCTTTGAGGGGCTTCAGAAGTTGCGCAAAGGGCAGAGGGGGGTTGTCGCAGTTTTGTTGAGCAGAGGGCAGGGCGCAGAGGTCACTCCAGGCGCCACACGCCGCTGCTCTGCCGCCGTCCAGCACCAACACTCTGTGGCAGCTGGGGATGGGGGAGAGGGAGGGGAGCAGAGGAAAGACAGAGGGAGAAAGAGGGAGGTTCCGGCTGAGAGAAAGAGGGCACAGGGATAGAGAGAGAGGGGGATTAAATGGGCGTGCCGAAGGAAAGAAGGTACATCTCTGTGTGCATGGATGATTTCGGGCACACGAAACAATTGTAGTATGCACACGAAACAATTGTAGTATGCACGCTTGTATTGTATGGGATGCAATGCAACAGATAATTTCCGTTTCTCCTCCCTCATCAATCGTCTGCTCCATCCAAACCCACCCCTTCTCCATCCCCTTCCCTTCCCCCACACCCATCACCATACCTTCCAAGGTACTGCACGTGGTGAGTGACGACAATCCGGGGCAGCCCTGCCAGCAGCCCACACACGCACTGCTGAAACACGTGGCTGGCAATGGCTGGATCCAACGCGGCAAGCGGGTCGTCTAATAGGACCAGCACGGGTGGGGGCGCACTCCTGCTGCTGCTGCTGCTGCTAGTTCTCTTGCTGCTGCTATTGTTACCACCACTGTTTCCACTGCTGCTACCGCTATTGCTGCCGCCATTATCATCAGTGTATGCTGCCAGGGGCGACTTTTGAGTCGACTCAAAAGTCATCTTGCAGTGCAGTGCGGCATACGCCGCCCGGGCGAGCGACACGCGCGCCCTTTGCCCACCACTGAGGTTGCCGCCGCCCTCCTCCACCAATGATTCGTCGCCACGTGGCAATAGGGCCAAGTCCGTGCGGAGGGCACAGGTGTCCAACACCTTCAGTGGGGGAGAGAGATAGCAAGTGAGAGAGGGGGGGGGGGAGAAGGGAGATAGGGGAGCAAGAGAGAGCGGGGAGGAGAGCACAATGGGGACGACGTTTAAGGCACCTCAAAAGTCCGACGTTTGAGCAGAGCACAGGACACAGGCATCCACCACCTTGAGCGGGGGAGGGCAGCAGAGTGAGCGGGGGGAAGAGGGCATTGGTAGACGTTCAGAGACGATAACTAGCAGAATGAGAGAGAGTGGCGAGGAGATGGAGGCGGGGAGGAGAGGGCAAAGGGAGGAGAGGGCAAAGGGGAGGAGAGGGCAAAGGGGAGGAGAGGGCAAAGGGGGGGGGAGAGGGCAAAGGGGAGGAGAGGGCAAAGGGGAGGAGTGGGCGACGGGGAAATAGGACGGCAGAGGGGAGCCTTAAGAGACGTTCAAACGCAAGACAGAATCAGGGCAGACCTTCCTTGGCATGAAGTGTACCTTGGCATGAAGTGTACCTTGGCATGAAGTGTACCTTGGCATGAAGTGTACCTTGGCATGAAGTGTACCTTGGCATAGAGAGCCCCGTCTAGCGGTGTGCCGAATAGGATGTTGTCTCGCACCGTCCCTTCAATGAGGAACGGCTGGTGGAATAGACGCACACGGGGGAAAGGGGAGAGGAGGGGTAGGGTGGGGGAGGTTTTAGTCGACGCAAAACTCGAATAGGATGTTGTCTCGCACCGTCCCCTCAATGAGGAGCGGCTGGTGGCATAGACGAGACGCACACGGGGGAAAGGGGAGAGGAGGGGCTGTGAGAGAGAGGAAGGTGGTTGGTGGTAGGTTGTAATATGCACAAGTGAGTCGAAGAGGTACGGGAGGACACAACACAGGGATGTGCCTTGTGCGCGGAAGGGAAAGGCTGATACACATCAGGTCACTGGCAAAGGGTGCCAAAGGATGAGAGACGAGTGGGTAGGGAAGGGGTGAGAGAGAGACGAGTAGCAAAGGTTGAGCGGCAAATGGGAGGCGGACCTGCTGCGATGCGTAGGCGAGGGAGGGCACGGAGCGGTGCATGGCGCCGGATGAGAGAGGCACTTCCCCGAGGATACCCAGCAGCAGCAGTGACTTGCCACTGCCCGTCTGCGAGGTGGAAAGGGTGGGGTGGGAGGCAGTGTAAATGGCATGATCACAGCGGTGTTTTCTTGAAGCCTGCATTACAGTCAAGTGCGATACTCAGCAGGCAGCACAGCAGGCAGCACAGCAGGCAGTAGAACAGTCTGTGACAGCCAGAGGCGCACAACACGCACAAGGCACAGGCATGCGGCAGGCAAGAGCATTCCATAGCAGGACATAGCAGGCCATAGCATTCCATGGCACTTTATAGCATTCCATGGCATTCCATAACAGGCAATCGCAGGCAATAGCAGGGCGCACGAAGCAACCAGCGGGCTTACCTTGCCAGTGACTCCCACGACCTCTCCCTCTCACCTTGCCTGTGACTCCCACGACCTCTCCCTCTCACCTTGCCAGTGACTCCCACGACCTCTCCCTCTCACCTTGCCAGTGACTCCCACGACCTCTCCCTCTCACCTTGCCAGTGACTCCCACGACCTCTCCCTCTCACCTTGCCAGTGACTCCCACGACCTCTCCCTCTCACCTTGCCAGTGACTCCCACGACCTCTCCCTCTCACCTTGCCAGTGACTCCCAGCAGCTCTGCCTCTCCCACCCTCACGCTCACTCCCTCCACCCGACCGCTCGGTGCGCGTGCACCGTCTATCTCAACATGCCCCTCTTGCTCCTCCTGTGCAGTCACACACGTGCCCTCCAAGGCAGCAGCACCAGCAGCATCAGCAGAAGCAGCCGCAGCAGAAGGGCCAACAGCGGGGGAAGGGCCAGCAGCAGCATGAAAGCTCATGAATCGCTGCAGGGAACGCGCGCGGAAAGCTTTGGGGACGCGTCGGAAACTCCTGACACTGCTCATGTAGCCTTTGCCATAAGGCGTGCCATCGACCGTGCGAGGCTCAGTGACATCCAGAACATGCCCGGCCGATGCTTGAGTCGACTCAGCAATCGCCTCAAGCGTTTGCTTTTTCCTCCTTCCTCTGAATCCCTTTCCTCCTTCCTCTTTGCTCTCCCACTTCCCCTCGCCCTTCACCTCCCCGGCTGCTTCTCCCCAAGCAAAAGAAGCCCTTTCAAGCACCAAGGCAGCACGGGGGGGGCAGGGAAGGCGTGAGGGAGCAGAGGAGGAGAGGCTGTGGCTGGGCTGTGAGGCGAGCTCCGAGGATGGTGAGGACTGGAGACTCGGTGCTGGGGGGTGTATACTTGGTACTGTAGACTGGAGACTCGGTGCTGTGAGAGCAGCAGTTGTTGATTCAGGTGGCTTGGTGGTGGTTGGGGTGTCAAGGGCATAGCAGCGCGCTTTTGGGAGCAGAGCAGAGCCATTCTGAGATGGCGCTTCTTGCGGCCTGGCTCCGTGGGGAGTGGTCTGTTGGAGTGAAGGTGGCACGCACAAGGAGGTGCACGCACAGGGAGGTGCACACACAGGGAGGTGCACACACAGGGAGGTGCACACACAGGGAGGTGCACACACAGGGAGGTGCACACACAGGGAGGTGCACACACAGGGAGGTGCACACACAGGGAGGTGCACACACAGGGAGGTGCACACACAGGGAGGTGCACACACAGGGAGGTGCACACACAGGGAGGTACATGTAGAGGCAGGCAACGGGGATGAGATGGCATTCAGTAAGCTGGACGAGCCACTCATCGCACCCACCCACCTATCCACCCACCCACCTACCCATACACATCGAGGTATATTGAGGCTTGCTCTCATCACCAATCGCACCTCATCACAACATTGCAACCGTTATTTTTGGTGCTCTAACCAGACAACAGGGCATGCGCTGCAACGCGTTGATAGTGATAGGCGGTGAAAAGCCGAGAGAAGCGGTGCGTGGTTTCGAGTGGAGTCAAGAAGAATCGTTGCAAACGTGTTGGTCGGTAACAGTAGGCGGTGAAAAGACAAGAGAAGGGTGGGTGGGTGGGTTGGCAACAGCAAAGAGCACGCTGCTTCCTGCATGCTGACCTGCAGGAAGTGTGAGAGTCGCTTGAAGCTGACAAACGCCTCTGCTATTTGCTGTATGCCATGGGCCACCTTCCACCCCATGGTGTAGTGCGGGATCTGTGGGGATATGGTATGGAGGGGAGGAGGGAACGGAGGGAGGAGCGGAGGGAACGGAGGGAGGGGAGGAAGGGAAGTGTGGGGCATGTTAGTGGACTGTTTACAGAGAAGCAACGGTGCAACTGATTAGAAAGAAGCAACGGTGCAACTGATTAGAAAGAAGCAACGGTGCAACTGATTAGAAAGAAGCAACGGTGCACGATGAGATGACCATCCCACTCAGCTCAGTCCCCCACGATTGTTGAGGCGCCTCAACGATTGCAACGGTGCACAATGGCCAGCAGCCCACGCGCCGTTGAGCAACGCATTCAATCCAATCCACTCCCCCATGCGCATTGATGAGTGGCCAGCGCTACTGTGAGTGAAAGCATGTGCACGTGTATGTATCCCGTCAACTCTGCTCGACTAAGGGCCCAGGAAAGACGCACCTCGAGGAGCATGAGCGAGCACGTATGCTTTTGAGTCGACTCAATAGGAGCATGAGCGAGCACGTATGCTTTTGAGTCGACTCAATAGGAGCATGAGCGAGCACGTATGCTTTTGAGTCGACTCAATAGGAGCATGAGCGAGCACGTATGCTTTTGAGTCGACTCAATAGGAGCATGAGCGAGCACGTATGCTTTTGAGTCGACTCAATAGGAGCATGAGCGAGCACGTATGCTTTTGAGTCGACTCAATAGGAGCATGAGCGAGCACGTATGCTTTTGAGTCGACTCAATAGGAGCATGAGCGAGCACGTATGCTTTTGAGCCGACTCAATAGGAGCATGAGCGAGCACGTATGCTTTTGAGTCGACTCAATAGGAGCATGAGCGAGCACGTATGCTTTTGAGTCGACTCCATAGGAGCGTGAGCACCGCCGTGAGTTGGCCTCCGAGGCACGTGAGGGTGTTTATGAGGCGCCTTAAGAACTGAGTTAGCACGAAGCGTGAGCGCTCGGCTGAGGGGCACGGAAGCAAGGAAAGACGTACCTGGAGGAACGTGAGCGAGCATGCAGAACACAGCGGCCGCCGTGAGAGGTGCCCTCTGAGGCACGCTGTGAGAGATGCAGTTGTCCTTTCGGATGGCTAGATGGAGGTGCATGGAAGCAAGGAGAGGTGCAGCGCACCTCGAGGAGAGTAAGCACGTAGAATACAGAGGCGGCAGTGAGTTGCCCTCCGAGGCACGTGAAGGTGGCGAAGGTGTCGAGGGCGACCACGGAGGCGAAGGAGAAGTAGAGCGCAGCAGTCACGGCGTTGATGGCAGCTGTCCACTGCAGGCTGGCAGAATGAAAGGTGAAAATGGAGAGGATTTTTTTGGCGCTTCTAAAGCATCCAGCGAGGTGATTGAGAAGCCGAGAGAGTAGCCGTCACAGCATTGATGGCAGATGTTCACTGCTGCAGGCTGGATGGAGGACGGGGAGGATGGAGGAGGGTGGAGGGGAACTTTGAGGCGCTTCAAAAGCAATCAGCGAGGTGAATGGGAAGCAGAGAGTGTCGTCATGGCGTTGATGGTGGGGCTATGCTGTGCAGGCTGGAGAGGACGGCGCGAATGGATGGTGCAGGGCGCCGGGTGCAGGGTGCAGGGCGCAGGGCGCAGGGTGCAGGGCGCAGGGTGCAGGGTGCTGGACAGAAGGAGCAAATGCTGATTCTGATTAGGAGCGGATTCAATGACAAGAACAGTTCGAGAGAGAGGGGGGACGGAGGGGTGGGCGAGGCTGAGAGGGAAGAAGAGGGAGAGGAGAAAGCTTGGAACAAATGAGGGAGGGGTGGGAAGGGGAGGCGGACGGCAAAAGTGGTGGGAGTTGGAGGGATGGACCAACAAGGACACTTCTGTGCGTCTGATTCGTTGGATGAATGCTGTGAGCCGCCCCTCCAGAGCCAGTGTCTTCACTGTCAGGATGCCGCCCAGAGCCTGTTGTGGTGCCAGGGGGTGGGTGGGCGGGTGGGTGGGTGGGAGGGTAGGATGAGTGGGTGGGTGGGTGGCTGGGTGAGTGGGAGGGGATGGGAGTTGAAGGGTGTTAGGAATCGAAGGCATGGTAGGAGACTTCTGAGACGACGCCGAAGTCGCACGTGAGAGGACAAGGATAAGCCATGCATCAGTGGAATTCCATTGACAGGTGGGGACCATGTCCCACGACACAGCACATCTGAGGCGTCGTTTTTGAGGCGCCTTAAAAATCAACTCAATGCATCAGTGCAATTCCCATTGACAGGTGGGGACCATGTCCCACGACACAGCACATCTGAGGCGTCGTTTTTGAGGCGCCTTAAAAATCAACTCAATGCATCAGTGCAATTCCCATTGACAGGTGGGTGGGGACCATGTCCCACGATACGGCACGTCTGAGGCGTCTCAAAAGTCCTCTCAGCTGAGGCGTCTCAGAAGCCCTCTCAGCACGCTGTGTTTTGCCACACCATGTGCAAGGGCACGACACATGTCTCCTCTCACCGCGTGCGTTTACCTTCCTCTCCTGCTCCCTTCTCGCTTTTCTCCCTCCCACATTCCACCCTTCTTCTTACTCTCGCCTACCTTCCCCTTCACATCATGACCCTAACACCGCAATGCAGTCTATTCACTCCAGCAGCCGTTTTTGCTATTGGCCCAGCCTGCTACCGATTAGGTTAGACAGGTATGTTTGTACGGTGGATATATCACACCCATAACCCCCCAGGGGACGCACACGTAGCCCTCCCACTCTCAACTGGGGAACGATTCCAGTGCCCCACCAACAATTCCCCCTCACACTAAGGTCGTCTCACCCTCACTTGAGGCACGTTAGGGCACTGGCGCTCATTGGCGAAACACTGGGACTCGAACCCAAGACCTTTGGCTCTAATACCACTTGTTGGGCCAACCTGCTTGGGTTAAAGAGCATGTTTGTATGGCCGGAAGAGGAGGGTAGAACACCCTTAGGGCCCCAAGGCGCACCTGATGCCCTCCGGAACGGTCTCAGTGCGCCACCAACAACATTTGCCCCTCTCTTGACGTCCTCCCCTTGCTTCCCACCTCCACCCCGGCCTCCTTGCTACAATCCCCAAACCCTTTGCCCCTAGAAGGCCTCTTTCATCTTTCCCCTCCCCCACCCAGCCCCTCTCCCCGCCGAGCCCCCCTCGTCCTCTTCCCCATGCCCCCTCGTTCCCCTCTCCCATCGCCCTTCTCCCCCCTCCCCAACTGCCCACCTCTTCCATGTGCTTGACGCGCACATCAGTGAATTTTGACATCTCACAGATTATACTCACCCACCTCCCCCACCCCAACCGCCCACCTATCTCTCCCCAACCGCCCACCTATCTCTCCCCAACCGCCCACCTCTCCCTCCCGAACCGCCCACCTCTCTCCCCAACTGCCTACCTCCTCTGTGTGCTTGACGCGTGCATCTGTGGCCTCCGCCGTTTTCGCCCGCAGCCGCACCCTCCACTTCCCACAAGCCAGCTGGTGTGGTTTGGTTGTTTGTGGGTGGGAGGAGGGTGGGGCGAGAGTAAAGCGCATAAGGGGAGGGGAATGGAGGGAGCGGCGCATGGAAGGCAGACGGGGGAGAGAGGGTGAGTCTTCCAGCCGCACCCTCCACTTCCCACACGTCAGCTGGTGTCGTTTGGTTATTCGGGGGGAGAGAGTGAAGTGCGTAAGCCGAATGGAAGGAGTGACGCATGGAGGGCGGACGACGGGGGAGAGAGGGTGAGATTGACGAGATGTGAGGGAGCAGGGAAGCCAGGCTTGTCACCGACATTCTTAGACTTGTGCCCAGCTTCTATTATAGCCTGGTGACAAAGCGTGAGTGCACCTGTAGTGGAAGCAGCAGCAGTTGCATGCCAATGCCAGCAATGGTGGGCACCCATCCGATCTCCCTCGCTATCAGCCACGTGACCAACACAAGCTCGATAGGAGCCTGCATGAAGGAGGCAGGGAAGAAGAAAGCACGTATGGAGCGGAGAATGCGTGAAGCGGAGGAAGGCAGTGATTCACAAGAAAGGTAGGTAGCCTTGTGCAGGTGGGTAGGATAGGACCATCGCTCTTGGCCTTCATCCACTGCCTCTTCTCTTTCCCCCCACCACTAGAGTCCCCACGCCACGCCACTCCACTCCAAAGCCCTTCCCCTGACAACCCCCCACCCCCCATCCATCATCCCTGGCCCCCCATCCCAAAGTACTCTTCGCCTCACCACCCAGAGCGCCTGGCTGCAGAACACAAGGTCGTCCAATCGGCGCACGTCATTGGACAGCAGGTTGATGCAGTGCCCGCTGCTGACGTGACTCAGCGCGCTGGCGGTGAGTGTGAGGAGGTGACGATGCACTGCAGGGGAAGAGAAGGAGATGGAACGTGTGGGAGGGAAGGCCGAATTATATTAGAATTCGAATCAGAATTCAACGCAGAGGAGGTGGGAGGGTGGAGTAAGGGAGGGTGTGTGAGGAGGTGGCGGTGCACTGCAGGGGAAGAGACGGAGATGGAGCGTGTGGGAGGGAAGGGGAGGAAGACCGGTGTGGGGAGGACAGTTGGGGGAAGGGCGGGGGGATGGGCGAAAAGAAGCAGAAGCAGTTTGGCGGATTTTGGGTGGCAGAGGCTTGGAGCTTGGGCTGCGAGCGGAAAGGTATAGGAGTAGAGACAACAACACGGGGAGTGGGAGAGGAGGAAGCGGATGGGGGCAAGGGAGGACAGTTGGGGGAAGGAGGTGAGGGGATGGGCGAAAAGCACCAGAGAGACTCTGACCAATGTGGATGGCAACCTCACCTGCGCTGATGGCGGCGGTGCGAGTGTTGGTGGAGACAACATATGCGCGGTAGCACAACTGCTGGGTCACCATGGCCAGAGCCACTGCCACTGCGCCCATCCCCGCTGCCGTGAGGTAGCCCTCGGTGGGGCCGCACTGCCCTGCCCCGCTGCCGTCACTGCTGCTGCCGCTGTCACTGCTGCTGCCGCTGTCACTGCTGCTGCTGCTGTCACACCCTTCCAGGTAGGCGACCTGGTGCGGGGAAGGAGGGGGGAGGGGAGACGTATGCACGGTAGCAAAACTGCTGGGTCACCACGGCCAGCGCCACACCACCAGTGCGCTCATCCCCCCTGCCGTGCCGTGCCACTGCCACTGCGCCCATCCCAGGTAACCCTCCGTGGGCCCGCCGCTGCTGCTGCCGCTGTCACTGCTGCTGCTGCTGCTGCTGCTGCTGTCACACCCTTCCAGGTAGGCGACTTGGTGGGGGGATGGAGGAGAAGAACGAGGGGGAAATGTTGGAGAGTGAGGGGGAGTGGGGGAGAGGGTAGGCGGGAATGGCTCCTGAACTGATGAATCTTATTAGACTCGGCGTTCACGTATGCGTGCACGCACGCACAGACATTTCACTCACTGGTAGGGTTGTCACAAGCACGCACTGGCAAGCATAATCTCACCATGCAATAGCAGCACTCACAATGCGATAGAGCAGCACGGCTTTGACCACATGCAGCATCGACTCCCCGAGAAACATCACTGCGAGCAGCAGCAGCGCCCACCGGTGCGGCCAATACAGAGCCGCCCAAAACGGCCACTTCCCTCTGCCCCCTGCTTTCCATCCGTCCCACAACACCAACTGACCGCTTCCCATCCGCCTTTCCCCCTGCTCCCCTTCACACTGCTCCTCCTCCTTCCGCCCCCTTTCCCCATGCTCCTCCCCCTTCTGCCCCCTCTCCCCCTGATCCCCTTCCATGATGCGCGCCGTTTGCGCGTCCAGCCAATCCGCGCGCCAGGTGCGCGGGGGCGGGGGGAGGTCCGCCAGCTGCAGCATTGTGCGCGCGCCCAGGCGCATTGTGGGGGTCACCTGCGCGCATTAAGGGAGGGGAATTGCAAGGGAAGTGAGTCACTTGCACGCGTTGGGCGGGGGGAGATCCGCCAGCTGCAGTGTTGTGCGCGCGCCCAGGCGCATTGTAGGGTTCACCTGCGCGCGCGCGGCATTGGTTGGTTGGTTTCATTGTGCACGGGGAAGGGAGGGGGAAGGGAGTGTTAGCATGGTTGCCGACCTAGAGGGAAGGGGACTGCCATGGAGCTCCCTTAGCGGCTGGTGGGCACTTCCTGTTTAGTTTTTTATTGTGTGATTGTTTGGTCTTGTCTAGTGTTAGTAGGTTTGGTTAGCTCTCCTGTGCGCTTATTGAGTTTTGCTATGTGATGATGTGATCACGATGCATGTCTGTCTCTTCCCGTCTTGATCAATGCAAGGGCCGTTTGAGGGAAGGGGGCGGCGGAATTGGAGATGAGAGAGGCACACGGAAGCTAGTAAGCTGCCTACGCTACGCCGAAGGAAGCAAGGAAGAAAGCAAGTGACTTGGATGGAACCGGGCCACAGGCAGCCAGCCGAGCAGGCAGCGCCGCGTGACCCACCCATGCGAATGTCAATGCTGACCACAGGCTCGGCTCTCCGTCGTCTCCCTCGCCTTCCTCCGCCTCCTCCTCCCGCTGGATATTATCATCATCAGCAACAGCAGCACCGGCAGGAGCAGCATTGGAGCCGTGGCCATCACCCACGGCTGTCGCTTCTGCCACCGATGCGCCGCCATTTTCGCAATTGTCGCATGCCCCTGCGAGCAGCAAGCGTCCTTCCTCCTTGTCGCAAATGTCGCCGGTAGTGGTTGTCACATCGTCGGAGTAACGCGCCTCGCTGACGCTCCGATCAGCGGCCGCAGCATTGCTGGTTCGCTGCAGCTGCATCTGCGATTGCTGGTCCAAGCCTAGAGATATTGTCATCTCGCCTCCGTCCGTTGAATCGCAATTTGGGGGACACGGGGTGCGAGTGCTGACGACTGGGGTGGGGTGCTGCTGAGGCGAATCGCCTCGACTGTCGATGTCGACAGACAGGTTGCTTTCGTGTCCCTACATCATCAGACTGCTACTCGAAATTCACCTGTCAGTCTATCTGTGTCACTTATTCCGTCAGTCTGTTTCTCCGTTCCGTCTGATATGAAGGTCTCCCGGGCTGTGCATGGAAATGTTTCAATCGCAGCTGGTCGTTCAAGAAAGTGAGCAACGAGCTGTCCTGTTACTCGTTTCAACGTACGGTATCGTCGTCTATCTCAATGTATAAAGTTGGTTTTAACGCCGCGAGACTCTGTCTTGTGGACGACCCAAAATAGAATATCGATAAATAATAATAATGCTGCATGAATTGCCGGGCATCAGTCCCGCTACGCACCTCTGGTGGACATAGGAAGGGTTTACGATGATGCATTGCTGAACGGGGGATACTTGAGCAAACATGTGTTCGCGCCGCGCGAACATTTTGGGCCAAGTTCATGCGCTTTTTGCCTCGGTGAAGGACCAAAGCAGAGGCAATTACCCAGAGGTGATGATTGCTGGTAGTAAGTCCCCTCCCCACTCACAGATGGTTGTGGTGTGAGACGGCAACGATGGCATACGCCTCTAGCAGGGAAAGCAGAGGGTGAGACATTGTTGTTGCTCTAAATGAGTTACTGAAAAGAGAAGGATGAAAGCTTATTGAATATTAGTATAATGTAGTATTATACATTCATAAGATACAGTAGTACATGCAGTTGAGAAGCTGTGCTCACTATTCAGCGAATCCCACAATAGTGACACATCGAAACGAGAATGACTTCTGTCAGAATTGACAGCAGCCCTCGAATCCGAAATCCTCGCTCTGAATTTCAACATCCCATCCCACCCTCCTCCCCTGAATTACTGACAAAAAGCCGCGTCGGGTAGATTGTGTTGCTTCTTTTTATTTAGGGCGTGTAAAATCGCCGCACCTAAAAATTCGGCCTCTAGCCAAGTGGCCGAATTGGCGAAAGTAACCCGTTTGATAAAAATTCGAAGACGCTCGCGACCGTCGTTGATTTCGCCAATAAAAAACGAATTTGATGGCCGTTTTGAAAGTCGACTCGTATCCGACACCATGTCGACTCCAATTCGGCCAAGTAGTCGACACCGTGAGCGACTGTCACGTACGACGTCGCACGGTCTCGCAGAACGACTGAAAGCTTTTATCTTGTCCAATGAGAGTTTCCGCCGTCAAATGTGCGACCCCGTCGCACATACGTTCCTACTGTAGCAACTGCAAATTTTACAACTTTTTGAAACCGGCCTGAAATTTGGCCCTCAAACCTGTAAAGTTTGCAAATCTGCAAATAGTGGCTGTAAATGTGACGACACGAAGTCGACCAATCCGTCGACTTTCGCGAAAGAAATGTCGACCAGAGATGGTCGACGTAAAACCGGCCAAAAGCAGATTTCGCAAATTTGCGGGGATGTTACACGCCCTTACGCCCGAGCGCCTGAAACTGGAACCAGGATTTTTGTTGTGAAGGCCACTTCATCGCCTTCCATCGACTCGCACGATTCACCACTCTCAGACTGCGGCTTCGAGTCAGACTGCTCCGACTCCCTCACGATCAGTCGCTTGATGAACGGCGGGAAGAACGGCCACAGTCGCTGCTGCAGCTCAAGCAGCTGCCAGTCGTCACATGTGACCACCCCACGGCAGATCGACGCGCCGCAGTGGCAACTGAAGTTGTCACTGCTGGTGCGGACGACGCCTGCGTTGGTGCTCCCGTAGTCGATGCTCAACTCTTCGCCTTGCACGATGTCCCGCAAGGCCACCACCGTCACCGAGTCTTCCAATCCGCAGTTTGGGTCGCATGAGTGGTTGATAAAGTCGGGCGTCTCGGGCCCACGCGTCGGATGCGGCACCTGCCAGAGGTGATCGTTGACTCGCAGCGAGAGCTCTCGCGTGCGCTCGTCGCTTCCCAGCAGGTAGTCGAGACCGACAAGCTTGCCGGCGAAGACGAGAAGCGGTTCGCCACGTCGGACGCTCGCCAATGCGAACATCCCCTTGAAGCCGTCCGCGCCGCCTTTGTAGCGAGGAACCACGCGCGGGTCGTACCACCCCGACTCGGCCATCTTCCGCTCGATATAAGCCGAGCAGTGGCCGGCGAACCGCCGCTGCCAGTCGTGCGAGCGCCACTCGGTGAATGTGAGCGTGCCACGGCAGCACGCGGCGCCGCAGCGGCAGTGCAGGCCGGCATGCATGCTACCCTCCGTCTCCGTGCAGGCGTAGTCGTACGTGACGTGCTCACCCGGGCGAATGTCGCGCAGAGCGACCATGCAAGTGGCGGTAGCGTACCACGTGTTGGGGTCGCACGAGTGGTTGTAATAAAAGCTCGGATCTTCGTCGGGGTCAGTTATCGTGTCGTACATGTCGTCACCGACCATGTACGAAAAGTGAATCATCATTTCGCGCTTCTTTTGATCGGGTTCCGCTGATAAGTCACGAGCGTGGTACACTCGCCGCGCAGCGGCCTCTTCTTCGTCCCAATCGCAAACGACCTCGCCTTGTGCGATAAAGCTGCGCGCGAACAGCCCGCAGCATCGGAAACCGTAGAGCTGGTGCTCCTTCACGACGATGTGCGGGTGGAGACCCATGATGGAGGAGCGAGAACGGTTGGAGGATGAGTGTGTGTGAAGCGTGCAGTCTGATGACGGGAGGAAATGGTGCGCTGAATTAGTACTATCGTTGCTTGAAAGTTGATACCGATCCAAAACGCCGTGAGATGCTGTCTTTATGGATTCTAGGAGAATTGGTGTGGAGGCGCGATACACTGAACGAAGGCAGAGGCCCTCAAGGTGAGGTTAAGGAACTGGAAGTCAATCACCCACCAAAAATCGTTCGCGTTCCACACAAAAGTCGGCCCCATTCGCCCAACGAAATGCTGAGGCCCTCGAGGTGAGGTGATGGAATCGGAAGCCAATCACCCACCTAGTATGATCGCATTCCAGACGAAGATCGCTTCCATCCGCCCAGAACGAAGGCAGAGGCTCGTCGATGTGAGGTGATGGAATTGGAAGCACTACCCCAAGTATGATCGCGTTCCAGACGATGATCGCCCCCCAACTGCCCAGAACAAAGGCAGAGGCTCCTCAAGGTGAGGTGAATTGGAAGTCGATAATTTACCGAAGTGATTGACTTCCGATTCCATCTGGTACGTTTCTTGTACATTCTTTGCGGTCTAATCTGTTTTGTCACGGTGCAAAACGGTTTAGGAAAAAACTGCTAAGCACCGTATCTAAGCGTTTTAAAAGCGGTTAGAAACGTACGAGTTGCAATCCCCCTACCATTGCTACGCTCCAGTGATGATATGCATGCATGCTTGGCGGATGGTCAATTGTGTTGGGCGAAGAATGACGTTCGCAACAATCGTAAATTGTCGTGGGAGCTGATCGCACGGCTTGCAGCCTAGGCGTCCAACTCATCCATTCGTTGCCAGGCCAAACATTCGATAATACCCATCGCCTGGAACGCGATCATGTGTGTGGAAGAACCGTGGAACGGGAACACCGAATGAGTGATTGACGTGTGGTAACTTCCGCCAGGGCAAAGCATCGGCGGGAAGCCATTTTTTTAGAATTCAACACGGAGCGTAGGATTTCTCGATCCGACGGTAAAGGTGGAAATCGAAAATCGAGTCATCTCCGCAACTCACGCTATATGAGAGTGGAATCGCGTTGCGACCAATACCGTTCCACAGTGTACATTCCCCATGGGCAACGGATTTGAATCTCTCTCACGGTCAGCCAGGGGGCTGAAACTTGAACCTGCGACTACCCTGGACACTCTAGCTGCTGCTGCTGCCAGCCAGCTCATTTCCTCACGTACAATTGAATCAACCAAGCTCTCTGCGTCACGAAGTGCGTGACAAAAGAATCTCACGCATCAGCCCCTTTTCTCGTCTCGGTAGCTTATCGATACAACACGACGATCCGAGCAATCCTGGCTATAATACACGGAGGAGCGAACCATAGCGTGAAAGATTGACTGAGAAAGACGATAGCCAGAAAGGAGTCTAACAGAACAGATACCGCTGCTCACCAACTATTGGACAACCAGACGCGTGCGAGTTATTTCTATCCAAAGCAGGGGGGGGAGACCCAGTTCAGTCGAACGGGCGAACAGACCGATGGAATAACAGAATGACAGTAAAAGCAAGCAGGAAATTCCGTCGTAGGCAGCCAAGCGACACGAACGCAACAGATTTTACCTGTCGACAGCGACAGTTGAGGCGGGTCGAGGTGCCAGCAGCACCCCAGTCCGACCAGTGTCTCCGAAGTTGCGATTCAATGGACGGAGGCGAGATAATGATATCCCTGGATCTGGAGCAGCCGCAGCAGAAGCAGCAGCGAACCGGCAATCCTGTGGCCGCTGATCGGAGTGTCAGCGAGACGCGTTACTACTCTGACGATGGGACAATTACCTTCGACATTTGCGACAAGGAGGAAGGGCGGTTGCTGCTCGCAGGGGCGTGCGACAGTCGCGAGGATGGCGGCGCATCGATGCGACGATCGGCGGCAGAAGCGACGGCCACGGGTGATGGCCACGGCACCAGCAGCGGTGCTGCTTCTGCTGCTGGTTGTGGTGCTGCTGATGATTTCGGGGAGGTGGAAGAAGGCGAGGGGGACGATGGAGAGCCGAGCCTATGGTCGGCATTGGCGTTTGCATGGGTGAGCGCGCTGCCTGCTTGGCTGGCTGGTTGTTTGGTTCCATCCAAGTAACTATCTCTCTTCCTTGCTTCCTTCGGCGTAGCGCGACTCAGGTTGCGCGACTCGTCCTAGGGAGCTTAGGTTGCGTGTGCGCGACTCACTTTTCTTGCCTCTCAACTCCATTCCCCCCCTTTCCCCCTAATCAATGCGGCGCGCAGGTGAGTCCGATAGTGCGCATGGGCGCGCGCAGAGCGCTACAGCTGGCGGACCTACCCCCGCCCCCCCGCACCTGTCGCGCGGAATGGCTGGACGCGCAAACGGCGCGCTTGCAAGGGGAGGGGCGGAAGGAGGAGGAGCTTTGGGAAGGGGGGCAGGCGGAAAAGCGGGGGGAAAGGAGAAGCGGTCAGTCCGTGGTGTCGTGCGGATGGCGGGATGATTGCCCCGAGGGTGCGGTGGCCCGCGCTGGTGGGATGGATGGTGCGGTGAGGCATCTCAGAACTCGGGCGGATGGGGGGATGGTTGCCCCCAGGGGCCCACGATGGTATCGTGGGGTGGCCCGCGTTGGTCGGCTGTGGGCGGGGGGCAGGCGGAAGTGGCCTTTTTGGGCGGCTCTGTATTGGCCGCACCGGTGGCAGCTGCTGCTGCTTGCAGTTCTGTTTCTCGGGGAGTCGATTCTGCAAGTAATCAAAGCCGTGCTGCTGTATCAAATGGTGAGTGCTGCTGTACTGCATGGTGGGTCATAAGTTGGAAAATCGCGTTTTGCGTTTAGTATGCAAGCGTATATACGCCGAACGCTGCCCGGAAGGGGGTCTGGTACGCATAGAATGCGCAGCCCCGGGCAGGTAAAAAACTTTCGGGCAGGATGTTTGGGTTGGGACGTGCTAAGCTCCCGTCCCCTTTTTATCAACATCCTCAGCGGAACTGCCGCGCGCATCTGCAGCCGGGAGAGGGGAAGGTGTTTCTGCAGGAGTGAAGGACACGGTGGTGGTTGAGCTAGGAAGGGAAGAAAACGAGAGGATGATTATCGAATGAACAAAAGGCCCGTAATTATGCTCGGCTCGGATAGTGGAGTCTGGTTGAGGACTCACGACTCGACAGCGGGAATTGGGAATGAATGGGGGGGTGGAGAGGGTTGTCAAACGGTGGAGGGGAGGGGCATCGGGTTTGAAATTCAAAAATTGAGTTCGCCACGTCCCAGTCAGCCCGTGCGTATTTGGGCATATCTACACCAAAAACGTAATTTGTTCAGGCGTATAGATGCTATGCACATTTACATTGGAGTCTTATTTTCCTATTTATGTGAGTGCTGCTGTATCGCATGGTGAGATCACAATGCACCAGTGAGTGAAAAAGTTGGCGTTTGCGTGCATGCATGCGTGAGTGTGCGTACATGATCGCGTGAACGGAGATTCTCTTACACTTCATCATTCTCAGAACTATACCCCTCCTCAACTCTCCCACTCCCCCTCACTCTCCATCGATCCCCCCTGCCTCCTCCTTCCCCTCCATAGATAGCCTACCTTGAAGCGTGTGGTGGCAGCAGCAGCAGCAGCAGCAGCAGCAGTGTGGCAGGGCAACCCGCACCCACAGAGGGTTACCTCACTGCAGCAGGGCTGGGCGCAGTGGCGGTGGTGATGGCCGTGGTGAGCCAGCAATTGAGCTACCGATCGTATGTTGTCTCCACCAACACACACACCGCTGCCATCAGTGCAGGTGAGTGAGAAGAGGGAGAGGTGCCTAAACCCTTGCGGCGCCTCAAAAGTCAGTGGCGGTGGTGATGGCCGTAGTGAGCCAGCAATTGAGCTACCGCTCTTATGCTGTCTCCACCAACACACACACCACCGCCATCAGCGCAGGTGAGGAGAGAGGGGGGCAGTGGGCAGGCAGGCCGTCAGCGTCAGCTTCAAAACTGCTTGTTGTCGTCTCGAGTCCTACAGCTCTCCGCTCGCAGCCCACGCTCCCAATCTCAGCCATCCAGTTCGGGAAGAATGCCTCTGTTCCCCCAACTGTTCTCCCCGCCCACTTCCACTTCCTCCCCTCCCACACCCTCCCTCTCCCTTTCAGTGCATCGCCACATCCTCTCAGAAGAAAATGTGTGTGTCAGTAAACCAGCTGAGCTTTGATTCGTCTTGAAAATCAACTCGGTCTTCCTCCCTTCCCACACCCGTCCTCTCCCCGTCAGTGCACCGTCACCTCCTCTCCCTCACCGCCAGCGCGCTGAGCCACGTCAGCAGCGGGCACTGCATCAATCTGCTGTCCAATGACGTGCGCCGATTGGAAGACCTGGTGTTTTTTGGCAACGCGCTCTGGGTGGTGAGGCCAAGGGGACGGTGGGGTGGGGTGCCAGGTGGGGGATGGGAGGACGGGGATGACGGATGGGGGATGCCGGATGGGGGATGACGGATGGGGGGACAGGGGATGACGCTTGGGGGGACAAGGGCAATAGAGGGAAGGGCTTGTGGAATGAAGAGATATGGAGTTGGGGACTGTGGTGGTGGGGGAGAAGAGGGAGTGGATGGGAAGAAGGCCAAGAGCAATTGTCCTACCCACCCGCATAAGGTTGCCAGCCTCTTTTTGTGATTGACTGCCTTCGTCCGCTTGATGCATTCCCCACGTTCCTGCGGGTGTTCTCCTGTGGCTTCTTCTCTTGCTACCCTGTTTCCGTTATGCAGGCCCCGATTGAGCTTGCGATGGTCACGTGGCTGATAGCGAGGGAGATCGGATGGGTGCCCACCATCGCTGGCATTGCCACGCAACTGCTGTTGCTTCCACTACAGGTGCGTGGTTTGACACTCGGCTATGATTGACCTTGTGGTTGTCACGTGGCTGATATTGAGGGAGATCGATCGGACAGGTGCCCACCATTGCTAGCATCGCCACGCAACTGGTGCATGCCTCGTCACTTCGTTTTCGGCGGAGAGACTGAGAGAGAGATAGCTTAACTTAGAGCCTTATCAGCTCTCTTCCCTCTGCCCTTTGCACTCTGCAATGGGTACTTAAGGCCCCGAAGCCCTTCCAAGAGCTCATTCTTCGACTCATACTTCACTGTTTTCTCAAGATCATTCTGGTTACTCCGTCCACTCCCATTGCGCGTTTCATTCCCCCCCACCATAAAACCACACTTTTCCCCCACCAAATAACCACACAACAACAACTGGCGTGCGGGCGTTGTGCTCTGCCCCCCCAAATTCGTCCCCCGTCTGCCCTCCATGCGTCAATCCTTCCATCCCCCTTATGTGCTTCACTCTTTCCTCCGAAACAACCGAACAACAGCAGCTGGCATGTGGGAAGTGGGGGGTGCGGCTGCGAGAGCAAACAGCGGAGGCCACGGATGCACGCGTCAAGCACACGGAAGAGGTGGGCGGTTAGGGAGGGAGGAGGTGGGTGGGTACAATTTCTAGGACGGCGAAAACAGCGGAGGCCACGGATACACGTGTCAAGCACACGGAGGAGGTTGGTGTTTAAGGAGGGAGGAGAGGGGAGACCGGAAAGAGAGGGGTTGGGTGGGAGATGGGAAGTGAGGGGTTGGATGGGGAAGGGGAGGGTTGGATGGGGGAACGGAGAGGTTGGGTGAGGGAGGTGAAGAGAGGGGTTGGATGGGGAGGGGGGGGCGGGGAGAAGAGAGGGGTTGGGTTGGGGAGGGGAAACTTGAAGGAGGCAATGGTAGGGGCCAAGGGTTGGGGGATGGGAGCCCATTGTGGAGGTGGGAAGAAAGGGGAGGACGTCGATAGAGGGTCAAAAACAGCTGTCGGAGTGAATATTTTGCGGTGTTGCGGTGCGGGGAACGTAGGCGAGTGGCGAGAGTAAGACGGGTGGAATGTGGGAAAGAGAGGGGCAAGAAGGGAGCAGGAGAGGAAGGTATAACACACACAGTGTGTCAATGAAATTGCACTATGGCATGGCATATTCATGGCCTCTCAGGTGCTTGCCTTGCCTTTCCATCCTAGCATCCTTCAGCTCCTGTCCCCTCTCACCGTTGGCCTAGTCTACCATTGACTGGGTTAGAAGGGCACGTTTGTTTGGTGGGAAAGCACACCCACCCAGGCTGCACCTGTAGCCCTCCCACACTCAACCGGGGAACGATCCCAGTGCCTCACCAACAACCTCACCCTCACTAGGGTCGTCTCCCCTCACTTGGGGCTCGCTAGGGCAATTGGCGCCCATTGGCGCTTATTGAGACTCAAACTCGAGACCTTTGGCACAGATACCACTTGTTGGCCCAGCTTGTTACCGACTGAGCTAGAAGCGCATGATTGTTTGGTGGGTAGCACACTCAACTGGTGAACCCCTCAGGCCACACCTGTGATCCGTCCACACTCAACTGGTGAACCCCTCAGGCCACACCTGTGATCCGTCCACACTCAACTGGTGAACCCCTCAGGCCACACCTGTGATCCGTCCACACTCAACTGGTGAACCCCTCAGGCCACACCTGTGATCCGTCCACACTCAACTGGTGAACCCCTCAGGCCACACCTGTGATCCGTCCACACTCAACTGGTGAACAACATCCAGTGCCCCTTCAACATCACCCACCCACCCACCCATCTGTCGCTCCACAACAGGCTCTGGGCGGCATCCTGACAGTGAAGATACTGGCATTGGAGCGGGTTTTCACGGCAATCATCGAACGACTCAGGCGGACAGAAGTGTCCTTGTGAGTCAATCCCTTCAGCTCCCACCACTGTTCTCTGCCTCCTTCCCTTCCTGCCCCTCTCGTCCCACATTTTATTCATCTGATCACTCCAGCTACATGCATTCCATCCCTACAGAATCAACATTCGCTCCTTCCGTCCACCACCCTGCTGCCCAAACGGTCCTTTGTATTAATGCGGTGATTCGTACAAGCAATACGGTCCACCACCCTGCTGCACTCCATCTTCCCCCTTCGCCATCCAGCCTGCAGTGCACAGCCGCCATCAACGCCATCTTCTTTTCCTTCACGTCAGCGATTGCTTCTGGGTCGAGTAGAAAATCGCCTCAAAAATCCCCTCCATCTTCCCTTCCTCTCCAGCCTGCAGAGCACCGCTGCCATCAAGGCCGTGACGGATGCCCTTTACTTCTCCTTCACCTCCGTGGTCGCCCTCGTCACCTTCGCCACCTTCACGTGCCTCGCAGGGCACCTCACTGCCTCCTCCGTGTTCTACGTGCTCACGCTGCTCGAGGTGCGTGCTTCCTTGTTTTCTGGTACCGCTGTTCTTCAGGCACCTCATAAACACCCTCATGTGCCTCGGAGGGCACCTCACCGCCTCCTCCGTGTTCCACGTGCTCACACTGCTCGAGGTGCGTCTTTCCTTGCTCCTCAGTCGAGCAGGGTTGACAACCCTGCTACTCATGGAGCAGTTGATATGCGTGTTCTCACAGCGCCCACTCATGGAGGCGCATGTTCTCACAGCACCCACTCATGGAGGCGCATGTTCTCACAGCGCGCACTCATGGAGGCGCGTGGGAGGGTATTGGATCGGATTGACTGGGATGGTCATTGTGCGCTGTTACTACTTTCTGGACGACACTGTCAGCTTAGCCCACTGACATGCCCCGCCCTCCCCTTCCTCCCCTCCTCCGTATCCCCCACAGATACCGCGATACACCATGGGGCGGAAGGTGGCCCATGGCAATCAGAACATACGCGTTTTAGGACATTTCAAAACTTGCATGCCCCTCCCTCCACTCCCTCTGAACCCACAGATACCGCGATACACCTTGGGGTGGAAGGTGGCCCATGGCATTCAGAACATACGCGTTTTAGGACATTTCAAAACTTGCATGCCCCTCCCTCCACTCCCTCTGAACCCACAGTTACCGCGATACACCATGGGGTGGAAGGTGGCCCATGGCATTCAGAATATCGCCGAGGCATCTGTCAGCTTCAAGCGACTGTCGCACTTCCTGCAGGTCAGATTCATGCTCGTTTCATGGTCTTTTCATGCTCGTTTCATGCTCTATTCATTCTCTTTTCATGCTCCTTTCATGCTCTTTTCATGCTCTTTTCTTGCTCTTTTCATGCTCTTTTTATGCTCTTTTCATGCTCTTTTTATGTTCTTTTCATGCTCTTCCGTGCTGCCCGCGCATTGGGGTCAACGCCAATGCTGCGGCGCATGTCCGGTTGGAGCCTTACGCATGGGTGATGCGGTGCGATTGGTCACTGGGAGTGTGAAAGCATGCCGCCTCAGTGCGCCTCAGTGCGCCTCAGTACGCCTCAGTGCGCCTCAGTGCGCCTCAGTACGCCTCAGTGCGCCTCAGTGCGCCTCAGTGCGCCTCAGTGCGCCTCAGTGCGCCTCAGTACACCTCAGTGCGCCTCGGTGTGCCACAACGTGCCTCAGTGCGGTGGGTCGGTGGGTGCGAGTGATGAATGTGTATCTTCTCAAAAGTCAGACCAGCTTGCTGAGTACCATCTCATCCCCTCTCAGAGTGCCTCTGCCTGTACATGCCTGTGCGTGCTGCCTGCACTCCAACAGACCAAACCCCACGGAGCCACGCACAAGGGAGCCCCTTCTCAGAACGGATATGCAGCACTGCTCCCAGAAGCGCGCCACTATGCCCTTGAGGCGATTTTTGAGTCCACTCAAGGAGCGAATTCACAGAATGGTTCTGCATTGCTCCCAGAGGAGCGCCGCTTCGCCAGTGACACCCAAACCACCACCACCAAGCCTCTCAAATCCACAGCTACTGCTCTCACAGCACCGAGTCTCCAGTCCCCGCCATCGTTGGAGCTCGCCTCACTGCCCTGCCACAGCCTCTCCTCCTCCTCTGCTCCCACACGCCTTCCTTCCACCCCCCGTGCTGCCTTGGTGCTTGAAGGGGCTTCTTTTTCTTGGGGAGAAGCAGTGGGAGAAGCTCGGTGCGAGGGGGAGATGGAGGACGAAGAGAAAGGAGAAGGATTGAGCAGAAGGAGGGAGAGCCATGCACTTCAAGTGGCATCGGCAGGGCATGTATTTGATCTCTCTGAGACTCCCTCCACGGGCTATGGCTGCACGGACGATGGGTGCAGGGGCTATGGCACAGGTTATGGCACGGGCTACAACAGAAGCAGCTGCAGCGTCGCACACGTCCCCTCAGCTTTCCGCATGTGTTTCCCGCAGCGGTTCATGGGCTCTCATGCTGCTGGTCTTTCCCCTGCTGCAGCTTCTGCTTCTTCTTCTGCTGCTGATGCTGCTGCTGTGAGTGCGCCTGTGACTGCACAGGGGGGCCAAGAGCGGCAGAAGGAGATGGGCTGGCGGGACGATGCACCGAGCGGGCGGGTGGAGGGAGTGAGCGTGAGGCTGGGAGAGGCGGAGCTGCTGGGAGTGACTGGCAAGGTGAGCCCTTAACTCGTTGGTTGTAGCGTGCCGCATGCTATGGCATGCACGTGCCTTTGCGCGTGTTGTACGCCACACCACTGTTTGTCGCAGCCTACTGTGCTGCCTGCTGTTAGAATCAAGCTGCCATCGTGCGATTCTCCTTTCCTCCCTCCCTTGCTACCACGCAGACGGGCAGTGGCAAGTCGTTGCTGCTGCTGGGTATTCTGGGGGAAGTGCCTCTCTCATCCGGCGCCATGCACCGCTCCGTGCCCTCCCTCGCCTATGCATCGCAACAGGTCTGCCTCCCACTCGCCTCTCTCTCACCCTTCCCGGTCGTCTCTATCTCATGCTTTGACACTCGTCTCTCTCCCACCCTTCCCACTCGCCTATCTCCCACCCTTCCCACTCGCCTCTCTCCCACCCTTCCCACTCGCCTCTCCCTCTCCCTTTGCCACTCGCCTCTCACCCTTTGCGCTTCCCCATTCCACCAGCCACTCCTCATCGAAGGGACGGTGCGAGACAACATCCTATTCGGCACACCGCTAGACGAGGCACTGTACGCCAAGGTACTACAATGCATCCCAAGGAACGTCTACCCTGATTCTGTCTCGCCTTTGAACGTCTCCCAATGCCCCCCTCTGCCGTCCATCTTCCCCGTTGACCCCCTCCTCCTCGCTGCCCTCTCCCCCCCCGCGTCTCTCATTCCCTCTCCACTCAAGGTGTTGGACGCCTGTGCTCTGCACTCGGACTTGGCTCTGTGGCCATGTGGTGATGCCTCATTGGTGGAGGAGGGCGGCGGCAACCTCAGTGGCGGGCAGAGGGCGCGCGTTTCGCTTGCCCGGGCGGCGTATGCTGCACTTCACTGCAAGATGACTGCTGAGTCGGCGTATGCCACCCTGCACTGCTGCTCTGCCACACCACAGTTGCACGCTGATAATAATGGTGGCTGCGACAATCGCCATAGCAACAGTAGAGACAATCGCAGTAACAATAGCAGCAGCAGCAGCAGCAGCAGCAGCAGCAGCAGCAGCAGCAGCAGCAGCAGCAGCAGCAGCAGCAGCAGCAGCAGCAGGGGTGCTCCCCCACCCGTGCTGGTCCTCCTAGACGACCCTCTTGCCGCGTTGGATCCAGCCATTGCCAGCCACGTGTTTCAGCAGTGCGTGTGTGGGCTGCTGGCAGGGTTGCCCAGGATTGTCGTCACTCACCAAGCGCAGTACCTTGGAAGGTATGGTGACGGGTGCAGGGGAAGAGGGTGGGGAAGGGGCCAAGAGGGAGGGGAACAGTTTTTTTTTCTGGACAGTAACCACAGATGTACCTTCTTTCCTTCTCCATGCCCAGTAAGCCCTTCTCTCTATCCCAGAATCCTCTTGCTGTCATCCTCATCCTCATTCTTCCTCCCTCTTCTCCCTCTGTATTTGTTCTGCCCTCCTCACTCACCCCCATCCCCAGCTGCGACAGAGTGTTGCTGCTGGATGACGATACAGCAGCGGCGTGTGGTGCGTGGAGTGACCTCTGCGCCCTGCCCTCTGCTCAACAACACTGGGGAAATCACCCTCCGGGCCCGGATTTTTCGGACGTTTCTGATGATTCCGGCACTTGCAGTGACAGTGCTGTCTGTGCCACTGACTCTGACTCTGAATTTGACTCCTGCAGCAGCACTGACACGGATGAGGATGGCACCCTTGCTGGCACACAGAGCTGCAGATGCAAAAATGGCACCACGGCGGCCTATGTGAGCAGCAGCAGCGGCCGCAGCAGCAGCAGCAGTGTATGCTCTGTAGATTGCGACAGGAGCAGTGACAGCGATACGGATGCGCCAACAGATTCCACAGACGACTGCCCCTTGATAGGGAGCGAGGTTGTGGTGGAGAAGGCGGAGGCGGCAAGAGGGCGGGGTGTAGACGCATGCAGAGAGCGGGAGTGTGTCTCACATGGGGGTCAGCTTGCTGAGGGTTTGATATGCGAGTCGGGAGAAGCAGCAGCAGCAGCAGCATCAGCAGCAGTGGAGCTGAGAGGCGGGGAGGAGGGAGTGCTGGAGGCGAGTGGCTCCACAGAGGGCGATGAGCAAGGTAGGCCGGCAACGCACGGTAGGCCGGCAACGCACGGTAGGCCGGCAACGCACGGTAGGCCGGCAACACATGTCCAATGCTTTCCGCTCTGAATCCCGAAAGGCTGCTTCGACGTGTTGCTTTCCTCGCTGTCCCTGAAACAGTTCCGTATCACAACCCCTTAACCCCGCCACTTCCTCCCTGCCCTTTATCCCCAAACCTCCAACTTCCCATCCCATGCAATCGCTGTGTGTGCCTGCAGGCCTGCTGGACGTGGAGGGATGGCAGCATGGTGCCATCCCTATGTCGGTGTTTTGGGGCTACGCCAGACAGATGGGCGTGCTGCCCCTGCTGCTCATCGCAGCTCTCTTCCTCGCCGCACACGTCTCAAACTGCCTCGCAAGCTGGTGAGAAAAAAAATCCTCCCCCTCTCACACACTCAAACTCCCCCGCTTTTTCCCCTTCCCTCCTCCATGCCCCGTTCTCCTCTTTATTGCCTGAACGTCTGTGGTGTGTGTGTACTGCACAGCATATGTAACTGTTGGGATGCAAGTGCACACACACTCGTTCCCAATGCCGTATGTGTTGGCCCACACTGCTATCGATTGGGTTAAAGGGGCATGTTTGTATAGTGGGTAGCATACCCAAATCCCCCCAGATTCCATAACGCACATGTAGCCCTCCCACACTCGTTAGGGCATTGGCGCTCATTGGCACACACTAGGACTCGAACCGGAGACCTTTGGCTCTGATACCATTTGTTGGCCCAAAATGATACCAACTTGGTTAAAAGGTCATGTTTGTATGGTGGATGGCACACCCATACCTATCCAAAGTGCCTGTAGCCTGGCCACGCTCAACTAGGGAATGATCCCAGTGCCCCAACAACAATTTGTCTGTGAAAATTGCCCATCTTTCCCTCCCTCCCGCTCCATGCTTGATGCCACTACCTGTTTTCGTCATTCACAACGGCCAACAATTCTTGCCACTCCTTCCCTCCCCACAAGGTTCCTGGGCGTGTGGACGGACACGCCCCACACCATACACCACCCGCTTCTCACCCTCACGGCCATCGCCCTCTCCTGTGTGGCCCTCTCTCTCCTCGCCTCGCTGCTCTTCCACCGCGCTGCTCTGCGCGCCTCCTCCTGCCTTCACTCACGCATGCTGGCCTCCGTGCTCGCCTCGCCGCTCGCCTTCTTCCACCGCAACCCCACCGGGCGCGTGCTGAACCGGTTCAGTGAGGACCTCGGGGTGACGGACGACGTGCTGCCAGAAATGCTGCTGGGATTCGTCAATGTGAGTGGGAGTATGGTAGGGATGGGGTGAGGGGGAGAAGGGTAGATGGAGGAGCGAAATTGAAGGTGGTTGGGTGATGCTTGAATCACTTTTGAAAACTCTCGAAGGCAGGAAGGGAAGTAAGGAGGGGGGTTGTAGGAAGAGAATTGGGGGAAAGCAGGGGATGGGTGGGATAGATGCATACCCATACGTTTGTTGCAATACGAGCTGGGGGATTACATTGGAATCACTTTTGAGAATTCTCAAAAGTGATCCCAACACACCCAATTGTGTTGGAAGTGGGCACTGGGATGATCCTGAGGGGTTTCCCAAGGGCTACGGGTGTCGTCTTGGCGGGGTATGGGTGCGTGTACCCACTATACAAACATGTCATTTTATCTCAGTTGGTTAGCAAACTGGAGTTAGGGCGCATTCTCAAGCTGGGACACCATCCGAAATTCCTTCCACACGTCTCGCAATGTTGACGTGGCATTAATTCACATTTGAAAGTTGTCCCACGCAGTTCGACATTTGGACACAATGAGTCCAACTGGCCATGGTCGCAATGCCTGGCCTGTCCGTCAGTGTGCGACAATGGAGATCGTGCCACGTTTGTTGGGTGTGGGGACTTCGGTGTTAGACATGACAGTTTCGTACACATAGCCGTCAACAAATCTTTTCAGCCTGCCCACGAAACCCATTTCTGCATTGCTTACGTGAAGCTGCCAATATCACCCATGTTGACTTGATTTGACCAAAATTTTACGACAAGCGCAACCGTCAGGCTCGGCCGTTTAGGTTTTGCCAGTCGAAGTTCGTCCAACACTGGTATGCGAGCTGGCGCGTCAATTCAATTGGATACCTGACATGCGACGCTGTCGACATCTGTTGCCCGCCAAAATGGGTTTCGGTGGGATGTTGGGAGGTTTTCCCCCAAAAACACCATCAGCCTCGTAAAAGCCATCAGGTGGGGGAACTTCGATGGTGTCCCAACTTGAGACCGCCCTCTTATTCCTGCATGGTGCGGTGAGTGTGGAAGAATGCACACGGGGGACCTGGGTTCGAAACCTGGTGTCGGCAGGCTTCCTGTGCCGTAGTGGTGGGCCCTCCCAGTGAGGGGAGTGTTGGAAGTGGGCACCGGAGTTAGTGGATCCAAACCCACTATACAAACATGCACATTTTTCCCAGTTGGTTAGAGAACTGGAGTTATGCTTGTAATTCGTTCTGCTCAATAATAGCTGACGGGCCACGGCAGCTGGTGATTACTACGTGAACGCAGAAAGATGCACCCGCCATAAGTCCAGCCAACCACTCTCTCATCTCGATACTCCATCATCCCTCTCCCCTTATAAACATACCTTCCTTCCCGCCCTCCCATTCACTTGCCCACAGTCCGTAGGCTTGTGCATTGCGGCGGTGGTATCGGCGTGCATAGCCGTTCCTTGGACACTAATCCCCGTGCTGCCGCTGCTGCTGCTGCTGCTGCAACTGCGGCATTTGTACGTGTGCACGGCGAGGGAGGTCCGGCGGATGGAATGCACAACACGCAGCGTGCTACTTTCTCGGTTCCTTGCCAGCATGGAGGTGAGACTCATCAGTCATAACTCTCTCTCACTAGCTGTACGTGTACACGGCGAGGGGGGTCCGGCGGATGAGATGCACAACACGCAGCATGCTGCTTTCTCGGTTCCTTGCCAGCATGGAGGTGAGACTCATCAGTCATAACTCTCTCTCACTAGCTGTACGTGTACACGGCGAGGGGGGTCCGGCGGATGAGATGCACAACACGCAGCATGCTGCTTTCTCGGTTCCTTGCCAGCATGGAGGTGAGACTCATCAGTCATAACTCTCTCTCACTAGCTGTACGTGTACACGGCGAGGGGGGTCCGGCGGATGAGATGCACAACACGCAGCATGCTGCTTTCTCGGTTCCTTGCCAGCATGGAGGTGAGACTCATCAGTCATAACTCTCTCTCACTAGCTGTACGTGTACACGGCGAGGGGGGTCCGGCGGATGAGATGCACAACACGCAGCATGCTGCTTTCTCGGTTCCTTGCCAGCATGGAGGTGAGACTTATCAGTCATAACTCTCTCTCACTAGCTGTACGTGTACACGGCGAGGGGGGTCCGGCGGATGAGATGCACAACACGCAGCATGCTGCTTTCTCGGTTCCTTGCCAGCATGGAGGTGAGACTCATCAGTCATAACTCTCTCTCACTAGCTGTACGTGTACACGGCGAGGGGGGTCCGGCGGATGAGATGCACAACACGCAGCATGCTGCTTTCTCGGTTCCTTGCCAGCATTGAGGTAAGCTGCTTCTCTCAAACAGCCTAAGTCTTTTTCTCCTGGGTACGATTTATAAGAGTGGCGACAGCCTATGTGTCTAAGGGAGCTCCAACAGGGGCTCCAACACTACGAAGCAATCCCCAGATAAGATGTCTTCTCCTAGGTTGCCTAGGGGCGGGTTCTTAGAATGGGATGCCTCATTTGACCTGATGAGGTAGCTGGGGACTTGCCCTCGCTTTAGATCTGATGGCACGGCAAGGGAGGTTTGACGGATGGTATGCACAACATGCAGTGTGCTCGTCTACTTAGCATGATTATGGTAGCGGTCGGTCTTCTTAGCCGTCGTCTCCCAAGAAGCCCTTCCCCTCCCCTTGATCGCTTGTGGCCCACTGGGGCTGACGGGGTCGGTGGGGCTGATGGGGTCGGTGGGGCTGATGGGGTCGGTGGTGGTCACGATGCTGCAGGGTGTTGGGACCCCGTTTTGAGAATTCTCAAAAACACCCCACTGGGGCTGATGGGGTCGGTGGTGGTCACGTCGCGAATTCCAACTGCCCTCGAGGTACGATCCCGTGGAGAAAGGTCTGCTTTATGGCCGTCAACAGGGCTGAAAACAGAAGTTTTGTTGTGAACCCATGAATGCACACACGTGCGTGCACACATCCACACACACACACACACACACACACACACTCACACACTCACACACACACTCACACACACACACACACACTCACACTCACACACACACACACACACACACACACACATGTCAAATTATGTGCAACACATATTGTAGGCTAGGTTGAGTTAATCCTTAGAGGGTACGACATTTGTACTTATGCACCCTGTATGCCCTGCTGTTAGTTATTTCTGTTCAGTTCTACTTCTCAGCAACACACACGCACACCCACGCATCCACTGTCACACGCACTTTCCAAGCTCACCTCAAATCTATACTCCCCTCCCCCTCTCCCCCCCCCCAGGGCCTGCCGACCATCCGAGCCTTCTCCCAACAACGCCGCTTCCACCGCCTCTTCCTTCGCCACGTCACCGCCAACGCCACCCCGCACCTATTCTGGCTTGCCACGTGGGAGTGGCTGGGCTTCCGATTGGACCTCCTCGTTGCCGCCGCCCTGCTCTCCGCCGCCCTCGCCGCCGTGGCCCTGCGCCACTCGCTGCCGCCCGCCATGGCCGCGCTGGCTTTGTCTTATCTGCTGCAGCTACCAGACTCCCTGCGCTGGGCGCTGCAATACGGAGCAGAGCTTGAGAACACGGTGAGGCGAGAGAAAGGGTGAGGCTAATGGAGAGGGGTGCAATGGTTGTGATGTTTCTGGGTGTGAGTGAAGTGAGGGAAGGGATGAACGGAGGCAGACAGACCATGGAGGGACGGGGAAGCAAGCACCCAGGAATGCGCCCCATCTGCAGAGCAGAGTGTGCTGCAAGGGAAGCAAGCACCCATCTCCTGACTCAACCCTTATGGGATGCATTCTGATGATACACACTATTTCCACATCACATTCTCATGCCGTGAAACGGTGCGAACTTGGCAGGGAGCTCATCCCTCGTGCACAAGGTCATGCATTGTTTTCTCCCTGTACCTCAGTGACTTTTGAGTCGACTCAAAAGTCACCTTGTTTTCTCCCTGTACCTCGAATCGAACACCCCATCCATGGCAGTTCACCAGTGTTGAGCGCACACTCGAGTACACCACGATTCCAAGTGAAGTGCCCCCACCGAGCCCCAACAGTCAATCTAAGCGTCAGCAGCAGCAGCAGCCATGGCAACAGCAGCAGGTGAAGCAGCAGCAGCAGCAGCAGCAGCAGCAGAAGCAGCAGGAGCAGCAGAAGCAGCAGCAGCAGGAAAAGTCCACCGCAAAATCCACAATATTCAGCGTGCTGTACAGAGCACTGCGAACAGCAATCAGCCTCCTTCCCCCCAAATCACTATGCGCTCACATTCCTCTCCTCCCCAACTGCCAAGCCACAAATGCAGCATCACACAGCGAGGAGGAGGGGAACAGCAGAAGCTCCCTTCGCCCCCCTTGGCCGTCAGCAGGTGCAGTGCGAGTGGAGCAGCTGACAGTGCGGTATGGCAGCACGGGGCAGGCAGTGCTGCGCAGCTTGAGCTTTCGGCTCGCAGGAGGAGAGAAGTGTGGTGTGGTGGGGCGAACAGGTGAGGCTGTGTGGGATTGCCTCTGTAGTTCAACGTACCATGATTGGGCTGGTTCAAGGTGGAGAATTCTCAAAACTGATCCAATATACCTGGTAGGGATGGTGTGATTCAGGGCTTCTGTGAAAAAGCGCTTGAAACTGTGTTGGCTGGTATGTGTTCTCTATGTGTCTGCCTCGTCTCAACCCATCAGGTGCAGGAAAATCCACACTCATGCTCGCTCTGCTGCGGTTGGTGGAAGCGTCTTCAGGGAGCATTTGCATTGACGGTGTCGACATTGCATCGCTGCCCCTAGCCACCCTGCGAAGCGAGGTAGGCTTCTTAGGCACCTCAGAGTCCTTGCATTGCTGCCTCTCGCTGCTGTGCAAAGCAAGGCAAGCCTTTGAGGCACCTCTAAAGACAATACATCGCTTCCATTTGCAACCCTGCAAAGCAAGGTAAGCATCCAAGTGGCACTTTTTAGTTGACTCAAAACTACTCTCAACCGTGCGAAGAAGGGTACGCCACAACGTAGCATTCACATCGACGGTGCCGACATTTCATTGCTGCCCCTTGCAACCCTGCGCAGTAAAGTAGCATTTCCTTTCCTCCACCCCCCCTTTCCTTTCCTCCATCTGTTGGCTACCTTTTCAATAGTTACCATGCATAAATTTATTTCATCTATTGTGCATGAACTTGTGGTTTTCAATGGTCCTTCCTGTTTCAGGTGGTGGCCATTCCTCAAGAGCCGGTTCTTTTCAGCCAATCATTGCGATTCAACCTTGATCCCCTGGGGTAAGATTACTCATTCCGACCACGAATCTCAAAAGGTTCTCACCGCACCTTATGTGTGTGTTCTCATTTACTCAATCCTTCAACCTCTAGTGCACTTTCACGCTCCAAAAACCCGCTTCTTCCCCCCCATACCCTCCCATCCCGTGTCTGATCTCCCCCACCCATGCCCCAATCACAGGCAGCACAGTGACGAGGCCCTGTGGTCGGTGCTGGCAACGGTGCGCCTAAAGCCGCTGGTGGCGGGGCTGCTGGGCGGGTTGGATGGTGCCCTGGCTCAGGGCGGGGGGAACCTGTCCCTGGGGCAGAGGCAACTGCTCTGTCTTGCAAGGTAATCACATGGGGAATTCCATCGGGGGCAATCACAATGCAGGTCGTATCTCTTGTCTCAGAATCGAATATTGACCCACAGTTATCACATGGTAAACTACGTATTCTGATTTCTCTCTTCTCTTGCTCATGGTGTTTGTTTTCCATGCAGGGCGTTGCTGGCGTCGACACGCGTGTTGCTGATGGATGAGGCGACAGCGAGCATGGATGGGGAGAGCGATGCAGTAATTAAAGACATCCTGTGGGAGTCGTTCAAGGACAGCACCGTCATCACCATTGCACACCGCCTCTCCACAGTTCTGCATTATGATCAGGCAAGCCTTTTGAGACGTCTCCAGAGTCATTCAAGGACAGCACCGTCATCACCATTGCACACCGCCTCTCCACAGTTCTGCATTATGATCAGGCAAGCCTTTTGAGACGTCTCCAGAGTCATTCAAGGACAGCACCGTCATCACCATTGCACACCGCCTCTCCACAGTTCTGCATTATGATCAGGCAAGCCTTTTGAGACGTCTCCAGAGTCATTCAAGGACAGCACCATCATCACCATTGCACACCGCCTCTCCACAGTTCTGCATTATGATCAGGCAAGCCTTTTGAGACGTCTCCAGAGTCATTCAAGGACAGCACCGTCATCACCATTGCACACCGCCTCTCCACAGTTCTGCATTATGATCAGGCAAGCCTTTTGAGACGTCTCCAGAGTCATTCAAGGACAGCACCGTCATCACCATTGCACACCACCTCTCCACAGTCCTTGATTATGACCAGGCAAGTCAGAAGAGTGCCGCTTGTGCCTCTTGCTCGCATGTAATCACTCTCGTCTGTGTAAGTGCGTGTGCGCACGCACACCCTACATGTGCGCAAGTCCCACCTGCTGAAAAGCTGCCTAATGTTTTGGTTCATCGACTATCCAATCCCCATTTTTCGCAGGTTCTTGTCATGGAACGTGGGCAGAGCATTGAGTTTGGAGCTCCAGAGAATCTCAGAAAACTAAAGTCCAGTGCTTTCTTTAGTATGCTAGCAGATAATACCTCCAAGATAGAGTAAAGACCTCTACGATAGTGTACTACATTGTAATATATGTAATATACATAATTATACTATATTGTATGGCTTATGATTTTATGACCTTGCTGTCAGAAGTTTCGGTTTCAGCCATCCATACTGGAATTGGAAGGGGTTTAAAAACTTTGATATCACTACACATCATAAAAATTAACATCAATTACGGTAAGTTCCCATAAAGAAACGCATATTACATACATGCGTATTGTATTGTACGACAGGAAGGGACACGATTTATCGGAGGGCAATAAGCCATCTTGATTGAGCCGGCACAAAGACAAGGCACCATGTACCTCTCAGCAATATTGATCGATACGGTAATGCGCAATTGACTCTTCATTGCGGTGGGGTCAAATGGGACTGTGAGAGAGAGCATGCAGGTTCGAGCCGTGTTCTGAGTCGACTAAAAAATGCAGCTTCGAGTTGTGCCACAACCACCGGCAGCACTTGCCCTGCCTGCTGTCCAGTCCACAACATAATACCAGTGCCAGTACCAGGCCCTACGATATCAGGAATTTTTCCCTGAAATTCCTGATTTTCAGCCTAGTTTTGTGTACCTACACTGATTTTTCAGTGTTGAGATTTTTGTGACACTGATTTTTTCAGCCTTTACTTCATAGCTAACACTGATGTTTCAGACTTTTATCGAAGTGTACACTGAATGCACATTCGTAATCCTTCCCGTGAAACACCCGAACGATTGAGTCAACCAACATTTCCACATAAACACGTATAAATAGAAAGGAGACTTATGGCTGACGGGATGAATTGTCTCAGTGGTTAGCGAAACTAATACTGAATGGTAAGGTGACCGGTTCGTTTCCAGCCTAACTATTAATAATGGATTCTCTCTTGTACAAATTCAGGCTCTTTTTTTTAGTAACCCTGAAAATTCAGGCTTTTTTTTCTAGGAGCCCTGAAAATTCAGGCTTTTTTTCACAGGGACCCTGATGCATCAACGTCCCTAAAAGTGAATCTGAGGGCCTGGCCAGTACCAGATTCACGATTGCATTAACAGGCTGTCAGTAAGTGGAATCTACTTTCTGAGAATTCTCACAGAACAGATTCAGCTTGACACCCCAATACAGAATACCTCTGCCAGTACCAGATATCCACGATCGCAGCAGCAGGCAGCAGGCTGTCAGTCCAGCCTACTGCAGCACTTGCCCTGCCTACTGTCCAGTCCAATGCTGCTACTGCCAGTACCAGATATCCATGGTCGTAGCAGCAGGCTCTCAGTCAGTGGGAGGGCAAGCAGCTTCAACCTGTGGCTCCACTTCACAGGCTGCAGCACTCGAGGTGACATTTGAGTCGACTCATAAACCCTGTCTAAGTTGGAACCGGGCTGTGGGTGGGGGGGACTCATAAATTCTGCATTCTGTGACTCCAAACACGACACCGTAGCGCTCCAGGTAGCTTCCAAGTCCATTACAAAGTCCTAGACCCTATCTAAGTTGAAACCGGGCTGTCAGTGGGAGGGCAGGCAGCCTCCAGGCGGGTCACCACGCCGTGCAGCACTCGCTTCCTGCTCAACCGGAACTGCACCGCTGTTAGCTTCTCATCCAGCACTGGCAGAAGCACTGCACACCTGCACCGCACTCCCATCGCTGTCATCATCTCCCCTCCCATCCTCCCTCCTCTCAACCTCCCTCCTCTCAACTTCCCTCTTCTCGACCCCCCTCCTGTCAGCCTCCCTCCTGTGAGTGTCCCTCCTGCCCCGCTTCTCCCTCTCTCCCCATCTCCACCACCTCCTGTCCGCCACTCCTCACAACCCATCTCAACCTCCTCGTCCTCCCTTTTCCTCCTCTCCTCCTCATCGCCCCTCTCTTCTACCTCCTCGCCTTCCTTTGCTCCCTCTGCCTCTGCCTCTCCCCTCCTTCCCACCCGTCTCCCGTCCTCCTCTTTCCCCTCCCTCTTCCCGCACCGCTCCAGCTCCTTCAGGATCGCTTCGGCTTCCCGTTGCGCTGCCTTCTTCTTTCCTTCCTTCCCCAGTTTCCCACCCTTCACCCCCTCCCCACCACCCGCCCCCACCTTCCCGCCGCTCTTGCACCACTCCAGCTCCCTCAGGATCGCTTCGTCCTCTTCTATGCTGGTCGGCATCTGCTGCAGCCGCGCCTGCGCTAGCAGACGAATGGTGTCGGCTGCTGCTTGCAGGGCGGGCAGCATGTCAGGGGCGGGCGAGGAGAGGAACCGGCATGTGCTGTTGCTGACGGCCCATCCCAGGTAGACTGCTGAGCTGGTCAGCACTGCAGGGGGGTCTGTGTGGGAGAAATGGGAAGAGGAGGGGGAGCAAGAGGGGTTGGGGGTGGGAGGGAAGGCGCGAGGAGAGGTGCTGGCAGGTGCTGTTGCTGACAGCCCATTCCAGGTAGACTGCTGAGCTCGTTAGCACTGCAGTGCAGGGTGGTCTGTAAAATGGGGGAAGTGCGAAGAGCAGGGGGGAGGGAGAAGGGGTGGGAGGGGGAAACGGGTGAGGAGAGGCATTGACAGATGAGGTGCTGTTACTGACTGTCTATCCCAGGTTATTCGTGAAGTGTATCCAAAATGCACTGCTTACTGCTTATAGACCCATCTCGTTGATGCAGCAGGTCGTAGAACACAGCAGCAAGCGCAGCAATCAGATTGGAGCCCATACCCACCTCCCTGCCCGCCTCACCTGTCCGGCCAGAGATCGCACCTCGTTGATAGTGCAAGTAGTAATACACAGCAGCAAGGGCAGCGATGAGATTGGGCTCCACGAGCCCTCTCGCCCACACCGCCACGCCCACCCTGCCCTCCTTGTCCGCCTCTGTCCTCTCCTCCACGCCCCCCAGCACCTCCTCCACCTCGCTCACTCTCCTGATCCGCTGCATCAACTCAAACGGCGGGCCGCCACTCTCCGCGGCGCTGTAGAACTTCCCACCCTCCTCCTCTCGCTCCCTCACCACGGCCTCCACTGCCCGCGCTGCCACCCGCCACAGCTGCCGCTTCAGCTGATGCAGAGGAATAGTCGTGTTCCCTGCACCAGCACCAGCGCCAGCACCAGCACCAGCGCTAGCACCACCAGCAGCTGCTGCAACACTTCCCCACACGTGCAGCAGGTTCTGTTTGACCTCTTCCCGCCAAGGAACGGAAGGGCTGGCAACACTGCCAGCTGTAGCATCAGCTGCAGCCTCGGCTGAATCCTCGGCTGTACTCTCAGAAGTGGCAGCTGTAGCAGCATCAGCAGCACTGCATGTGTGCTTCAAATTACTAGACCCAACAGCAGCAGCAGCATCGCAGGCATCCTTTATCTCGTGCTTGGCAGCAGCAGAAGCAACATCGCAGCGTCCTATACTTCCTTTCTTGCTCGCCACGCCGCCACAAACAACATCATCATCACCACAACCAGCGCCACCACAGGCAGCTGCTATGGCCTCGTCTCCTTCTCCTCCCGCTCCTCCTGCTCCTCCCTCTAACCCCCCCTGCCCTTGCTGCTGTGCTGCCAGCTCAACCCCTCGCTGCTGCTTCATCCCATGGTGGACGAGAGTGGCCACGAGGCGAACAGCGTGGGAGAGCGAGGGCAGCAGCGGCGCATGGTCGAACATGTTCCCCATCAGCACGAAGCCATACGCCTCCAGCAGATCCTCGTTGCCCCTCAGCCCGTAGCTCGTGCTCACCTCCTCTCCCCGCGCCACAGACACTGTTGCCCCAAACTCAAAGGTATCCCCATCAGCGCCAAACTGCAGGCGTGTGTGTGGTGGGGGGGGGGGGGGGGGGGGGGAGGGGGGAGGGGGAGGGAGGGGGTTGTGGTTGGGGTTGGAAGAGGAGGTTGGGGGAGGGAAGTTCCGAGAGGAGGTTGAGAATAGGAAAAGGGGGAGTGCGGGGAAGGGAGGAACGGAGTAAAAAACAACAGCACTAGTCATAGAACATTCACACGGCAAGCACAGTAGGTAGGTACCGAGTAGGCGGTTTGGTTTGGAAGCCGTCGCAGCACCGTTGAGAATTCTCAAAAGAGATCACAAAGAGCTCGATTTTCGAGATGTCTCAGAAAGGCACGGTACTGAATAAGTGATTTGGGGTTGGTTGCTGTGGTCAAAGTAATCTGCTGGCGGCAGCAGCAGCAGCAGCAGCAGCAGCAGCAACAACAGCAGCAATGAATATAGCACATTCACGTCGTGGGCACGGTACCGAGTAGGCAGTTTGAAAGTCGTTGCTGTGGTCAAAGAACTCTGCAGGCGGCACCAGCAGCACCGCACTCTTCTTCAGCCGCACCTCCTCCACTGCCCCCGACGGCCCCGAACCTCCCCCCGAACGTCCCTCCGAACCTCCTCCCGACCCTCCGCCCGACCCTTCCCCGGAACCTCCCCTCCATGCTTCTACAGGTTCATCCACCGCACCAGGGTCTGTCCGTTCGTACAGCACCACATTCCCCCACCGCGGGTCCTCGAAGCCTCTGGACTGAACGACAGAGAGCGCCCACATGAACTCGTGCAGGGAGGCATTCGCCAGCACTGTTGGGCCGCAGCGGCGGTACTCAAACTCGTAGCTCGCCAGATTGTGGCGCACCTGGTGGGTTGGAGAGTGGGGGAGGGGGGGGACGCGAGGAAAGGTAGACAATGGGGGGGGAGATGATGACGTGGCTCAGCAGAGCATGTTAGAGCATGACAGAGCATGACAGAGCATGACAGAGCATGACAGAGCATGACAGAGCATGACAGATCACGACAGAGCATGACAGAGCATGACAGATCACGACAGAGCATGACAGAACTTCTAGTGTAGGCACGAGTGAAGCGAAGGCGTTTCTCACAACAATGTTCACACATAATATACTGTCTGCTCTGCACTGTAGCTTCGTTCTTCCTCTGTTGCTTCATAACCGTTTGTTTTAAGAGTATTTTTGGTAATTTCACTTGAAGGTTCCAATTTCAGCAGAACTTCCAAAAACAATAACTTTTTGCTCTCACTTCACTCTCTTCACTACCAAAAAAAAAAAAAAACACACACACACACACACACACACACACACACACACAGCTTTTACAATCGACGGAGCCTGAAACTCCTCCAGAGTCTCCTGCTCAAAGAAGTAAGGCAGGGGAAGACGTGGCATGGCAGCAGCTGCAGGTATGGCCACGGTAGGCAGGGGGTCACTCACTCACAGCATTCACCACCACTCACTGTTTTCACGATTGAAGGGGCCTGCAGCTCCTCCAACGTCTCTTCCTCAAAGAAGTACGGCAGCGGGACGTGGCGGGGCAGCAGCTGCAGGTACGGCCACCAGAAGGACTCCGTCCTCGTTTTAAGCATCTCCCTTAGCAGCCACGCGGCTGCTACAGTGAAGGCCCACACGGGCCCGGGGTAGGGGGGTCCCCCTATGGCTTGCAGCATGGCGGGGGTGGTGACCCAGAGGGAGGAGGGGATGGAGAGGAGGACCGAGTCCTCCTCGTGATCCCTCCCTGCCCGCACTGACATCTGGCGCCTGGAATGAGCGTGAAGGGGGAGGGATGGCACAAGCGCAAAAGAAAAAACCAAGACCAATCTTGGGATCCCCTTATGAACTGAAGCATGGTGGGCGTGGTTACCCAGAGGGAGGAGGGGATGGAGAGGAGCACTGAGTCCTCCTCGTGATCCCGCCCTGCCCGCACCGATAGCTGGCGCCTGGAATGAGCATGTAAGGGAAGGGGCGGCACAAGGCACACAAGACACAGGAGCACTCTTGGGATCCAGAGGGAGGAGGGGATGGAGAGGAGCACCGAGCCCTCCTCGTGATCCCGCCCTGCCCGCACTGCCAGCTGGCGCCTGCATGCGGGGTGGCAGGGGGGAGTGCGACAAAGGATGGCAGAGGAGGGATCGAAGGGAAAGAGAGAGGCCAAGAGCGCGGTTTGGTGTGGAGAGAGGAATTCGGTGCAGATCGGGGGAGGGAGGGTGGCATGTAAGGCATCGATTGGACATTTGCCTCGGACTCACCTCCCATCCCTCACCTGCCATAAGGGGCATGTACGGATTCGGACATGACACACATCACCCTCCTTGTGTTCAACCCACCCATTTCCCTTACATGTCGACTCAAAAATAGGCTCATCACACCTGGCATGCATGGATCGGACATGACATGACACACATCACCCTCCTTGTGTTCAACCCACCCATTTCCCTTACATGTCGACTCAAAAATAGGCTCATCACACCTGGCATGCATGGATCGGACATGACATGACACACATCACCCTCCTTGTGTTCAACCCACCCATTTCCCTTACATGTCGACTCAAAAATAGGCTCATCACACCTGGCATGCATGGATCGGACATGACATGACACACATCACTCCACCCGGCTTTCCCCTCCGTGCTTTCAATCCATTTGCCCAGCTCGCCTGCTTTCAACCCAATCGGTCCGGAAGGGGGGTGGGTGGGCGGGCACGCACGGAGCATGCACGGATCCGGCATGACACACATCACTCCACCCGGCTTTCCCCTTCTTGACTTTTGAGTCGACTCAAAAGATCGGACATGACACACATCACTCCACCCGGCTTTCCCCTTCTTGACTTTTGAGTCGACTCAAAAGATCGGACATGACACACATCACTCCACCCGGCTTTCCCCTTCTTGACTTTTGAGTCGACTCAAAAGATCGGACATGACACACATCACTCCACCCGGCTTTCCCCTTCTTGACTTTTGAGTCGACTCAAAAGATCGGACATGACACACATCACTCCACCCGGCTTTCCCCTTCTTGACTTTTGAGTCGACTCAAAAGATCGGACATGACACACATCACTCCACCCGGCTTTCCCCTTCTTGACTTTTGAGTCGACTCAAAAGATCGGACATGACACACATCACTCCACCCGGCTTTCCCCTTCTTGACTTTTGAGTCGACTCAAAAGATCGGACATGACACACATCACTCCACCCAGCTTTCCCCTCCTTGTGTTCAACCCATTTGCCTCGACTCACCTCCCGTCCCTCACCTGCTTTCCTGCCCGTCATTGCCCGTCGTCTCGTTCCAAAAGACAATCTGCCAGCACAGCACGGGTAGTGGGTCTATTTTGGTGCGACTTTTGAGAATTCTCAATAGTGGGTCTATTTATGAGTCGACTTACAAAAAGACTCGTTCCAGAAGACAATATGCAGCACAGTGTTAAAATACATATTGTGTGTAGCATGCCAACACATGTGACTGTACACCAATTGTGGTGTACAGTTGGGTTGGGACTACACCCAACTTTGGGTGTAGTCTTGCACTTTGGGGTGCCAATCCACCCAATTGTGGTGGAGCCCCCAAATGCAACCCTCTTGACTTGTGGGTACCTCACTTCCCATCATTGAGGTTACCCCAAGCCAAGTGGGCCTAGGGTTGCCTCACTTCTACAAAGTGTGGGCAACCCAACCCACTTGACCTATGGTTCCCTCACTCCCCCAAGTGAGGTCAACCCAACCTATGGTCACTTTCATCCTTCCCTTCCAACCTTTTCTTCCAACAATGTATGCTAGGTTGCTCCTCTAATCTAATCACTTGTTCAATTCACATGGTATAGAGCTAGTTGTTCCTAAGCCTTAACTCCCTCTCTCAAAGTTTTTCTTCCCCATGGGCCCACCCCACAGCCACAAACCCCCTACGTGTGGCTCAACCTAGCATCTCCTTGGCACGACCTACGCCGTCGCTGCCCTTCCCTCCCTCCGCCGTGATTGCGCCCTCCTCGCCTGCGGATCCCACCGCCGCGAGTGCATCACCGCCTCCCGTCGCCGCGACACACCGTCGCCGCCCCCCCCCCCCCCCCCTTTTTTTCCGCCGCCGCGCCTTCTCCGGCGCCGCCTGCGCATCCCGCCGCGACGCCTCGTCGCCGCCTCCTCCTCCCCCTGCCGCGACCCCCCGTCGCCGTCTCCCCCCCTCCCGCCGCCGCGCCTACTTCGGCGTCGCCCGCGCATCCCTCCGCCGCGACGCCCCGTCGTCGCCTGCCCCTCCCGCTGCCGCGACGTCGCGTCGCCGCCTCCCCCTATCGCCGCCGCGCCTTCCTCGGCGCCACCTGCGCATCCCGCCTCCGCGACGCCCCGTCGTCGCCTCCCGTCCCGCCGCCGCGACTTCGCGTCGCCGCCTGCACGCCCCATCGCCGCGACCTGCCGTCGCCGCCTACGCATCCCGCCGCCGCGACCCGCTCGTCGCCGCCTGCACGACCCGCCGCCGCGACTTCGCGTCGCCGCCTGCGCATCCCGCCGCCGCGACCTTCTCGTCGCCGCCTGCACCCCTTGCCGCCGCGACCTAAAGTCGCCGCCCGCGCGACCTACTGCCGCGACCTGCTCGTCGCCGCCCGCACATCCCGTCGCCGCGACCTAAAAATCGCCGCCCGCGCATCCTACCGCCGCGACCTGCTCGTCGCCGCCCGCGCATCCCGCCGTCGCGCCTTCCTCGTCACCGCCCGCTCATCCCGCCGCCGCGATCTGCACGTCGCCGCCCGCGCATCCCGCCGCCGCGCCTTCCTCGTCGCCGCCCGCCCATTCCGCCGCCACGATTTGCTCGTCGCCACCCGCGCATCCCGCTGCTCCTACTTGTCCCCGCCTGCCCCCACCACCCCCCTGCAGATTCCGCCGCCGCAGCAGCCGCTCCATCCCGCAGCAGCAGCGTCATTGGCAGCAACAGCCCCGCCCACAGCTACAACTGCGTTCTCCCTCCCCTTCCCCCTTTCCTCCTCCTCCCCTCCCACGCAGCAGCAGCCGGGACAGCTCAGCAGCCACAGCAGCAACAGCGGCAGCAGCAGCAGCATCAGGAGCAGCGGCAGCAGCTGCATCCACTATCTTCCTCCCCCTTCCCCTCCTCCCCCCCCCCCCCCTCCTCCCTCTCAGCAGCAGCGGCAGCAGCGGCAGCAGCGGCAGCAGCGGCCGCAGCGGCAGCAGCGGCAGCGGCGGTAGCAGCGGCAGCAGCAGCAGCATCAGGAGCAGCGGCAGCAGCGGCAGCAGCTGCATCCACTATCTTCCTCCCCCTTCCCCTCCTCCCCCCCCCCCCTCCTCCCTCTCAGCAGCAGCGGCAGCAGCGGCAGCAGCGGCAGCAGCGGCAGCAGCGGCAGCAGCAGCAGCAGCCGGAGAAGAGCTCCACTCCCCGCAGCAGCACCTCCCCCCTCCCCCCCCCCCCCCCCCTCCTCTCTCTCGGCTGCCGCGGGTCCACCCGCCGTCGCCCTCCCCCTTGACCGCCGCGGGTCCACCCGCCGCCGTCCAACTCGAGGCCACCGCAGGTCCACCCGCCGTCGCCTCTCATGGCTACCACTCCTCCCCCTCTCCCCCCTCCCATTGACGCCTCCTCCGTCGACAAGCTTCAGCTTGCCGCGGACCGCTCGGCGATCAACTGGCACTCCTTCGTCGGGAGCATCCGCCGTGTTCTCCAGGATGCATTCGTCGGACCCTACTGCGTCCTCGACATCCTCCTCCGCCGCCCGCAAGCCCTCCAGCCCACGGCACCCAATCACCCCGGCGAACCCCCTCCAACCCCCATTCCTCCTGGTCCTCCTCCTGCTGAACCCACCTTGGAGATCGCCACTACCCCAGCGCTCCAGAGTGCCGCCGATGCCGCCTTTCTCCACGATCGTCGCGAGTACCTCATCCGCAAGGCGGAGCATGAGGTTGCGGTCCATAACCACGACTTCGCGGTAGCGGAACGCGCCAATCGCCTGGCGCTCCTTGATGAGTACAATACGGCCATGGCAGACTACCTCCCTAGGAGCATCGCATGGGCCACTGCTGACAACCGCGCCTGCACCATCCTCCTCGGCGCACTCCCTGATACCCTCATGCGCCGTTTCCAAGCTCGCGAGATGCGCGCCTCCCTCATCTGGGCCGAGCTCCAGGCGATGTTCGAGCGTCGCGACATCAGCTCTGTCGGCGCCCTGTTCCAGGAGTACTTCTCCATCACCCTCGCCACTTGTGATGGCGCAGTTGACTACGTGGGGCGCATGCAGGAGGTCGCTGATCGCCTTGCGGCACGCCAAGCTGCCCTCCCCGAGCCACTGCAAATCCACCGCCTCCTCTACAACCTCACCCCGGACTACGAGTCCCGCCTCCATGCCTTCACTGAGGCGAACGTCTTGGCCGGCCTCAACGACGTGGTCCAGTGGATCATTGACACGGAAGTCAAGCTCCGCACCCCCGTTGTCAACCTTACCACCCCTCAGTCCTCCTCCTCCAGCTCCCTCAACGCTACGCAGCCGCGCAACCAGGGTGGTCGCAGCGGCGGCGGCGGAGGCCGTGGAGCGGGCGGCGGTGGTGGTGGTGGAGGCCGCGGTGGTGGCGGTGGTGGTGGTGGTGGTGGTGGCCGTGGTGGCCGTGGTGGCGGTGGTGGTAGTGCTGGCAGCGCCCCTGCTGGAGGACCTTCCGGTGCTGGTGGTGCTGTGACTCGAGGCGGACGCCCTGGCACTCTCCCCCCATGCACATATGTGCGCCGCCATGGTCCCCATGCTGGTACCCCTTGCGGCCAGACCAACCATCCCCCCACCACGTGCTTTAAGGCACTCGTCGACGCCTGGTTTGATCGAGGCAACACTGGCACCCCTCCTCGCTGGAACTCGGTCACACCTCGCCCCTCCTTAGTGGACATTCAAACCCTCCCCTCTTTCCTTCCTGCTCACCTCCGCCTGGTTACCCCCTCCCCACCTTCACAGCTGCAGCAGTTTCAGCAGCACCAGCAGCAGCAGCACCTGTACTTCCACCAGCAGCAGCAGCAGCAGCAGTTTCTCCAGCCCCAGCAGCCGCCGCCGCCGCAGTTCTTCCAGCCACCGCCACAGCAGCAGCAGCAGTTCCTTCCCCCACCCTGGCAGCAGCAGCCACTTACCTTCGGCACAGCGGCCATGGCCGCTCATACCTCCCTTCCTCCTCCTCCCCCCTGGGGTTCTCTCCCCTCTGCCCCCCCCAGTGTTCCCGATACTTCGGGTAGTTTCCTTGGTAATATCAGTGTTGCACCGTCTGTCGCTGCCATGTATCCCTCTGCTATCAATGAGACTTCGTTTCAGTATCCCGTCCCACCTCCTCCTCCCTCTTCCCCCACCCTGGACTTTGTCCTTGACAGTGGGGCCACTGAAACCGCACTGAAAGACGCTGGCACTCTCACCCCACTCCCACTTCCCACTCAGGTTCATGGCGCTGATTCCAGCTTTTCCATTCCATGCACTCACCTCTCCACCCTCCCTTGCACTGCCTTCCCCTCCGGTAAGGTCACAGGTCTCCATATCCCCACTCTCCGCAACAACCTCCTCTCCCACCGTGAGCTCCAAGGTGTTGGTATCACTGCCATTTACCCCGGTTATGCCAATTACTGTGATCTCTACCAAACCTCCTCCGGCCGCTTCCTTCTCCGCATTCCGCTTTGCCCCCGCACTCGCCTCTACACACTCCGCACACCTCGCCCATCCTTCTGCCACGTCACCACTCGTGCCGGTACTTCCACCGGTCCACCTCCTCCTCCTTTACTTCCCCCTTCCCCTCCCCCTCAAGTATCCTCTTCTCCCTCCCCACCGTCCTCCTCCTCCCCTCTCGTTCCTTCCTTCACCCCATCTCCCTCCTCCTCCACTACCCTCTCCCACCCTGCTGTCCTCTTACACCTCAGACTCGGCCATCCCAACTTCACCGCCCTTCGCACCACAGTCACCTCTCGCCTCCTCCGTAGCCTTCCTCCCGTCTTACCTCCCCTCCCCTCCTTCCCCTCTCCCCCATGCCCTTCATGCATTCACGGCAAGCTCAAACAGTCCCCCCACCACAGTCATCCCACCTTCGCCGCCGCCCCCATTGACCTTGTGCACATGGACCTCTGGGGCCCCTATCCCATCCGCTCCCGCCAGGGGCATCGGTACATGCTCGTCCTCGTTGACGACCACAACCGGTACTCCACCACCTTCTTTCTTCACACGAAAGACCAGGTGCCGGCAGTGGTCATCAACTGGGCCGAACAGTGCCGCAATCACTTCAAACGCCCCATCGGCCGCCTTCACTCTGACGGTGGGGGTGAGTTCATCAATAACACACTTGCCACATACTGCAACACCTACGGCATCCAAAAGACCTCCACCCTTCCCCACTCCCCTCAGCAGAACGGCATTGCTGAGAGCCGCATTCGTGAGATCACCAAAATAGCTCGCTGTCTCATTGCTCATGCCTCCACCCCTCCTTCCCTCTGGAGCTATGCCCTCCTCCACGCCGCCCTTCTCCTTAATCTCCGCTCCCACCCTCAGCATCCTTCCTCCTCCCCCACAGAGCTTTGGTCCAACGCCAAACCCGACGCTGCCAGCCTTCGCGTTTGGGGCTGCAAGGCCTTCGTTCTCATCCCACCCGCCGACCGCTCCCGCGCCGCTGGCAAGCTTGCTCCTCGCGCCCTGGAATGCGTTTACCTTGGGCACAATCGCGACTCCCCAGGCTACCTCTTCCTCCACCCTCCCACCAATCGCCTCATCCGCAGCGTCGACGTCGTCTTCGACGAATCCGTTCCCTATTACTCCACTCCTCCCCCTGATCCTCTCCCTCCTCCCACTCGTCCCCTTGCTTGGACCGACACCGTCCTCCCGCCCCTTCTCCCTCCAGCCCCTCTCCTCCCACCCGTCGTCGCTCCGCTCCCGCCCTCCTCCTCCGCCGATGTCTACGACCCTGCCGCACCCGCTTCCCCCGCTCACTCGGCTGCACCCCCTCCCCCCTCTCCCTCCTCCTCTCCCTCTCCCTCCTTCCGGCAGCCGGATCAGCAGCAGCAGCAGCAGCAGCAGCAGCAGCAGCAGCAGCAGCCGGGACAGCAGCCGGGGCAGCAGCAGCAGCAGCAGCCGGGGCAGCAGCAGCAGCAGCAGCCGGGGCAGCAGCAGTAGCAGCGGCAACTGGGACAGCACCAGCAGCAGCAGCAGCAGCAGCAGCAGCAGCAGCAGCAACAAGGGCAGCAGCTTCAACAGCACCAGCAGCAGCTTCAACAGCACCAGCAGCAGCAGCGGCGTCGTGCCACTTCCCGCTCCTCCCCCTTCCTCCTCCCTTACATCCTCGCTCTGTGGACAAAATCCTTGGGGCTCCTCCTCCTGCCTCCATTCAGCTCCTTGAGGACTCCCATGAGGAGTTTCTTAACATTCGGGAGCACACTCCGTTCCTTGCCTCCCTCTACCTTGACTTCCTGGGCTTTCCCGTCCTTGGCGCCACCACCACCCCCACCATCTTCACTCCCTCCACCTTCCAGGAAGCCATCACCTGCCCTGATGCGGATAAATGGATCGCAGCGATCTTCCTGGAGTGTGAGGCTTTCATTCGCAACGACTCCTTTGTCGATGTCCCCCTCCCTGCCGGCGCTAACCTCGTTGACGGCAAATGGGTCTTTCGGGTGAAGCAGCTGCCGGGCGAGGAACCAGTGTACAAGGCCCGCTACTGCGCCAAGGGGTTCACACAGACTTGGGCTGAGGACTACTGGTTCACCTACGCCCCCACCGCCAAACCACCCACCCTTCGCGCCGCCCTCGACATTGGTGCACGTGACAACATGGAAATCGATTCCATGGACGTCTCCAATGCATTCCTGCAGGGCGACCTGCATGAGCGCATTTTCCTCCGGCGACCCCCCGGGTTCCACGCAGCCTTCCCTGAGAACACTGTCTGGCAGTTGCGTCGCCCTGTCTACGGCTTGAAGCAGGCACCGCGTGAGTGGCATGCGAAGCTGGCTGCCACCTTAGGGTCTCTCGGCTTCTCTGCTTCCCACTCCGACGCCAGCCTCTTCATCCGCTCCTCCCCCCGCCGCTTCTTCATTCTAGTATATGTGGACGACATGATCCTGCTCTCTGATACCAAGGCCGACATGGAGCAGGTGAAGCTGTCCCTGCAGCAGCGGCTCAAGTGCAAGGACCTTGGCGCCCTCACTCACTACCTCGGCATGACCATCACACGCAACCGCCCTGCTTGCACCATCACCCTCTCCCAGTCCCATTACATCGGCCAGGTCTTGGAGAAGTTCGACATGGCGCAGGCCAAGCCTGTCTCCACCCCCCTCCCTTTCGGCCACCAACTCGCTCCACCCACCTCCCCCACCTCCTCCCCCCACCCTTATGCCGAGCTCGTTGGGTCTCTGATGTACGCAATGATGTGCACCCGCCCCGACCTCGCCTACCCCATCAGCGTGCTCGCTCGCTTTGTCGGCACCGGTCGTCACTCTGAGGAGCACTGGAAAGCTGCCAAGCGGGTCCTCCGCTACCTTCGCGGGACCAGGGACCTTGCCCTCACCCTTGGCGGCCCTTCCCCTCCCCTACTCTCGGGCTTCAGTGACTCCTCATGGGCTGACACGCAGCCGGACCGCCGCTCCTCCCAGGGCTACGGCTTCACCCTTGGCAGCGGCCTCATCAGCTGGCGCTCCACCCGCTCCTCCGCCATCTCTCTCTCTCCACCTGCGAAGCCGAGCTCTACGCTGGCACCATGGCCGCCCAGGAGTCGCGTTGGCTCTGCTTCCTTCTTGCCGAGCTTGGCGCCCCCCAAACGTGCCCCACTCTCTGGTGCGACAACGCCAGCACCATCCATCTCACTCAGGACCCCGTCTATCACGCCCGCTCTAAGCACATCGAGCTCCGCTACTTCTTCGTTCGCGAGCTTGTCCAGAAGGGCCTCATTGCCGTTCGCAAGATTGCGACCGAGGCCAACTTAGCTGACATCTTCACCAAGGCCCTTCTTCGCCCTGCGCACTCTGCTTTCCTCCGCCTCATTGGCCTTGCTCGCCCGGGCGCCCCTTGATTCAGGGGTTGTTCTCTTCTTGTGTTAGCATGCTAAGGGGTTGTGTTAAAATATATATTGTGTATAGCATGCCAACACATGTGACTGTACACCAATTGTGGTGTACAGTTGGGTTGGGACTACACCCAACTTTGGGTGTAGTCTTGCACTTTGGGGTGCCAATCCACCCAATTGTGGTGGAGCCCTCAAATGCAACCCTCTTGACTTGTGGGTACCTCACTTCCCATCATTGAGGTTACCCCAAGCCAAGTGGGCCTAGGGTTGCCTCACTTCTACAAAGTGTGGGCAACCCAACCCACTTGACCTATGGTTCCCTCACTCCCCCAAGTGAGGTCAACCCAACCTATGGTCACTTTCATCCTTCCCTTCCAACCTTTTCTTCCAACAATGTATGCTAGGTTGCTCCTCTAATCTAATCACTTGTTCAATTCACACACAGCACGGGATGGTGGTGGTGATGCAACGAAAGACAATGGCATATGGCTGTGGAGTGCGTATCACAACCGCCTCGAATCACACCACACCTCAATCAATCCCCAAGCCTGCCTTTCTGTATTCCACCGTCCTATTGCCTCAGTCACAACCCGCCCGTCACAACGCACCTCAATCCCTGACCCAGGCTTGTTGTAGTCCGCCATGCCATTCGCCCGCACCCACTCCACAAACACCCTCACCCGCTCCTCCTCCCCCATCTCACCCATCCTCTTCCCCGCCACCTCACTCCACACGCCTGCCCTCCCCGTCAGCTCACTGCCGCCCCTGCCAAACCCCATCTGTCTGTCCTTTCCAATCACCCTGGCCTGTGTACCAGACCCTTTTCTTTCTTGCACGTTACCCTCCTTCCCTCCCTGCTCTCCCTCCTTTCCCTCCTCCCTCTCTCCTTCCCTCTCTGTCTCTTCCCTCCCCTCCTCGTGCTCTTCTCCCCCTTGGGACGAAACTGTTGTTGCATCTCGTTCAGCTGCTGCTGCTGCTGACGTGGCGGTTGCTGATTGGGGCTTGCAGGCGGAGGCGAGGCGATCGGAGGCAGCCAGTAGGATGCTGCGCTTGCTGGCGAGGAATCGCAGCAGCGAATGGGAGGGCGCCACGTGGGCAAGCACAGACGGCCGGCAAGCCTGCAACAGGGGCATGGCATAAATCTTTCTCTTTAGAATTCTTTATAAAAAAAAAAAAGATGCAGGATTGAAGGGGCAGATGCACAAAAGGGGTGGAATGGAAATGGGTGGAATGCACATGGCAGGAGTGCAAGAGGAGAGAAGACAGGGAGACGTGCGTTTGGGCGACATCTAATCTAAACTGCTTGCCCCCCGACCATGGGGCTCTCTACCTGTTCCATCCCCGCTATAAGCTCCCCCATCTATCTCTCACCTCGTCTGCGTGAACCGGGTCGATTCCCGCTGCTCTCCCTTCATACGCAGACCATCCCCCAACCGACCCATGCCTTTGACCCTCCTATTATTGCTCTATCCCCGCTATAACCTCCCACTGTATCCCCGCTATAACCTCCCACTGTATCCCCGCTATAACCTCCCACTGTATCCCCGCTATAACCTCCCACTGTATCCCCGCTATAACCTCCCACTGTATCCCCGCTATAACCTCCCACTGTATCCCCGCTATTACCTCCCACTGTATCCCCGCTATAACCTCCCACTGTATCCCCACTATAACCTCCCACTGTATCCCCGCTATAACCTCCCACTGTACCCCGGCAATAACCTCCCGCTGTACCTCACCTCGTCCACTTGAACCGAGTCAATCCCCGCTGCCCTTCCTTCCCTACAAACCATCCCCTTTTTCCACCCATGCCTTTGCCCCTTGCAATGCCTGCTCTATCCTCGCCATAAGTCCCCCCTCTATCTCTCACCTCATCAACTTGAACCAAGGCAATTCCCACTGTTCTTCCTTCCTGGCAAACCATCCCCTTTTCCACCCATGCCTTTGCCCCTTCCAATGCCTTCAATTCACATTGCTTGCACCATCCCCACTACAAGCTCCTACTGCATACCCGCTATAAGCCCCCCCATCTATCTCTCACCTCGTCCACTTGAACCGATTCAATCCCCGCTGCTCTCCCTTCCCGGCAAACTATCCCCTTTTCCACCCATGCTTTCGCCCCTCCCAACGCCTGCTCTATCCTCGTTAAAAGCTCCCCCACTGGCCGCTGCAAGCTGCTGACCACCACGTCTAGAATCTCCGGAAGGCTTGTCAGGAAAGAGGAGGGGGAGTAGGAGAGGGGGAGGTAGAGCGGGTGCGAGGGGAGGGAGAGCAGATGCATGTGCGTGCAGGTGGTGGTGCCGTCCAGATTCCACGCCACTGCCACGCTCACCCTCGCCAGCAGCGCCGCATCGATTTCTGGGTGGGGAGAGTGGGGGAAGGTAGTGGGGGAAGGTAGTGGGGGAAGGTAGTGGGGAGGGGAGGGGCGGGGTGAATATGTGAAGGTGGTGGTGCCGTCCAGATTCCACGCCACTGCCACGCTTATTCTTGCCAGCAGCGCCGCGTCGAGTTCTGGGTGGGGCGGGGGTGAAGGAAGTGGGGAGATGAGTATTTGGGAGATGCGTGCAGGTGGTGGTGGCCGTCTAAATTCCACGCCAGTGCCATGCTCACCTGCGCCAGCAGTGCCGCATCGAGTCCTGGGCGGGAGAGAAATGAGTAGCAGGTGAGTAGAGAGTTGGGGTGGGGTTGAGATGAGTGTGCAATGAGCGCGGGTAGGGGTGAGGGTGAGATGAGTGTGGTGTGTGGAGTGTGCAGAGTGGGAAGTGTGAGTGAAGGAGGTGGGAAGGGAAGGGGGGCAGCATGCATGCACTGAGGGTCGAATCAGGTGTGATAACGTGTGTGTTTGCGAGTGCGAATGCGTGTGTGTGTGTCAGGGCGTGTAACAAGGTAAGAGTTGTGCATGGTTTTTGAGTCGACTCAAAAGAAGAGTTGTGCGTGGAGTGGAGACAAGGAGACAAGGGATGGACACACGGGCTGCTATGCCAACAGCGCCACATCAGGGCCTGGTGGGGTCCATGTGTGTGTGTAGGGCATCGTTTGCAAGTTTGGTACCTAACACTGCAAGCATGGTAGCTAGGGTAGGCCATGACGGATCAGCAAAGCATGAGGCACGAGCTAGCCTCTGCTTGCTTGTGGCCATATGTAATCGGTAGCTACCTTCCCCAGCAGTACCTTCCCCAGCAGTACCTTCCCCAGCAGTACCTTCCCCAGCAGTACCTTCCCTAGCAGTACCTTCCCCAGCAGTACCTTCCCCAGCAGTACCTTCCCCAGCAGTACCTTCCCCAGCAGTACCTTCCCCAGCAGTACCTTCCCCAGTAGTACCTTCCCCAGTAACAGCCAGCAGCACAGCGGCAGTGTACTGAGCAACGAGCTCAGGGTCCATCCTGCCATCCGCGTACACATACAGCCGCTCCCCCCCCCCTTCGCCCTCTCCCTCCTCCCCCTCCTTCATCCTTCCCTCATCCTTCCCCCCACTGCCTCTCCCACCACCTGTCTCACTCCCCCATCCCGCCTCTCCTGCCTCTCCCGCTTCTCCCCCCTCTTCCCCATCGCCACCCTCTTCCCCCTCTCCCCCCTCCCTCCCTTCTCTCTCCGCTGCCATTCTCACTCTCTTCGCCAGTCTCTCAGCCAATCTCGCGCGCATGCCCTGCCGTCGCTCCCAGAACAGCATCTGCTGCAGCACGCGCCCCATCCCTTCCAAATCCCACTCCCCATCCCCAAAGCTCTCTTCCCTGCTGTTCCCCAAAGCTTCAGAAGCCTCTGCTTTGAGTTCCCCAGTCCCGTCCCCTCCACCCTCTGCCACACCACCCTCTGCCACACCACCCTCTGCCACACCACCCTCTGCCACACCACCCTCTGCCACACCCTTCCCCATGTCCCTCTGAGAAGGCCCTTGGGAGGCTTTTCCCTTTTGCTGCAACCTGTTGGGAAGGCCCCAACCCCAACGGGTGTCGGCACTTGTGCGGGTGGTGGTGATAAGGCCTTTTTTCAGGGCGGCAGAGAAGAGATGGTCTTTCACTGCCCGCACTTGCTCCACTGCCTTCCTGCCTGCTGCTGCCGCCCGCGCTTCAAAGCGCGCACGGAAGGAAGGATCTGGGAAGGCGGGTGTTGAGATGCTACGAATGACGCTGAGGAGGGAGGGGAAGAGCTGCAGGGGAGGAAAGGGGAGGGGCGGAGGGGGGAGGAAGGGAGAAGGGAGAGGGGAGAGGGGAGGAGAGGGGAGGAGAGCGAGTGTGAAGATAAGGGTGTTGCTGGAAGACACTGGCCCAAAATCATACAGCAGTCATCACATGATTTTTGCGTGTGGCGAGAGGTTCGTGGCGAGAGGTTCGTGGCGAGAGGTTCGTGGCGAGAGGTTCGTGGCGAGAGGTTCGTGGCAACACAGCACCTCAACTTTCGAGTTGACTCAAAGATCGTCTCTCATCACACGTGGCAACGGCATGGATACACCTCGTGACAGAACCGACCTGCAGGCAAAGTTCGAACGACTTTTGAGGCGCCTCAAAAGTCAACACGTGGCAAACCTCGTGACAGAAACAGAACCGACCTGCAGGAACATGCTCAACTAGAGAGAGAGGCACTCCGGTTCAGCCAGCCGCCAGCAGAACCCACCCACCAGCAGAATGTGGCCTTGAGCGAACAACGACACCTCTCCCCCCTCTTTTGAGGCGCCTCAAAAGCAGGCAGACGCTCAACTAGAGAGGCACTCCCGCCAGCCGTCATGTGCTCCCACCCACCTGCATGTGGTCTCGAGCGTTGAGACGTCTCAAAACTTGTGACAGAACCGACGTCCAGGCAAACACTCGACTAGAGAGACACTCCGGTCCGGCCAGCCGCCATGTGCTCCCACCCACCTGAGCGTGGTCTTGAGCGACCAAAGACACGTCCCCCCTCACGACCCACCTGGACCGCTCACGAATCACCTGCACCGCTCAAAACCCACTTGCACCGCTCACTACCGACCTGCACCATTTGAGAACGGACCTGCACGCGGTCGAAGGCGGAGCAGGCGGGGATGATCCCGAGGGAGAGGAAGGCATCGTCGTTAGATAGCAGCGTGGCCGGCGACACGTGGCTGTCTGCCTCCATCAGCCCTTCCAGTGATGTCCGCGGCACTCCGCTGTCTGCCTCCCCCACCTCCTCCAGTGATGCCAGGCGCACCCGCCTTTCCCCTTCACCGTCCTCCTCCTCCTCCCTGTCCCACTCTGCTGCTGTCCCCTGCGCCCCTGCATGTGCTGCTGCTTGCAGCGGGTCGGGCAGGCCGCCGTTGACAGGCAGCACGAGGGCAGCCCCGGTGGGAATGGCTTCTGACGCCCTCAGGTGGAACCCCGCGTGGGTCAGCTGCCAGGGGAAGGACGAGCAGGATGGGTCAAAGAGAGTTTGGGGGAAAGTAGGCTTACTTAGGTAGAAGCTCATTTGGGAGGAGTTGGGAAGAGAGAGAAGTGGGGGGGGGAGAGAAACAGTTGAGAATTTTAGAGCACGATTAAAGGAAGAGTGGAGGATTGGAGTAAGTATCATTGGCAAGTCCGGGAAACAGCAGCGGGACTGCTCTGTCCGGGAAGCAGCAGTGGGACTGCTCTGGTAACATCTAGGTTTGGTTCACACCACGGTACCACCCCACCTGCCATTGCAGCTTGCCACTGCCATCCTCTAACCTCCCACAGCACGTTGCCAGCCTCTCACCTCCCACAGCACGTTGCCAGCCTCTCACCTCCCACAGCACGTTGCCAGCCTCTCACCTCCCACAGCACGTTGCCAGCCTCTCACCTCCCACAGCACGTTGCCAGCCTCTCACCTCCCACAGCACGTTGCCAGCCTCTCACCTCCCACAGCACGTTGCCAGCCTCTCACCTCCCACAGCACGTTGCCAGCCTCTCACCTCCCACAGCACGTTGCCAGCCTCTCACCTCCCACAGCACGTTGCCAGCCTCTCACCTCCCACAGCACGTTGCCAGCCTCTCACCTCCCATAGCACGTTGCCAGCCTCTCACCTCCCACAGCACGTTGCCAGCCTCTCACCTCCCACAGCACGTTGCCAGCCTCTCACCTCCCACAGCACGTTGCCAGCCTCTCACCTCCCACAGCACGTTGCCAGCCTCTCACCTCCCACAGCACGTTGCCAGCCTCTCACCTCCCACAGCACGTTGCCAGCCTCTCACCTCCCACAGCACGTTGCCAGCCTCTCACCTCCCATAGCACGTTGCCAGCCTCTCACCTCCCACAGCACGTTGCCAGCCTCTCACCTCCCACAGCACGTTGCCAGCCTCTCACCTCCCATAGCACGTTGCCAGCCTCTCACCTCCCACAGCACGTTGCCAGCCTCTCACCTCCCACAGCACGTTGCCAGCCTCTCACCTCCCACAGCACGTTGCCAGCCTCTCACCTCCCACAGCACGTTGCCAGCCTCTCACCTCCCACAGCACGTTGCCAGCCTCTCACCTCCCACAGCACGTTGCCAGCCTCTCACCTCCCACAGCACGTTGCCAGCCTCTCACCTCCCACAGCACGTTGCCAGCCTCTCACCTCCCACAGCACGTTGCCAGCCTCTCACCTCCCATAGCACGTTGCCAGCCTCTCACCTCCCACAGCACGTTGCCAGCCTCTCACCTCCCACAGCACGTTGCCAGCCTCTCACCTCCCACAGCACGTTGCCAGCCTCTCACCTCCCACCACACGTTTGCTGCCTCTCACCTCCCATACCTTGCCATAATCTCACCTCCCATCGCACGTTCCCTTGGCTCCTCTCACTCGCGCGCGCAACAGCATTCACGAGGGGCACCACCGTCAGCTCAAACCGCCGCTGCTTCTGCTTCTTCTGCCTCTTCCCTCCCCTTCTCCCGTAATGCAGGGGCGGCAGGCGCATGGGCAGAGCCAGAGACCTCACGGCCGCCACCATCGCCAGAAACTGCTGGAGCGAGGGGGTGCCGCTGCTGCTTCTGCTGCTAGTGCCAGCGCTGCTGCTAATACGTGCGGTCCAGTTGGCATACTCCCGCTCGTACTGCTGCCTTTCTTTCACGGCCTGGCGGGGTGAGCGAGCGAGCGTTCAGAAGAAGGAGAGGGACCAGGTCGCAGGGCAGGCGCAAGGAGAAGGAGAGTGAGGGTGCGGGTGACGCTGGAAAAGCATTGTGAGTCGACTCAAAAGTGAGGGTGCGGGTGACGCTGGAAAAGCATTGTGAGTCGACTCAAAAGTGAGGGTGCGGGTGACGCTGGAAAAGCATTGTGAGTCGACTCAAAAGTGAGGGTGCGGGTGACGCTGGAAAAGCATTGTGAGTCGACTCAAAAGTGAGGGTGCGGGTGACGCTGGAAAAGCATTGTGAGTCGACTCAAAAGTGAGGGTGCGGGTGACGCTGGAAAAGCATTGTGAGTCGACTCAAAAGTGAGGGTGGGGGTGATGTTTGAAAAGAATAGTTGCGTGCGAGTGCATGTGAGAGCGGATTGTGAGAGCCAGATTGCGAGTGAAATGCGAAAGTACTTTTCTAGAGTGAATGCTGAGGGCGAGTGGTGAGAGTGGGGAGGCAAAGTGGGGGAAGGGAGAGAAATGAGGGGATGGGAGAGGGGTGGAGAGTGGGGGGGGGGATGGGAGCACTGGAATGGAACATCAGATTACGGGACAAGTGGATAAAAATGGAATAGGAAGGGGGTAGGGGAAGGGCGAGGGGGAGGGCGGACCTGGTGGAGGAGGGGCAGGTGGGGGAGGTCGTTTCTGAGCATGGGCAGCAGGTGGGCCGTGCGGGACGCCAGCAGCGCTGGCAGCACAGCAGGAGTCACTTGCGCTCCCCAGCTCTCCCCTGCACCCTCACCTTCCCCCTCCCTTTCCCCCGGCTCGCCCCCCTCTTCCTGCTGCTGCAGCAGCAGCACGCAGGCAGCAAGGGCGCCTTCGGGGGAGACGGGGAGGCGCGGGGGAAGGGGGAGGCGGGGGGAGGGCGCGGAGCAGCGCGATGCGTTGAGCAGAAGCGGCAGGGGCAGGCGCAGCAGCAGCTGCCCCGCGCCTATGGGCGCTGCTGCTAGCAGCTGGGGGAAGAACCTGGTGGGTGGCGCGGGGAGGGAGAGAGGGGAGGGGGAAGGGGAAAGGAGGTGAGGGGAGGAATTAAGGAAGCTGGGTTGGGCGCAGCAGCAGCTGCCCCGCGCCTATGGGCGCTGCTGCTAGCAACTGGGGGAAGAACCTGGGAGGGAGGGGTTGGGGAGAGATGGGGAAGGGAGAGAGGGAGGAGTGGGGAGTGGAAAGGGGAGGAGAAGGGAGAGGGATGTGCGAGGCGAGTCACTCATCCCAAAGGCCGCTGCGAGCAGCTGTGGGAAGGAGAGTGGAGAAAGACGAGGGAGAAGGACCCGCCTTGCCACTTGCCCCGCCTTGCCACTTGCCCCGCCTTGCCACTTGCCCTGCCTTGCCACTTGCCCTGCCTTGCCACTTGCCCCGCCTTGCCACTTGCCCTGCCTTGCCACTTGCCCTGCCTTGCCACTTGCCCCGCCTTGCCACTTGCCCTGCCTTGCCACTTGCCCCGCCTTGCCACTTGCCCCGCCTTGCCACTTGCCTGTACTTCCTCTCCTCCTTGGCATCATACTTCTCCTGCACCGCCCTGTTGTCCCTTTTTTCCTCCTCTTTTTCCTCCTCTTTCTCCTCCTCTTTCTCCTCCTCTTTCTCCTCCTCTTTCTCCTCATCTTTCTCCTCCTCTTTCTTCTTCCCCCCCTCCGCCTTCTCCCCCTCCGCCTTTTTTCCCTCCGCCTTCTCCCCCATGCCATCGCCCTCTCCCCCCGCCAGCAGCCCTTGCCCGCCCTGCCAGCCCAAGCTAGTACCATCCGGCTGCTCCATTCGGAAAACTCTCAACTGCACGGGCGGGTGGTCGCATGGGCAGATAAGAGGGTAGTGAGGGATAGTGAATCAGCAGCGCAGCGCAGCACCCCTGCATGGGTGCAGCCCTTGCCCGCCCTGCCAGTCCAAGCTAGTATCATCCGGCTGCTCCATTCGGAAAATTCTCAACTGCATGCGCCGGTGGGTGGGTGGGTTCACGCACGGGCACAACAGGGGGTTGTGAGTTAGATGGATGGGTAGGACCCCACCCCGTCCCCGTGTGGGTGCAGAACTGCATGGGTGCGGAACTTGAAGCAAGAGGCTACATTCGAACAAGAGCCAATGGCGTAATAGGCGAGGTATTTCTATCATTCCCCGCATCCCGCCCACTCACCCGAACGCTCTCCCCCTCCAACACTTCTCCGCCCGCCCCATTTGCGCGCAGCCACGTCAGCAGCCCCGCGAACCCGGAACCTTCCAGAGGGATTTCCCCCCATCCCTCCGCGCCACCCTCCGCCTCCCCCTCATCGCCCTCCGCGGAGCTGTCTCCCCCTAGCTCCCGCAACAGCCACTCAAATCCCTCGTCCTCCGCCTCCTCCGCCTCCGCCTGCACAACTCGCGCATGCGCCGTCCCCCAGTCAGCTTCCGCTTGCGCTGTGTGCACTTGAAGGTGCGCGCTGACTGAAGCGGACGAAGGGAAGGAGGAGGGCGGAAGGAGAAGAAGGAAGCAGAGGAGAGGCCACCAGGGGAAGAAACCACCGCACGAAGAACGGAGCTTGCAGCGGCGCGCAGCGCACTGAGCACGATCTCTTGCTCCTGATGCTGCCGCTAATACAGCCATTTCCCGGAAGCTCCTCGTACTAAACCTGCTCGTGGCGTTCTTGCGTGACGTGGACATCATACAGACAGCCGGCGTGGGATAGGAGAGCAGTGTGAGAAGAATACGGATCCGTGTAATGCCAGCACCGTAACGGGACGGCAATGGAGCGAGATAGAACGAGATAAGGGATATCGTAGGTGGATGGCTATGAAAGGGCTCAGCAACGTCTTTGCAAGTGTTCAGACTTCCATAGGTTCACGAGTCGCGCTCTTGCGAGAAGACTGGATGCTAGCTGAGTTTAGCTGAAGTTAGAAAAATGTTATGGTGTTGATGAGAGCAGGTTTTATTCCGCATTGAGACGGACTCGCAATCCGATATGATAGCGTTCTTTTCCTCAACCTATCTGTTGTTACGAGTGCAATTGAGTGAACTGAACGAGAATTGCACTATCGAAGCAAGAGTACAATGAGCAAAGGCATGAGCGAAGAATATATAGCGAAACTACAGTGGTAACGGTAATGGACTGTGGTTGTCGCGTGACGGGCCTGGGACTGAGGTTGGGAAAAGTGTCGAAGCGGAGGCCCGGAGCGCGGGTTACCCGCCGAGCCGTGAGGTCGGGGTGCGATGTGCGAAGGTGGCGGGAGGATTGTCGATGCGAGGGTTGCGAGTGGTAACGGTGCTGACTGTGGTGCTACAGTGATGTACGCGTTGAGCAGGGATGCGAAGTAAGGAAAATGAATTTTCCTTACACTACCCCCACCCCTAAGGAGGTCCTCCTTACGAAAGTGTGTGTACATCCCTGAAATTTCGGCTGCGTAGATACTCGGTGAGGACGGGGTGGTTTTCGATTCTGTCCAGGGGAACCCAATTGTCTTCGGTGGGTGTACGGTCCTTCCAGCGGAGCAAGAACTCGATCCTTCGGGCTCCTCGAGGGTCGCGAACTCTGTGACTCAGGATTTTCTCGGGGGTGATGATTGGTTCAGTTGGTGGTCTTGTCATGCTGGCTGGGCGATTGCGCATGGCAGTTGGCTCGTGGACGGGACGTACCGTAATACCCCGGATATAAGCGCACCTGCGCTTATAATCAAACAGTGTTTTTTGGGGGGGTGCGCTTATAATTGAGTCAGATTTATAAGCGCATGCGCTTATATAACAACAAATGCAAATTTATAATTCATTGGCACCAAACTGTACATCTCCTTCTTGTGATTTCAATCGAATCGAAGTGGTAGCGAGTCGCAATTCAGATTCGCGCGTGAGCGATTTTCTGCCGGCGCACAGGGGAAAATTTACACGTCACTATCAGAAATGCCAGCTCATACTGACTGGACGTGCAGTATGTGAGGTCCTCGAAAGTCAATCGAAGCGAAAATAGTTGTATCCTCACTGCAAAATTTGAAATCGCTACCGTTTTAATCTGGTTTAAATTTTAGAATTATACGTGCGCTTATAATAAATCAAGGTTTTACAGGGGGTGCGCTTATAAATGAGGATCGGCCATAAGCGCATTGCTCCAGATACAAGCGCATGCGCTTATAATAGGCCTGCGCTTATATCCGGGGCCATACGGTAAGGGCGAAGCAGGCTGACGTGGAATGAGGGGCTGACGTACCAGTCAGCAGGGAGGAGGAGGTGGGCGGTGACGGGTGTAATCATGTGGCTTATGTGAAATGGCCCGCAGTATCTGTCAGAACCCCAACCACTAGACCATTGGGATAAAAGGGCTTGTTAAGTAGCGGGTCAGTGCGCCCATAACCCCCCAGGACAACGAGCCTGTAGCCCTTCCCTATGATCAATCGGGGATCACCAGTGGACCTCTGACACCCCCCCGCACTGGGATGCCCGAAGTGCATACGCTGGGATTCGAACCCGAGACCTTCGCTCTGATACCATGTCAGAATGAGAAGTGTGTGAACGTTGGAGTACAAGTAGCAAACCCTAGTTTTGTGTACCCCCTAAAGGCTAACCCACTATAGCCTACACAACAACAACACATGTAGTGTTTGACACACCCCCATAGGCAAAGTGGGGGAGAGCAAGGGGTCACAAGACCAGTCAGGAAAGGCAAGCAAGCTCAGGGTGGATCACAACGTCACCACACATTCCGAGCACAAGTAAAGGGCCACATGGCCAGTTCACATGCAGAAGTATATATGTAGTACAAACAGCAAGGGTGATCTCAGCCTAGCATAACAAACAGGCAGGAGTATATATAGAGATCACAGTACAGGCAAAGCCTACAACAAGTGAGAAAAAGTGGGCACCAGCCCCAGCAAAGTACAGAAGCGCTGATTATCACCAGGCTGAAGTGCCTTGGTGAATATATCAGCGGTGTTGGCCTGAGAGGCCACGTAACGCAGACGAAGCTGACCACGCTGCTGCAGCTCTTGAGCAAGGAAGTAACGGAGAGCGATGTGCTTCGTTCTGTGCTCCAGTCTGTGCTCCTCACACAAGGCAATGGCAGCCTTGTTGTCGACGTACAGCACTGGAGGAGAACTAGGCCTCTCTCCAAGGTCGGTCAGCAGGTAGGTGAGCCAGCGTAACTCCTGTGCAGCCATGGCTGTGGCGTAGATCTCAGCCTCACAACTGGAGCTGAGAACTGAAGACGAACGCGTAGAGCGCCACGAAACTGAACCAGAACCAAGGCTGAAGGTGTAACCCTGTGACGACCGCTGAGTAGCCTGGTCGTCAACCCAAGAAGCGTCTGAGTGCCCAGTGAGAACAACTGAGCTCCCTCCTCCAAGCACGAGCCCCATGCCCGATGTACTGCACAAGTAGCGCAATACCCTCTTTGCAGCATCCCAGTGTACCTTTCGGTGCCTGCCAGGAGCTACGTAGTGGGCCAGAAGGCCAAGAGGGTATGCTAGGTCAGGACGAGTGCAAGTCATCAGGTACATGAGGCAACCAACTAGCTCTGGGTAAGGACCACTCGACTCTACGAACTCATCCGAAGGCAGAGCTGAGAGCGAGTGACCTACAGCCAGAGGAGTGGCCTGTGCTGAGGACCAGGTGAAGCCGAAGCGCTGAAGGACCTGCTGCACCATGTGTGACTGAGTCAGGGTAATGGTGCGGCGTGCTCTGTCCCGGGTGATCTGCAAGCCAAGGTAGCTGCGCAGTTCACCCAGGTCTGTGCACGTGTGTCTCTTCTGCAGCTCCGACTTCACGTGGGCGAGAGACTCAGTGTCAGCAGTGGCAAAGACCAAGTCGTCGACGTACACGAGGATGTAGAACGGCGGCAGCGAAGTGTCGGTGCGCAGAAACAGCGACGGGTCAGCAGTAGAAGGAGAGAACCCAAGTGCCGCAAGAGTAGTCCTCAGTGTGTCGTGCCACTCACGTGGCGCCTGGCGGAGACCGTAGACCGGCCGCCGGAGGCTCCACTGGGTACCACGAGGAAACGACCCAGTGAAGCCAGGAGGGCGGCGCAGCCAGATCTCCTCGTGCAGACTGCCCTGCAAGAAAGCTGTGTTGAAGTCAAGAGAGTGAAGCTCGTAGTCACGCTGAGCAGCAACGTGCAGTAGTACCCGAAGAGTGGTCATCTTCGGGGTGGGGGAGAAGGTCTGAAAGAAGTCTACTCCCTCTCGCTGACTGAAGCCTCGAGCAACGTAACGAGCCTTGAAGACAGGCGGAGAACCCGGCGGCCGCTTCACCCTGAAAATCCACATGCCACTGACGATGTTCGCCCCAGGTGGGGGAACCTCGTCGACGTAGGTGCCTGTGGACTTCCAGGAAGCCATCTCTGCGTCCATGGCTGACTGCCACTGTGAGGAGTAGGGACCCTCGATCGCCTCAGCGTACGATCGAGGAGTCGGGATGTCTGGTGCATCCGGGTCTCCCTCAGGGGCAATCAGCATGGACACGAGATGGGGCGCAGCGTCTGCAAGACACTCAAGGTCCTCCTGTCTGTCCTCAAGGACGTCCATGCTAAGAGCACACTCACCCTCGACGGACGGAGGACAGACAGACTCAGACTCAGCAACAAGACTGGCAGCGTAGTATAGACGACAGCGAGCAGCAAAGTCGACAAGCTCAGCAACTAGGGAAGACGCAGCAGCCGACTCAAAAGAAGGGTCAGTGACAGCAGTGGCCAGGAGACGCGTGACAGTAGGACTGGTAGCACGAACGGAGTCAGACTCCGGGTCAGCAAGGGTAGGAAGAGAGGACGGAGGAGGAGACGACAGAGGGACACGCTGTGGAGCAGTGG